TGCAAACTAGTCTAATACTTTGGTTTGACATAAAAAAAATGTGAATATATACAAATAGTTTAATGGTCCATCTCTTTGAATGATTTTCATTCCTAATTCTAGGAGGGTACATGGGTTGACCCAAATTCATGAATGAAATGTCAAGTAATCTTATCATTGATGCACTTTTATTTAATTTGATGTAGTCATATTATGAACATTTCCAGTTCATTAAGAGAGTGGGGATGACCTCCAGGGGTTCATAACCTTAAACCATTAGATGTACATAACATGATAACACAAGAAACAAAATTATATATAGTCAAATGGAAAAGTTTTCTACTATTTAGGAGTCACATGATCATTTGTCATTTCAGGGACAGGGAGTGGCTAGGGAGATTGGAACCCCCCACCCCACCCCACCCACCCACCCTGGAATTTGCAGTTATTTAAACAGGACTATATACTGATTTACAGAAGCAAATAAAAAATGACTTTGGACGCCCTCCCCCTTTAAAAACATGGACCCCACCATCATTGTTTTTATTTTGTTTGTTTGTTTGTTTGTTTTTGTTTTTTGTTTTTTGCTCCTAAGGAAATTCTGGACTGGAATTTTTTTTTGACTGAGGTGTGGACCCCCCCCCCCCCTCCCCCCCGGAAAAAAATTCCCGGATCTGTGCCTGTAACTGAATGTAATGTCGACAACGGGAGATAACTCTTCAGAATGTGAAATTCGTCTATTGTAGCATCCGATCCATCGGCTCATACATTCAGTGTCTGAGAGAGAAACGAACGACAACTCTGCATAGGAGATTGCCGATGATCTTTGATCCTTTTTAAACTTTAACCTAACCATTTGCATTTCGGTTTATTTTACCCCAATCTATACTTAAACTTGTACTTACCGACTGTCATAGGTCCTGTCAACTTCATGAAATATAATCCAATTAAAACACAAAATGAATTAATTTCCACTGATATACATGTAACACTGCACCACACCATGTCACATGGCATGTGCAATCTAAAAATGATAATGGTAAAACTAGTACTAGTACTGGTAGGGTGACGCAAGCCCAGTGTGATGTAGAAATTTTCATGTTTTTGTTTTGTTTTTTCCATACAAAAAAATGTATATGTAGTAGAGGTACTTTTATTAAAATTATAAAAGTTGAAATGATTTTAAATGAAATAAATAAATATTAAATATAAATTAAATAAACTATATAATCTATTAAATATGTTATAAATGACATAAGTGATAAGTTTTCTATTAAATTTTCATTCTGTTCATTCTTTACTAACATGGGTATTTAGTGACATAGCTATACACCCCTTTGGATCCACACCTGTATATATACTTTTACATCTATTGGTCAGATTTTTAAATGGATAGATTTCATTGGTTGAAAGTTTGGTCTTTGTGGGGTACTGAGTTTTATTCAGATTGAGCTCAAGATCTAGATTTCAAATGGAGAAGATATAGTATATATTGCTGCTAACTTAAAATTTGTTTCTGAAGACCTCAGACAGTTCCTGAAAATGTAAGTTTTCACCTTTTTATGCTTTAAGATATGTTTTCAGTAATATTGTGTTATAAAGGTGGAAAACAGAATATTTACTTTTAAATGTTAACATATTGAGTTATATGTCTGTATATTCAGATGTAGATAAATCTGGTGGTTTATTTCAGTAAATCAATTTATATATTTATATATATATATATATATATATATATATCTAGAAATATTTTGATGTGAATATTTTGATAGTCAAACTAATTTAAATATCTATTGGTTATGAGAAAGGTATTTGTAAAGAACAAATCCTGATTATTGTATTTATTGTACATAGGTAACACCATAAGTAAAGAATTAAATTATTGCATTGGAGAAAGTTCAATTCCATAAATTGGTATTTCTATCTATATATATATTTTTATGATTTGTTAAGAAACACAAAAGAAAGATAACTCTTCACAAGACTGTCAAGAGTAATTATGTTTTAAGAGTTAACTCCCTTATATAGAATCTCTTCATTTTATCATATCGAGTGAAATTGATAAATATGATAAATAATTGTTAAAGAGAATACAGATAATTTGTTATATTTTTATGACCAGAATATTATAGATAATTGATATACTTTATGTACATATTTTTATGACGCAATTTGTATATTGCAGGACATTTCCATAAATTCCATTGATCCATATTATCCATCTATATATCATTGATTCAACTGGACATGTTTCCATAATAAACGTATAATTTAAAAGCAACAACTGTGTTTCCATCATTGCCGGGAATACCCGCTACATATATTTTTATGCAAACTTTGAGGATAAACTTTAAAAAAAAAAAATGGAGCGAATACCCACTCATATCGAACAATTGTGGTATAGTATGAGAAAATTATCCTTTTTGCCCTCTTTAGTGTGTGTATGCTATTTCATAGGCAAATAATTTCAATCTGTGTTAGATCTTTGCAAATTTTGGAGATCTTATATAAAGTATACTTTAATGTTAGATGAAATATAAAAGAAAAATTTGTTATAATTGAGATTTAATTTTTCACCTTCATGTTTGTCGCACTATAGGCACTTCGCTCGCCTTGTTCGCCCATCTTCTTTCCCACACAGCGAATCTCATCAATGTACTTTCTTACCTGTCTGTTACTAATCATGGCTTGGAAGGGAAACTGGCGCTATACTTATAGATAAAGTGTTCTGCAGAAACAAAATATAACCCAAAGGGACAGGAATTTCCCGGTCCATTATTGGGAATCAATGGGCTAAGATTTCAGCATATTTAGTAATTGTGTAAATATTATACTGGACTTGAAATTAGCAGGCGGTGACTGTTTTTGTTTTTTCACAAACCTGTACAAAAAGCAGAGGTCTTTTGAATGGAGATTTCCTTTGGAGCCTATCTTAATATTATCCACTGTCAAGAAAAAAATCTCAAAATGTTTGTTTATATTTTTGAAACATAATAATAAATGATATTTTACATTTATCTGTCATTCAGATAAAAGTTTCATATGCCTACTTGCTAAAACCGTCACATATCCCATGTGTAAATATTATATTGTCTTTCATTAGTTGAGAAATAAAACTGATTGGAGGGGAAGGCAAGAGGGACAGGGGTCTAGGAATGTTCTGATAACTAGTGAATATGTTGTCTCTGGAGGTCAAAGAAAACATCCTTTATAAATTCAATACAAGAAAATGAGGAAAAAGTGAAAAGTTCAACGTCATGTGGAAAGTCAGAGAATTTAGACACAGGTGAACTGCTCTCACCAATTTGTATCAGAGTGTGAAGTTTAATAAAAATATTTAACAGTTTAGTTATGCAAAATGAAAGAAGAGTCCATGAGTTGAAGATCAGAGAAATGTCCTTACTTATCTGAGTTACTCTCTCCAATATGTTCCTTTGTTTGAAGTTTGATTAATATCTCTTTTAAAAAAAACTAAGTAAAATGAGATATGGAAGGTTAGAAAATTATAACTGACATCTCCTTCGGGAGATGACACATAAAGTTCTATATTGGCTGGTGGTCTAGAAAAAAAAACTGGCGATTGTGAAGTTATATAGTCTGGTTACAAAGACTGATGATTATGAACTGATAATGATGGTTTTAAGCAACCACTTTTTGATTTTACCCACATCACCTCTCTTTGTTTAAGATTCACATCCCTTTTTTAGTCCTTGGTTTAAGGATACTGTGAGAAATTTTATAAATATTGAACAAGGGCTTCTTCAGATATAGCCCACATTCCAAGAAGTTTATGCAAACCTCATAACTAACAATGACTTTAGCCTTAATCTCAGAACTAACAAATATGATTATCCTACACATCTAAAGATATGACTTTACTCCTAGGACGGTGACTACATTGTTACCTAATTATTAGTCCCCTACCGGTGAAACCGGAGGGGGCTTTTGGTTTCCTCTGAGTCTGTCTGTCCCTCTGTCCCACTTGGTTTTCCGCACTTTTTTCTAAACGCTTGCAGATATTGAGCTGATTTTTGGCATGTGAGTGTATCTTGATGAATTACAGATCAAGTTCACATTTCGTTCCGCTTCGATGATTTTTGACGGAATAACAGTCTTTTCAATTTTTCAGGGTTTTCCGCACTTTTTTCCCTAAACGCTTGCAGATACTGAGCTGATTTTTGGCAAGTGACTTTACCTTGATGAGTTATAGACCAAGTTCGCATTTCGTTCCGCTTCATTGATTTTTGACGGAATTATGGCATTTTCAATTTTTAACGGGAACCAGATTACATTTGCCGGTAGGGGACTAGTATTGCTTGTGCAATTCTCTCAGAATGCTTAATACATGTCCCTTAAGTATGTATAATAATTTCATGGACATTGAAACACCTTGAAACAAAGATCCAATTTGCAGCATACCAACTGCATGCAAATGTATCTTTTCATCTTTATGGGGCAATATTTGCCCAAAAAAAAAAATAATAATAAAAATAAAATAAAGTGAGCAAGATCACAATATACTCCTCTCTCCTCTCTGGAATAATTTTTTAATTGTTGAGTGTTCTTCTCTGATAAAGTTGTGAATAATTTTTTCTTTCTGCTAGTGATCTTCAACTTGCCCAAAGGACCTTAGGTCAATGTCATGACACACCCTCAGTGTATGGATATGAAGTATGAATTTCCAGCATTTCTCTGCCAGTGATCTTGAACCCTTGGGACAGATTGATTGATTGTTGCTATTTAACATCCTTTGCAAGATTATTTCACTCACAAGAGATAAATTAGGAGCTCAGGTCAGAAGTAATCTTTGTGTGAAGTATGAAATTCCAGTGTTTCTCCAGATCAGATTATAATCAATCTTTGTGCCAAGTATAAGCTTCCAGTGTGTTCCATTACAAGATAATGACCAAGACAGGAAATATGATTTTCTAGACCTTGGGTGGGTGACTTATGACAATGAACAAAAAATGATTGACTCATTTCATCAAAAACGAACAAGAAAACACTGATTTTTACATAGATTGCTTCCATAATTTAATCTTAACATTCTAATTCTTGCACAAATAAATTATATGTTTACCACAAAAATCAATGAACCAATGGTTCTGAATAAATAAATATTATTACAATTATAATACATCATAGGGTACATCTATTTCACAGTTCCCTGATTTATCTAAAATTGAAGTGTATGACATTTTCAAATAAAAATATCAAATTGTCACTGTGACACCATACAATAGCTCAAGTATGATCCTTTATTTAAAATAAAAATGTATTTTATAAATTTATCTATAGCATGCACTTAAGATTCGCCTGATACTGGTACTGATCACCTGAAGCTAATACTTGACTCCTCTAAATAGTTCATTTTATTGTGATTATGAATGACTTGCTAGTGCCTCCATAAGATCAAGCATATGGTGTTCACTGGGATCTACCTTTCTGGTCATGAATATCTTTCCCCCAGTATACATCAACTAAGTTAGATAATCCTTGGTTTTACAGAGAACAAGATGTACATGTGAACTATAAGTTTATCTATTTAATTAGAATGAGGTCAATGTGATAAACTCTGACTGAAAGACATATTCTGTCCATATGGGTAATTTTGTAGGTTAATCTACATTCTACAACGGTTATTGCAAAGATCAAAGAAATGCCGCTGTCATTATTCTCCAATAAATCACAAACTCATCTACAAATTGTCAAAAATTTTAAATCAGTTTCCTCTAATTTTGACTTCTCTTACTAGGAAAAGGACTGAGGACTCTTTTAATTGTGACGCAAATTAGTGGGAAAAAAGTTTACCTGGGATTAGGATTTCCTCGTACTTTTTCTAATGCGTGCAGTGCAAATAAATGAGAAGTAGCAATCAATTGTGACGTAATAAGGCACTTATGTTGATGTTGACATCTACTTCTCTGTTTCTCTATATAGGAGTTAAAAAGATTTCCCGTAGCAGAATAGAAGTAATTCTCTTGTCATCAGAATTGTTGGAGAATATACTCCTCAGCCTCAAGAATTTGTTGACAAATAAAAACCTTACCCTTCGGGCTCGGTTTTTATTTAACAAACTCTCTTGACTATTGGGGTATATTCTCCAAAAATTCCTCTGATGCGGGAATTATTTCTTAATTAGTTGCGGTTAACTTAACCTAGTGTGGAGGCATCAGAAGGTGCAAAATATGAACCAGGAAGACTGACTGACAGCAAAATAGGATCTGCCATACTATCACAATACATGTATACAGCTTGCTAAAAGAACTTAATTATCAGGACCTCAGTGGTTCACAATGATCTTTGACCTTGACATACAACCTATTCCTTGAATGGGAATGGGACTTTGGTAATATGATTAATCTTGTATAATTCTAAAGATGTACTGAAGGTTACATGTACATGTATAAAAAAAACATAATACATACAAAAACACTACCCCTCCCCCTCCCCCCTACCCTTTGGATTTCAAGAACAAAGGCAATTTAATTCCATGAAGTAGGCAGTGAACTGGAGAGAAACATAATGGCTGAGGCATTATCACTGAGGACTTGTTGTAATTTCATGTCATTTGTTTGCTCATAATTCTCTTCTATAGAAGGAGCTATGATTATATCTGTTGCCTGCACAAGTTCCGCTTGATTTATGCTTTGTGCTGAAACATCTGCTAAAAAGTTTTGAGTGACCAACACATTTGTTGATGTTGGTATCACTTTCAAATCATTCTCATGTGTTCGTTCATGTCTCTTCAGAGCAAAGTTTGTATTGAATCGTTTCTCACATAAAGTACAAGGATAGGACCTGGGATTTTGATGTATGTTCTTCACATGTTTCAGCTGACACGATTTTGTTTTGAATGAGGCACCACAGATATCACATAGATACTGTCTACTGTTGGAATGCATAGCCATGTGTTCCGCCAGGTGACACTGAAATAAACAAACATCTTATAATTAAGTAAACCTCCTCAAGTCAGGTGAGAGTTTAAGAACAGTAAATACAAAGAAATGTTGATTTTTTTTCTTTTGGTTTGGTTTTTTGTTTTTTTTTTGGGGGGGGGGGGGAGGGGGGGGACAATTATCTATGGCATATTGAAACTATCTTGTCTGTCTCTCTATCCTTCAGGCAAAAAAAATAATTAATATTATTGAAGTTATATTATCTGGTGCAAAAGTTATTACCAGCTTAGAGTAACTGAAGGTCAAGCCTTGTCGTCTAGGTCATGAGGTCCAAAATCATAGTACATTTCAAAATATCTTGTTTAAGTTATGCACATGTAAAAAAAAATATGAAAGCCCTGTCTCCTCTAGTTCAAAAAGTGTGAGCCAAGTTACTTTTTTTAAAAGAAGGTCAAACTTCAAGGTCAGGTCATGAAATCATTGTATGTTTAGAAAAATCTGGACATAGGTAGACGTCTAACGCATACGTAAAAATATGAAATTCACCATCTCTTCCAATGCTAAAGCTACAGCTAAGTTCAAATTTCTGAAAAGTAGGTCAAACTTCAAGGTCAAGGTAAAAAAAATCACAGTACATTTGGAAAGGTCTTGTCACAGGTAATGCACTGATACAAGGAATTCATAAAATTCTTACCAAATTAAAATTTTTGAGGAGCACTGTATACAGGGTTATTTTCGCCCCAAATTATTTTCGCCCTTGCAAACTTGCAAACAATTTCGCCCGTTTTAAATTCACCCAGTCACAATTCTGTTTAAGAAATTATATTGTGTTCTTTGAGTTTGCCCCGTTTTAAATTCACCCACAAGTGAGTAGGGCAAAAGGTGATAATAAAACGGGGCAAAAATTCCTTGTATACAGTAGGTCAAACTGCAATATCAAGGTCATGAGCTTAAAAATCATTGTATATTCTGAAATTCTTGTAACAGATAATGCACATGTAAAAAATGAGAGCCCTGAATTCTCTCATTCAAAAGTTATGACCAAGGACAAAGTTTCTGTGATAGACAGAAGAATAAGATTTAATGTCCCCAAGCTTTTTCAATTCTATTGTAATCTACCTCAATACGCAGTCCTGAACTAATAAGCACCTTTACCTGAACAATTAAATGGCTCTAGGCATTGAAAGGCAATAGTTGAACAAAGATGTTTGCACAGTTGTATGCTTCACTGCAAGGGGACCGCAAGGTGACAATACTTATCAACTTATTATCAACTGCACTTAAAATAATTTAATATCAAATGAATGAAGAAAATTTGGAAAAACAATGATAGTTAAAATAAAGTAGTTTTGTTCCATGTTGTGAATGCCCGTAACCATGGCAATTTAACTGTGTTTAAATACAATAAACTCACATGAATATCATATATGCCTCTATAAATGCAAATATTCATGCATGTCTATCAACACTTTTTAAAATATTTATTCAATTTTGATAGGAAAAAATGCATAAACACATGGTAATGTCAAATTTCAACACTTAAAGGCACTTCGTCATTTTCCTTGGAGTAAGTACAATAATACGATGTCCTTTTCATACCAGGAATTATGGAAGAGAATCGCAATACACATTTATATTTAAAAATTATTTATAGCCAAATCTGTATAGTTACATAAAAATCCAAAGGAATCTCAGTGTTTCGGTAGAATAGGTACACAAGAGAAGAAATTACTAACAGTTTGACTCATTTTTAATCCATGCAATCAAGAAAACTGGAAACTTCTGCACTCTTGAAACATTGAACTCTCGATATCGAAGTTTTTTCCAAGGTCCCATAGACTTCAAGTTTCGAGAGTCACGTGTATTTTTTTTTTATTTCAATGACTTCTTATAGAAATAAATAGTCATATACATGTAAAATATAAGATAAAATCTGCAGTCCTTACCTTAGATCTAAATGCTTTATTACAGATCTGACAGACAAAGTCAAGTTTGCGTTTGACCTTCTCTAGATGAACCTGTTTGTGCTGGCTGAGGGTATCACTTCTCTTGAAGGTCATTCCACACGTGTCACAGAGGTGTGGTCTGTAACTGGAGTGGTTCATCTTGTGTCGGTTAAAGTGCTCCTTCCTCTTGGTTTTATAATTACACTGATCACATTGGAAAGTGAAGTCTTCTGCGCTAGCTTCAGAGTTATGCATTTTCAGATGATGACTGTATTTAGACAGTGTGGTCATTGTCTCACCACATTGAGCACAAGTGTACATACCAACTGGATTTTTATCTTTTTTGTAATGCCTCTTCTTGCTGCCATGCTTAAAATTAACATGTCGATTGAGAAGAACTTCAGAGTCCGTAACATAGGGACACTGTTTACATTTGACTAAATCAACACTATGACTTATCTCATGCTTTCGTAGTGTGCTTTGACGAATAGTTTTAAAACTGCACAGCTTGCAAGCAAACAAGTCACTGATTTTATCATGCAATTTTAAGTGTCGACGGAAGTGACTAGCACGCTTTGACTTGAAAGAACAATTTTGACAGAAGAATTTGAACTGGGCCTCAGCTTCGTACTGTTTTTTGGTTTTAAACACCCGCTTTGTTCTTCCACCACCATTACATTTTGACGAGTCCTGATCTGCTATAAAAAACAATTTCAGGTTAAAAAAACTTTACCAACAGATCTGACTTGACCAAAGCACTTGATCCTTCATATTCACTTTACTGGGTATAACTCAAAAAGATTACAAGTTAAAGTAATTTTCAAAGTTAAACAAGAATTAAAATATGAAATATATTGCGTAATAAATCATGTAAATTTGTTGAACCTGTTGAATCTTTGACCCAATCTGTAGATGGATCGAATCCAGGTTGATGTTTACAGTTTACAAGATAAACAGTCTTCCCCTTTTCTTCTGAAGCTACAAGTTCCTGTCTGTCATCTCCATAATTTGGGACATCACCCTGAAATTAAAATACAGTCCTTTCTTACCTACAATTTTACAGCATATCCTGCTAAATCAGAAGTCTCTGACCAGACTGTAGCTCTACTGGTTTGTACTTATAACAAAGGAAATGAAAAGTAGCACTTGCATTCGTTTTGAAAATTTGCAACAGCAATAAATAGAAAGAATTTTACAGAAATGTTTTTTGGTAACCATGGCAACATCATTCATCGAACTCAAAAACGGATATATAGAACTATGATTCTCATTGTATTCTACTTCAAGCCAATTTATATTAAAATCAAACCAAAGTGTAGGAGGAGTAGTGTTTTGAAAGTGTTTCACAGAAATTTCTATTTTTAGTAACATGGCAACACCATTCATCAAAACCAAAAACACATTCACAGAATTATGTATCTTAGTGTACTTGTGTGCCAATTTATATTGGAATCAAATCAAAACTGTAGGAGGAGTAGCATTTCGAAAAATTGTTTACAGACAGATGGACGGACAGCTGACACCTTACAATCACTTAAGCTCTTCTAGTCTCTGACCAGTAGAGCTAAAAATTAAAGAATATGAACAAACAAAATCAATCACTTTTACAATCTTTCACCTGATCCACAATTTGCGGCTGATTTTAAAATGTATGCCAGGGAAGGTAAATGCTATAACTTATTTATTGGAATTCAATTATTGTAACAATCAGATTTAAAAACTCTTCCAGTTTCAAAGGCTATACATGTGCCAATATGGCTCTTCAGCTTTGTTCAGTGGCACAGTGGCATTTGTTGCTTTTTTTTTTCAGTCAAACTGATCTTTAAATACTTAAAAAACTTTTCAGAAGATCCTATTTTAGTGTAGCCATGATAGAATTTTAGTAAAATCCAAAATAGTTTTCTAAAGCCAACCAATAGAAAGACAAGCATCATCAATCCATGATAAAACAGCTTTGCTTCTCAATTCACCCAAAAAACAAAGCATTTACTCGACACTGACTACCTGTGTGTCACTGAGTGCTGGTGACTTTGATTCTGTCTGGATGGTGTCTGCTGTAGATACGCTCTCCTGTAGGGAACTTGGTGATGGCTGGCTTTCTTCATAAAGACTCACTGCCTAAAATACATTTATTTTAATAGCTTATCAATAAAAGATTTTTCAAGTTTGAAGTCAAAAGCTCTACAAGTGCTTAACAATATTACTTAATACTGGCAAAAGTTTGGAGAATTTACTCAAAAAGAATACAATTTTATATAGAACAGAAAGGTTTATTTTCAAGTTGCTTTACTTTAAACTACCTAATCACATGCTTCAAATATGAATTCAAAAAACTTTGATGATTAAAGAAAATATTTTACAGTTTAGCCCTTATTGCATAATTAAGAACATAAAGGATGACTTCAGATTTTCAAAGGAATTGACCTTCAAGAGAGTACATTTTTCTGGAAAAAGTCACATTTAAATATCAGTATATGTTATTTTCTATCTTAGTACATACATGTATCTTTATGCCCCTAAATAAAATTATGATATTTTGATAGGTTGTGATCTAAAGAATAATTTATAAAAGGTAATTTTCAAGGTCACCCCCGCCCATGAGTTAAAATTAAAAAAAACTACCAAAAAAATAAGGAAAACTGTTTCTGACAACCTGGTTCATACATGTACATGTATTAATACCGGTACCATTTTTTCCTCATAGTAATTAGTAAAGCTCAGATGGTTAGCCCACCGACTCTCATTATTGAAGTCACATTTTACAGTCATATGGTTATAAGCCATCTGCATGGTGCCACTGTTCTAAAATTCTCACTTTTTAAAGCACTACCTCTGAGTCAGTTTTTTTTCATAGACTTGTGTATTAATTTTTCCTTTAATTATCTGTCTTAAATGTATGTTCCTTGATATATAAAAGGTTTCAAAGAGAATGCAAATTTCCTCAGCAACTAAAATACAATCAACCAGAACTGTATCTCAGTGTAGCACACTTTGTCCTTGAACAAGAATCATTCACTCTGTGTTACTCAATACAGTACATGTTCTCATCTCATAGTTGTCTATGAGAAGATTTTCCCTACTTCTACATACTATGTAAATATATGTACTACTTGCACTGACTAAAACAAATGAGATGTGTGGGAAAAGTACTACATGCATGTAGCCTAAAGTCATCAATTGGAACAAAAAATCTTCAGGCTTTTTGTAAAGACTAAAACCAATCCTGGCCCCAGAGGGTTTCTCCTTTCGAAATTCTGAATTCATCCTCTGATTTTACATGTATATTTACAGAAAGAGGGAGAGAGAGAAAAAGAAAAGGTATCAATCTACTTAAAATCAGATTTAATCATATTATTAAATTAATGGCTCAAAACTCAAATATTTACATGGTTATAAATTGTATCTTATAAATCTGAGTTTTTTACCTTTCTCTTCCTTTTATGATTCTGGGGCCTCTCTTCAGAGTGACTGTATGTGGAATCATTTTCTGGTTCAAAGTATGCCTGAATTCGTTTTGTTTGTCGAATTCTACGTCCAGATACATTTGAATACTGTGGGCTATTTGTATCAGATGATGTATTTTCAGTCTGTGTTGACTGATCAACCTTAAACAGACTTCCAAAATAATTGTCTATCAGAGGTTTTATAACATTAAAAAAATCAAGCAAGCCTTCCAGTTTTTCTGTGAAAATTTTCGTAATTTTTTCAAATTGGTCAGAATCTAGTGAATTAACACTGTGACAAACTTCCATCATTTCCACCAGTGCTGAATGTTGCCTTGAAAGCTGATCCAAAAACACCGAGTACATCTGAAATTGAAAATAATGCTTGTATCAATAATTTCTGAAATGCAGTTGATGCAATTTACATGTAAAATCATTTTCTTTTTGTATCCATTTACCATATATTTAAGGTCTGAAATGAAATATTGTTTGTTTGCAGTTGCCTTATATGTGATCCACTTAAAATGCACCTGACCCAATTTTTTCAGCTACATGTATCTATCGAGATGATTTTTTTAATGTTTTAAGTTTTCCAAACAACAGAACTCTATTTCATTTTCCATTTTCGAGTTTTATTTTTATGAGTAAATTAGGTACTTTTAGAAAATAAGTGCAGGTTGCAGGTACATAATTGTAAATAATAAATAAAAACATGAAAATTAAAAATGATTTTTCCCCTCCAAAAATAACTTTAAACACTGTAGGTTGGAAAATGCAAACAAAGATTTTTTTTTTAAGTAAACTGATGTTTGTCTATCCTTGTCTAATATATCTGGTACATAGCCAATGTTTCCACTGTCTATCCTTATCTGAAATGTCTGATATAAAAAGTGCATACCTGATATTTCCTCCCTCTATCCTTGTGAAATGTCTAATATAAAAAGTACATACCTGATATTTCCTCTCTCTATCCTTGTGAAATGTCTAATATAAAAAGTACATACCTGATATTTCCTCTCTCTATCCTTGTGAAATGTCTGATATAAAAAGTACATACCTGATATTTCCTCTGATTATCTTTGTCTGCACTGACTACTTGGTACATACCTGATTTACCTCTCTCCATCCTTGTTCATTGTCTGATATACACAGGACTACCTGATATTTCCTACAGCACTATCTGATGTTTCCTCTGTCTATTATTGTCTGATATATCTGGTACATACATGTATCTGATATTTCCTCTATTATTGTAATATATATCTGGTACATACATGTATCTGATGTTTCCTCTGTCTATTATTGTCTGATATATCTGGTACATACATGTATCTGATGTTTCCTCTGTCTATTATTGTCTGATATACCTGGTACATATCTGATGTTTCCTCTGTTTATCTTTGTCTGCACTGATTGATATACCTAGTACATACCTGATTTTACCTCTTTCCATCCTTCTTACTTGTCTGATATACACATCAGGGATGGGCACGATTACTGAAAAATGTAATTGACTAATAATCGATTACTTAGAGGAATTTTGTGTAATCGATTATTAATCGATTACACTCATTTTTGTCCTGTAATCGATTGTAATCGATTACTTTGGAAGATGTAATCGATTACTTCCAAGTCTTTATCCCTTCAAATATCAAAACAATATTTAAATGGTAAATGTTAATGTTATCCACTGAAGTTTGAATGTGTTTCTGCAGTTACAGTGCAGATTCTTTTAAGGTTTTATTCTGGCTAACATTCTCACTAAATGCCCAAATGAGGGATTCTCTACCATGGAAAGTGGAGACATGATTCCAAGATATGCCAAGGAATTAATTATTCCTTTCAAACCTTGATCTGAACCTCCATATTTATTGCCTTGTTGCAAAAATTATTTAATATTTTATTGTGAATTACTTCATTAGACGTATTTGGGCTGCCCGTATGTTGACAGTACACATTAAACATTCCTGTACGTGTCTTTTTCAAAAAAGTAAGTAAATCAGAATGAACTCTTAGTAATAAACATGTAAATTAAATGTGTCTTTAAGTAATTTAACTAATAGCATAATCTCATTCTGTATTGAAATAAGTGTTTTGAGAGCTATTAATTCTTTTAATAATATTGTTTGTCTTCAATGGAATGAAAGTTAAACACTGGGTAGTTCACAGTTTACACCTCATTATCTGCAAATCAGGGATGTCTCAGTCAATTAATTAGCCAATTAAGATAAGCAAACACAGTGACACACTCCCTCTCTTACAGATACTTATAACCTCTCACTGATATAAAAGCAACCTTACAATTTTGAATGAAAACATGAGAATGATTTTGCAAATTTTAAAGTTATTAAAGGACAAGTTTGAAGTTGTTTAAACATTTTCAGATATGAATAAGTATTTCCATCTTCTTTTTTTTTTTGAGTACAATGTAGTTTATTTACCAAATTGTTTATAGTTAATACATCACTTAAATCTGTTTTTGCTATTTATAATTTTCTATTACAAGACAAAGTTTTTCAACCTCTGAAATATGAAAAAGGACATGCAGCAAGAGGACAGTGGGTCAAATGTAAAACGCACACGAAAAATCTGTATATTTCATTAATAAATGGTTGAAATACACTTCTGAATTATTTAATACTAGACCAGTAGTTCTATAATGGAAATTTTATTGAGAACATTATTAAAATTATGATAATAAAAGTTAGGAAACTCAAACATTACACTAGGTGGTTTATAATTTGAGATATATGTGTGACTGACTGGAAATAATTCTCCAAAATAACATCCATTTATGTATAAAATAATCAAAAGTAATCAAAAAAGTAATTATAATTACATTGAAAATTTTAGCTGTAATCGATTAAATTACGATTACAAGTAATCGAAAATCTCTTCGATTACAGATTACTGTCGATTACTTGAAAAAAGTAATCATTACAATCGATTACGATTACTCGATTACGATTACCCCATCCCTGATACACACTACTACCTGATATTTCCTACAGTATCATCTAATATTTCCTCTGTCTATTATTGTAAGATATATCTGGTACATACATGTATCTGATGTTTCCTCTGTCTATTATTGTAAGATATATCTGGTACATACATGTATCTGATGTTTCCTCTGTCTATTATTGTAAGATATATCTGGTATATACATGTATCTGATGTTTCCTCTGTCTATTATTGTAAGATATATCTGGTACATACATGTATCTGATGTTTCCTCTGTCTATTATTGTAATATATATCTGGTACATACATGTATCTGATGTTTCCTCTGTCTATTATTGTTTGATATATCTGGTACATACATGTATCCAATATTTCCTCTGTCTATTATTGTAATATATATCTGGTACATACATGTATCTGATATTTCCTCTGTCTATTATTGTCTGATATATCTGGTACATACATGTATCTGATATTTCCTCTGTCTATTATTGTAATATATATCTGGTACATACATGTATCTGATGTTTCCTCTGTCTATTATTGTCTGATATATCTGGTACATACATGTATCTGATGTTTCCTGTCTATTATTGTAATATATATCTGGTACACACATGTATCTGATATTTCCTCTGTCTATTATTGTCTGATATATCTGGTACATACATGCATCTGATGTTTCCTATTATATTCTTGTCTGCATTATCTGATATACCAAGTAGGGTTGGATACCGTTAAGGATGAAATGGTACGATACCATACTGGTGTTTTTTTAAGACAATCCGGTATTTTTAACGATATGGTACTATACACTGATGAATGAGAATGAGGGTTCATTTTATAACAAATGTGCTTTCACTATTCACTAACCTTTCAATGTTATAATCTAAAATGAGCTTATAAACTATGTTCCATACTTTTAAGAGATAACAATATATATTCCTAATATTCAAACTACCGGTACAAACATTTCACTTCAACCTTTTAATAATGATCAACAAAACAAATAAATTGGATCCCAAACAAATAAATTTGCACAAATCGGCTGATTGCTTCACCCAGTTGCCAGGACCGATTTTGTTTGGTCACACTAAATGACGAAACATTAGATAATGGATAGATCACATTTTTGCGATATTTTGCCTTTTTAATTTACATTTATTATCAGTTTTTATTAATAAAATTAAAACAAGATTCATTTGAATGTATTTTAATTTTTTTTTAAAGAAATATACGTATTGATTTACCTCGAATATCAGCATCAAAAGTATCGTACTAAGCATCCATTTCATGAATTAGCCTACCCTTTCGATTTTAGCAAGACTGGAATCATTTTTTTTAAAAATCATTTTGAATGTATTAAAATGTTTCAAAGATTAAGAAGTATCGTTATTAGTACCGGTATTAAATAAAATGGTATTTTACCGGTATTTTTGGAGTAACTATTCGGTACGATATTGGTACCGGTATCCAACCCTAATACCAGGTAAATACGTGATGTTTCCTATGCATTATCTGATATACCTTGTACATACCTGATGTTTCCTATGCATTATCTGATATACCTGGTACATACCTGATGCTTCCTATGCATTATCTGATATACCAGGTACATACCTGATGTTTCCTATGCATTATCTGATATACCTGGTACATACCTGATGTCTCCTATGCATTATCTGATATACCTGGTACATACCTGATGTTTCCTATGCATTATCTGATATACCAGGTACATACCTGATGTTTCCTCTGTGTATCCTTGTCAGCATTGTCTGATATACCTGGTACATACCTGTTGTTTCCTATGCATTATCTGATATACCTGGTACATACCTGATGTTTCCTATGCATTATCTGATATACCTGGTACATACCTGATGATTCCTCTGTGTATCCTTGTCAGCATTGTCTTATATACCTGGTACATACCTGATGTTTCCTATGCATTATCTGATATACCAGGTACATACCTGATATCTGATATACCCGGTACATACCTGATGTTTCCTCTGTGTATCCTTGTCAGCATTGTCTGATATACCTGGTACATACCTGATGTTTTCTCTGTTTATCCTTCTCTGAAGTGTCCGATGTCCAATCCTCCATCTCTGAGATGCTATCAGCTGCAGAAATATTTATGTCAGTATTTTCTGTCTGTGGGTCTAATTTCATTGTTTTATTCTCTTTTGCCAACTTCATATTTGAAGGCAACAAGCTTACAAATTTGGGATTGTTCTGTTTATCAGTCAGACCTAGCTTATGTTGACTGGTAGTAAATTCTATTGTGTCTCTATTGGATTCTGGGTTTATGGCAGCTAAGTCTTCTGGGATCACAAGCTGAATATTACTACTTCTTACACTGGTCGACTCAGGCCAGGAAAGCTGTACATTCTGTATTACATTTCTGCTTTCCTTCACAGCTGTACTCTTTTTATCACTCTCATCTTTCACTTCTTGGTTTGTTTCTGTTTCAGCATTTGAGTCTGTGGATAAACTCTGACCACAGTTCACACTAGAGGGATAGATTTCTATCTGTTCAGATCCATGTGAAATTCCCATGACATTGAATACATTCTGGATGGGGGTGAATGAATAGTTCTGGTCCGAGTCTATAATCTGACATCCCTCTGACCCTTGCTCTGAGACATTAGTATCCAAGGAAACTGACTGAACCAGATTTAACTGGTTTTCTTCCCCAGTTTGGGGAGCCATTAATGTTCCCATAATGGAAATTTCACCCAGTGCACCAACGCTTCCCCCCACCATAGAATTCAGTTGTAATGGCTGACTATTGATAATGGACAGCTGACCAATGTCAATTGACTGCCCATCTATGGTTCTTAGCTGACTGAATGGAATGCTAAATGAGGAATTCTGGTTAGAGCTTGACACTACAATGACAGGTGGTTCAGATCTAGAAGGGTTTTCCCCATTTTCTAACAACTGTGGCTGGCTAGAACCTGTAGAATTGTCACAATTAATACTTCCTTCAAATGAATGGCCTTCTAGCATTATTGTTTCTTTTGAGTCATTAGATGATTCCATTGCTGCTTTGTAAAATCTGCTACACAACTAGATCAATACGAGACCTTTCAAGGACTTGATGCAGTAGTTTAATCTGCTTGTTCTTTGACTGGTGTGTATATCCAAAACAATACTTCATTCTTCTAACTAATTGTGGATATATGGTGTACTTGAAATCAGTCTGAAATATCAAAAATGGATCACACATGTTATTTCTTAGAGTCAAATACACAAGACAAAAAACAAATACTGGTACCGGTAAATGTTCATAAACTTAGTTAATGAATTAATCAATATAATTACCAAAAAATGGAAGTAAGCATGTCTGAAAAATTATATGTAATTGAAGAACAAAAAAAGTAAATCTTAAAGCATCTTCATGTATAATGTGACCATGCACGGAAAATAATTTATTGATTGTGAAAAAAAGCAAGGTCTAGAATAATTTCTGATGCTTGTCCAGCATGTGTTATCTGTTGATATTTTTTTTTATTTACAAAACTAAACTGAACATTTAGTTATCATACATGGATATCATCCCTAGATACATGGTATGCCTGTTTCATTTATTGAGAATCAGTTAATGCTGCATTAAGGGGAAATGTAATGAATAGGTGAGAGCAAAGCAAATAAATGCTATTAAAATAACATGAAACAATTTTTCGTGGTTAAGCATCTTCCTATCATTCAAAAACCTACCAATCTCAGTGAATCTATTCACATAAACAAACGTGTGAAAATATAGTACACATATAAACAACATAATTCATAGGATTTGATTACCCACCTCTGCAGTCATCATTGAATAGATGCTTAAAAGTATTCAAAATGAGTCATATATATGAATGGTATCAGTTCATATTTATGAAGTTACATATTACATATAGGTATTCATTTTTTCTCCAAATAGCATACCTGTATGTAATAATATAGGCAATTTAATTTTGACATGTGAACAATAAATAATAGCTAGACCAGACCAAGATAATATATTAGCATAATATTTGTGGTTTACAGTAGAGAAACCATTGACAAGTGGTCAAGATTTGATCCATGAAAACCAAATGTGCAGTTAAGTAGAAATGACACTTCAACTTGCCATTTCATATAGAAGTATATATGACATTCACAAATGCCACTTTCATATGTCCTAAAAAATATATTTTAAAAAATTCAACAAAAATTTCTGCATTTCACTTTCATGCAGTTAATGCATACCAATTCACCTATACCACATAGTGAGTTACTGCACTCTAGGAAGTTAGCATGTTTTGTGCCCTAGTTTTCATGTTCTCTGAATCCTTGTTTTGTTTTTTATGAATTCGAAGTAATATGATTACTTGCCAAAACAATAAATGAGTCCCTGTACACAACATCATAACTGAACAATTATCTTTCATATTCAAAGGGCCAGAACATTAGCATCCTCGCAAGCCATAGGTTTTGTGTCCATTCTCTTTCCACAGACAAGAATGGACACAAACCCCTTGGCTTGTGATGATGGAACAGAACACTGATCACACCAGTACACTGCAGGTAGTGAACAGGGAGTGTAGCTGATGACTGAAGAGCACGGATACAGTACCGGACATTTTATCAACTATCATGAAGTTCCAAATAGCCCTAAATGGAAATACCCGTCCCTTCCTTGTATCAAACATGTGTTTTTATACAAAGAGTAGTGAAAATTTTCGATTTAGAGCTATATTTGCAACTATTTATAGAATATTCCAGGTGCTTGTACATGTTGTAGAACGACTGGTGAAAGCAAAACTGCAATAGGCTAGATCTCTCATAATTCAAAAAGCTGAAAACATTAATTACACATATTCAATTGAAAGGTTAAGTACAGTATAACTATTAAATCAATTTAACCGTAAATATCTTCACCTCTGCATTGATCTGACAAACTTACTCGAAGTATCCCGATCCCGCATGAAAATAGCATTCCGAACCCGGGCCTTTAAATTTGAATCAGCTACAATAGTCATTTATGAAAGAACCAAATTACATATACTTAAAAATTGGCTTGAGAAGGGGTTTATTTTGTTGCAAATGCCAGAAAAGCACTCTTAGCAATCCGTACTTTCATACCTATCCAACGTTTACAGTTAAACAATACATTTAACAGTTTAATGTCAAAACTTTTCCTATAGCTGGACTTTTTTAAACCCGAAATTCAACTGTTATTATTAAGTCTGTATAAGACGATTTCAAAACCATCAACAGCAACATGATCCATAGGATTAATGCAAGAAATGAAATTAATTACTGGAAGTATGTTTGGTTTGTAGGAAATTTAACATATTGTTCGTATTTAGATTGTTTAATTAGTATGGAAGTTTCCATATTTTCTAAGCAGAGTAAAAGGATAAGTTTAGAGTTCTGAATTTTGTTAAGTGGTCTTCATATTATGATATAAACTGGAAAAAATTGTTCACAATATTATTTTCAGTGGTCAAATCGTATATGACAATTGTAGATGTCTTAGAGTTCGCAAAAAAGGTCCCTCCAAACCCCCCTTCTCCAAATCCTTATCGAGAGGGGGCGACCCCCTCCTTGCCTACCCACACTTTGCGCCTCAGGTTAAATCTGTGACTTCACACTAGCCTACACATTAGCAGAAAGGAATATACGCCACTATGTTAAATCTGGAACTGTCTATGCCCACACTTGAAGACTAGTTTCTCATATTACATTTAGAAATTAAACAAAAAATGGCTGTACATTGAAAGTCATATCCTTCCCAATCAGGATTAAGTTATTAACCAAACAGAAATCAGCGCTCATACATGCACGTCCTCGTATTCATTTCTGATGATTGAATAATGTAGAAACTTGTATTATGATATATATATATATATATATATATATATATATATATATATATATATATATATATATATATATATATATATATATATATATATATATATATATATATATATATATTCAGAGAGAATTTCATCTTCTTTCGTTAACAATTAAAAAATTATAATACTAGCAATCAGCCAATAAGATTTCATGTTTGTGATAGGACCCTTGACTAAATACATGCTAAATGGACCAATTTCTCGGAAAGATGCGAATGTTGTGTTATAAAAGTGTATTTTTAAGGTATAGTGGATCTTTGCTGCATATTTTTGTTAACCAAAATATGTAAATTTTTTACGCAAACTTTAAGGATAAACTCTAAAAAAAAAAAAAAAAAAAAAAATGGAGCGAAGGCCCATTCATATCGAATTTTTTTTTTTTTTTTTTATGAGAAAATGATCCTTGTCTTCCCTCTTTAGTCATGTTAGTGTGTGTATGCTATCTCGTAGGCAAATAATTTCAATCTTTGTGAGGTTTTCAATTTGCAAATTGTGGAGATTTTTCGTAAAGTATACTTTAATGTTAGATGAAATATCGAAGAAAATTTTGTTATAAATTAATTGAGATTTTTTCGCCTTCATGTTTGTCGCAATATAGGCATTTCGCTCCCGTTATTCGACCATCTACTTTGATAGTAGGAACCCATTATACATGTACCTATCCGTATTCTAAATTTCATCCTATTTTGTTGAAAACTAAATAAGTTAGACATTTAAAGTTTCAACCAATCAAATTACAGCACACGTGCATACACGTGTGTTCAAGAATTTCCATATAAAATATATTGTAGAACCTTATAATATATACCTATATCTTAAACTTCAAAGTAAGTATTTTGTCAAAAAACAAGGAAGGTGATGAGATTTTGCTCCATCCCCAAGGAGCCGGGGAGGAGTGGGGGGGGGGGCATGAAATTCACAATTTTTGTTCCCCTTTCTTCATAGATGTTGTATACCAAAATTGCTTGGAATTTGTGTAGTGTTACCAGAGAAGAAGCCGAAGATGTTCAAATGTAAATGGACGACACAAAGCGCACAATGACAGACAAAACCATATTGCAATAGGTCACTTATGTGAGGTGGTCTAAAAATGGAAAAATTAAAACTGAAATCAAGGTATGTCTCTTAATGACACCTGTTAAATAAAAACCGATAAGGTAATTGTTGGAAGGTTTGTTACGCAGAATCTTTGATGCACGAATATATATAGCCAAACTTCCCCCATGGGGGATTTATTTGCTATGGGGGAAGTTTGGCTCTACAACACAGGAGATTTGGTTGAAATTGATTGTGTGGTTCTGTTTGCAAAGGGGGGGGGGGGGATTGTTTCAGATCCTCCCCCATGGAATTTTCAGTTATGAAATATATACATATCATATATTTATATGATATGATATGTGGATCCTCTAAAAAATATGGATACCTGGCAAAATGGTATGGAGAGTCATATATATATATATATATATATATATATATATATATATCTATATCTATATCTATATATATAAAGGACAGTGACCCCCTCCCGAACACACTAAATAATTTTTTTAGTTTTTTTTTTTTTTTTTTTTTTTTTTTGTAAATAGAATTTTTGGGGTCAGGATAACTTTTTTTTTTTTTTTACTTTTTTTGGGGGGGAGGGGGGATTTCTGATTCATATTTTTTTTATATACATATTTCAGTTGATGTGCCCCCCCCCCCCTTTTAAAGAAATTCTTGATCTTCACATGGGTTCTGGATAAATCAATAGAGTTTTTAAAGTTTATGAAAAAAGACTGTCAGCTGTAGATGATACAAAGGACGAGAGTAACAAATGATCCTAGTATTATGTAATAGCTGAAATACATATACCTGCATAAGATTAAAATGTCCTTTGGAAAAAAATGACTGCACAACCACAATTTATTATGAAACAATATTTACTGAACACATATATGTAAGTCATCATATACATAACTCCACAATATCAAATAATGGTGAATATTTTTGAAATAAAACTGATTCAAGTATCAAATAAATTAAATTTATCTTTCTCTCCCTCTCTCTCTCTCTTTCTCTGACTAAAGTTGTCTGTTATAACAAACTAAAAACATCACAATTTCCAAAATGTTACTAATTCCATATACCGGATGTATATTATGGAGAATAATAAATGACAGTTAGCTGTTATGTCCAAGCTTTTTTTTTTTTACATAGGAGACAAAAGCAAACATCATTTAGAATTATATTTATATTGCACACAAACAAAGGCTCACAAATTCAAATAAAAAACAAAAAAAAGAGCCATAAATAGATGTTTCATACCTGGTCCTCAATGCACATCAAACATATTTTAGTGTATATCTTTGTAACAGTCATTTATATATCCCTATCAGGCCTCTCTCACTCACACTAGCTAACATGTACGTCACTTATATCACACCATTTGTACATACAACATCAAATCACTGAATAATAACATCACAGACAATTATCTACACAATGTATGGCAACATGGCAGAATAAAAAAAAAAAATAGGCAAAACATTCAAACCATGTCATGATCTGTAAATATATAAGGACAAACTTGAAACACTCTGATAAATTTTAGACGAAACATTGTCCAAATTCTGCTGTTTTTCAATTTGACAAACAAGTACACATCTTGAACTCTATATCACAGTGGAATGTTACTTATTTTACAAGCCACATTGCTGAAATCAGTAACATTAATAATTATACTAGTAGCAACAATACACATAAATCACAAATAATCAAAACGAAAGATTTGAAATAAAAATTTACTTTAAAGAAATATACTATAAGTACTTAAATTAGCACACTCAAAATAATAAGATCAATCATCCCTATCCTCTTTAATGGTTAGCTCAATTAGAGTTTTAACAATCACATTTATAATTGGTTTAATAAAGTATTGTCCTATACATAAATTAGCAGAAAAAAGGCAGTGCAAAAGGCACTAAAATATTATTCAGGCTAAAATAAGTATGTTTTATACAGTTACTGCATGTACAGATTTCAAATCACTAAATGAGCATTTAATCAATTTGATCAGCAACATTTTGGCATTACTTATTCTAGAATAAACTTACAGTGTCTGGATAGGCCCTAAAGCACTACCTCTTAAGTATAAAATGTGTCATATCCCACATGAATGATGCTAGTGTACACAACCAACTCATAAACAGAAACAAAAGAAAACTGCTAATCCATAAAACACTTCTCTTCAGATCAGTTGTTTAAATGTGATTAAGCTGGCCCATAAAATTCATTTTATACCTGTCCAAATGATATTATCTTCAATGATGTTATTTTTGTGACATACATATCAGGAATGCCTTAGATTTCTTCCCTTTTTTTATCCCCTAACCCACCCATGAACTCAGATTTTATAGATCCTGTTAAATTATACTCAAACACTGTTAATTGTAACAATATATGTAAATTAAACATACACACTCTCTAGTACATAGTACATACAATATTTATGAATATAATTCAATATAAAAAATTGCACTTGGGACTAAAAAACAGATTGATCTGGCAGTTTGCCATTGTCATATAATGTATATAGATTACATGTAATTTTTTAATGCCATCAGTATTATATAATCACATTTGTAAAGAAATGAAAAAAGGTATACATGTATCCCATAGCAAATGCTTAAAGTCAAAATAGACATAGTTCATGATCAAACTTAAGAATTAGAGAGCCCAAAAAAGATCAAAAATCAAACATGATGTGAACAAAAGTTGGGCCCTAGAACTGGACGAGTGTTCATCAACTATATACCCTTGAATTCAAAATGAACAGGCAACTGATCAGAACTTGATCTACAGCAAACATTGATCCTTTTTTTGTTACACAATTTAGCATCACCCAAGTTTGTTATTAAATATTTGATTACATATTTCAATCAAATACACTGTATAATGACATTATTTGCTATCATGTACAACCCTTTAAAAGCAAAAAAAGCATGAGACACATGTATAAAATATCTCTTTAAAATAACTTGCTCTATAAGATCAGATTAATGATAAAACCTTAATACTTCCTTTATAAATTAATTGGTTTTCCCCCTAATATTTATGGAGACTTTTATGTATGATAGTATCAATGCTGACATTGACAGAACAGGTTCTTCTTTTCTGAGATGGAAAGAAATTCTGTTTGTCTGGTTCCCTAGCCAGACATTGACCCTGGCTGGTGCCCTTGCCAGCTAATGTTACAAACTCCATCTTGTGTTGTTCATTGGAATGCTTAAAGGGATGTTATTGTGTACTTTTTTAATATTCTCTCCGATTTTTTTTTTCACTCGTATGGACGTGTAGTGGGATCTGCCTTGGGTTGTTGGCCATTCTTCATTAATGGTTTAGAATAAGCTGGTTCATCTTTGGCTCGTTTTCTTTTGAAAAATCCACACTGAAAATACGTAAACAATAATATACTACTCCTCTTCAGCAATAAATACGAATTCAAAAGATCTTCTTTAATATTACACATGAAAATCGGTTTCTTTACAAATACATGTATTATTGAAAAAAATTATTGTTGAATTAAAAAATAAAGGTAGATGTGTTATAGGACTTACCACCCATAGTACGACAATGATAATCAGCAGCAAGAGTAATCCCCCTACAATGGCTACCGCAATCTTCCAGATTTCCACACCCTTCACTCGTGGGGCCAACCTCTCCGCATTCACATACGTGGACACCTATCAAACCAAAAAACTTAATTACAGAGCATTGGAATATAAAGCTACAACTCTCTGAAGAGATGACTCAAATATGAAGCATTATAAAATACTTTAACAAATCTGGATGACATGGTGTTTGCATGTCAAAGTTACAAACAGAATATAACCTCACCTCAGACAATGACACCATGTATGTTATAACCTCACCTCTGACAATGACACCATGTATGATATAACCTCACCTCTAGCAATGACATGTATGTTATAACCACACCTCTGACAATGACACCATGTATGATATAACCTCACCTCTAGTAATGACACCATGTATGTTATAACCTCACCTCTGACAATGACACCATGTATGTTATAACCTCACCTCTAGTAATGACAACATGTATGTTATAACCTCACCTCTGACAATGACACCATGTATGTTATAACCTCACCTCTAGTAATGACAACATGTATGTTATAACCACACCTCTGACAATGACACCATGTATGATATAACCTCACCTCTAGTAATGACACCATGTATGTTATAACCTCACCTCTGACAATGACAACATGTATGATATAACCTCACCTCTGACAATGACACCATGTATGATATAACCTCACCTCTAGTAATGACACCATGTATGTTATAACCTCACCTCTGACAATGACACCATGTATGATATAACCTCACCTCTAGTAATGACACCATGTATGATATAACCTCACCTCTAGTAATGACACCATGTATGATATAACCTCACCTCTGACAATGACACCATGTATGATATAACCTCACCTCTAGTAATGACACCATGTATGATATAACCTCACCTCTGACAATGACACCATGTATGATATAACCTCACCTCTGACAATGACACCATGTATGATATAACCTCACCTCTGACAATGACACCACGTATGATATAACCTCACCCCTGACAATGACATGTATGTTATAACCTCACCTCTAACAATGACACCATGTATGTTATAACCTCACCTCTAGCAATGACAACATGTATGTTATAACCACACCTCTGACAATGACACCATGTATGATATAACCTCAGCTCTAGTAATGACACCATGTATGATATAACCTCACCTCTGACAATGACACCATGTATGATATAACCTCACCTCTGACAATGACAACATGTATGTTATAACCTCACCTCTGACAATGACACCATGTATGATATAACCTCACCTCTGACAATGACAACATGTATGTTATAACCTCACCTCTGACAATGACACCATGTATGATATAACCTCAGCTCTAGTAATGACACCATGTATGATATAACCTCACCTCTGACAATGACACCATGTATGATATAACCTCACCTCTAGTAATGACACCATGTATGATATAACCTCACCTCTGACAATGACACCATGTATGATATAACCTCACCTCTGACAATGACACCACGTATGATATAACCTCACCCCTGACAATGACAACATGTATGATATAACCTCACCCCTGACAATGACAACATGTATGATATAACCTCACCTCTGACAATGACACCACGTATGATATAACCTCACCTCTGACAATGACACCATGTATGATATAACCTCACCCCTGACAATGACAACATGTATGATATAACCTCACCTCTGACAATGACACCATGTATGATATAACCTCACCCCTGACAATGACAACATGTATGATATAACCTCACCCCTGACAATGACAACATGTATGATATAACCTCACCTCTGACAATGACACCATGTATGATATAACCTCACCCCTGACAATGACAACATGTATGATATAACCTCACCTCTGACAATGACACCATGTATGATATAACCTCACCCCTGACAATGACAACATGTATGATATAACCTCACCCCTGACAATGACAACATGTATGATATAACCTCACCTCTGACAATGACAACACGTATGATATAACCTCACCTCTGACAATGACACCATGTATGATATAACCTCACCCCTGACAATGACAACATGTATGATATAACCTCACCTCTGACAATGACACCATGTATGATATAACCTCACCCCTGCCAATGACAACATGTATGTTATAACCTCACCCCTGACAATGACAACATGTATGTTATAACCTCACCTCTAGTAATGACAACATGTATGATACATCCTCACCTCTAACAATGACACCATGTATATAACCTCACCTCTGACAATGACACCATGTATGATATAATCTCACCTCTGACAATGACACCATGTATGTCTCATTGTGTTGATCCACTGGAATATTGTATGGCATGGTTTGGACTTGTGCAAGTGCTTGTGATTTCAAATTAAATGGTTCTGATGTTAGACCTCTCTAGAAAAATAGAAAAAAGAGCAATTATTATGATTTTCATCTCAGTCCAAACAATGGTTCTTATTCTCAGTCTCTTGGTCTTATGAGATCTTGCAAGTCTGAACACCACTATATCTTGATTTTGATGTTGTCTGAACACCACTATATCTTGATTTTGATGTTGTCTGAACACCACTATATCTTGATTTTGATGTTGTCTGAACACTACATTATGTTCTGAGATCTTGTTGTTATTCTGAACGCTACATTTTGTTCTGAGATCTTGTTGCTGTCTGAACACTGCATTATGTTCTGAGATCTTGTTGTTATTCTGAACACTACATTTTGTTCTGAGATCTTGTTGTTAGTCTGAACACTACATTATGTTCTGAGATCTTGTTGTTAGTCTGAACACTACATTATGTTCTGAGATCTTGTTGTTATTCTGAACACTACATTGTGTTCTGAGATCTTGTTGTTATTCTGAACACTACATTTTGTTCTGAGATCTTGTTGTTAGTCTGAACACTACATTGTGTTCTGAGATCTTGTTGTTAGTCTGAACACTACATTGTGTTCTGAGATCTTGTTGTTAGTCTGAACACTACATTATGTTCTGAGATCTTGTTGTTATTCTGAACACTACATTTTGTTCTGAGATCTTGTTGTTATTCTGAACACTACATTATGTTCTGAGATCTTGTTGTTATTCTGAACACTACATTTTGTTCTGAGATCTTGTTGTTAGTCTGAACATTACATTTTGTTCTGAGATCTTGTTGTTATTCTGAACACTACATTTTGTTCTGAGATCTTGTTGTTATTCTGAACACTACATTTTGTTCTGAGATCTTGTTGTTATTCTGAACACTACATTTTGTTCTGAGATCTTGTTGTTATTCTGAACACTACATTTTGTTCTGAGATCTTGTTGTTAGTCTGAACACTACATTTTGTTCTGAGATCTTGTTGTTATTCTGAACACTACATTTTGTTCTGAGATCTTGTTGTTGTCTGAACATTACATTTTGTTCTGAGATCTTGTTGTTGTCTGAACACTACATTTTGTTCTGAGATCTTGTTGTTATTCTGAACATTACATTTTGTTCTGAGATCTTGTTGTTATTCTGAACATTACATTTTGTTCTGAGATCTTGTTGTTATTCTGAACACTACATTTTGTTCTGAGATCTTGTTGTTATTCTGAACACTACATTTTGTTCTGAGATCTTGTTGTTATTCTGAACACTACATTATGTTCTGAGATCTTGTTGTTAGTCTGAACACTACATTATGTTCTGAGATCTTGTTGTTAGTCTGAACACTGCATTATGTTCTGAGATCTTGTTGTTGTCTGAACACTACATTTTGTTATTAAGAGAGTAGTTTCCTATTACCTTGGGGTACTATAAATTTGCGATTTCCTTCATATTAACCTTTCTGTATTTGTATAAAATCGTTAAGATACTTACTAAGATTAGAGTATTTGTCCATATATGTGACTTAATTCGGATGATAGCTGCCTCTCTAGAATCCACCATTCGGCCAGGCATGGGACCCAAGAAACATTTTATAAATGTACAGTACTGATTATTGCAGACCTGAAATAAAAGATGAATTACTGCAACACTTAATATTTCATCATTTTATGATACACAGCTGAATCTCAATATGGTTCAAACTTTGATCTCTCCAAGTTATTGATTTCTTAAATTTAGGCTTCAGTTCCACTTTTTCCCCTGTTATACATTAATTTAAATTGACAGCTAGTTAGGACTGACATGTGTGGATGTCAGCCTTGTCTTTGAGTGACCAAAAGTAATATTATAAAGGATTTTATGCATCAGGACTTTGGAGATGCACTGTACTTCAAGACATCAACATGAAAATTGATGACCATAGGGAAATAGGTGAAAAAATGTCAGCTTTTTACTTCTTCAGCTTTTGATCTCTCAGAGTTTAGCAGTGGTACCTTGAACTCTAAATTTTGAAAGTTACCTGTACAACAGGTACACATTGTAACAAATAATGTTAAATGTTATTTTTTTCCTTCTCCATTCATAACTTCTGTAACTAAATTGCTTCTTTTACTTGAAAATCATAAATTAAATATGTGATGACGTACTGTAAGTGTAAAATCACTTTTTACCTTTATTTTCTTGTGGTATGAAGAAACCCAAAAATTTATTTCCTCCAGGAAATGTTAAAATTTCAAACTGACTCTATATTTCTTTATCCATGAAATTGAATCCCAACAAAGCAATATCTTTTTCTCAAACCACAAAATTTGACACACAAAAATAAGTAATTCTACAGTACTGCAACATACTTACAAATTTAGTGGGACAACACTGACATGTATTTAGAAGACAACAAACAATTACAATGTACATACCACGTTTTTAACATTGGATGTTTCCCGTTTGGTTCTGCTATTCCTTTTTGACTTGGTCTGAAGACGGACATTAATTCGGCTGTTTCCCTCTCTATAGGTAAAATCCTAGAAATCAGACCATTTAAAGCAAAGTCAGATCATGTGAACAAAGAATATGTAGATTATTACACCTTATTAAAAATATCATTTTCATAATGTGTTAGAATATTGCTGATAATCAAATTCAAATACATATACTTTGCAGAAGGAGAAGCCATAAGGAAAAAGCCTTCCAGAAAATATAGTGAACAAAATTGAATTTCAGTTACCGTAGAATTTTCGGGAGACAGAAGCTGTGTTTGACAGAAGCCTCCTTCGTGATTGAGAACTATGGGTTCTTCATCTATTTTGAGCAAATGATTTCCTTGATCATCAAAGCTTGGCCAGTATATATTTATCAAACTGCTACTCACAGGTGTTGGGCCAAGATTTCTTACCTACAAGATAGCATTGTGTATGAAATGTTCTGTCCTACATAGATATTTATATATTCCTAGTCATATATGACTAAATAGATTTAAATTATTTGATATTTTTCTTTACACAGAATTTTATCTCAATTATTTCTGACAGTCAGACAGTCAGCCAAACGTAGATGTGACTATACATAAATACACACCCTGTACTCGTGAATAATTTCTGGGCCAAATCCTGTGCCTTTGTACAATTTCACACCAGTGGCATTGTAGATTATTTGTTCTGTTGAAGCAGCTAAATTTCTGTAAAAAACCAACTAAATTTTATATCTCTGTAATCATAATTTCTTTCTGAATGAGAGGCCCATGAGCCACATTGCTCATTTGAGTTATATGACTCCCCCCTTTTTTTTAGACAAATGACAATACATGTGTAGAGAAATCTCCTTCATGTAGCATGGAATCAAGTAAAATAGCATGTACAATGTATTTATGATTGCATAATACATGTATAATTATGTAATCAATTTGATAAAATTATACTACTCTTGTTGTTCTTCAAGATATAATACACTGCATTCAAAACTTTAAATCCTACCATCCCCCCCCCCCCCCTTCCCCCGATAAAGATAACAGAGATCATGACATTCACAAAACTGAAGATTTATACAACTATCCTAGATGCTTGCATATATATAAAAAAGGAAATTTTGGTATTAGTGTTCTAGAAACTTTCTTCTATTATATGACTTATGACTGTATAAAACAGTAGTGATCATGTGTACAACATTGAACTTACGCAGAAATCTCCAGCACAGCGTGTTGTCGGACATCTATATGCATGGTATACACATTATCCCACATGTCTGTACTATTTTCTGGGTTTGAACTGAAACAAAGTAAGACATCATTTGTCTTGAATTAATGACAGCTTATTGACAAATAGAGGAAAATAATGTTGTCTTGTTTAGTTCAGGCCTATTTTACAAAAGAACTTGTGACTAAGACCAAAAACTTTAAGTGCTTGTAAATTTTCCAAAATTAATGATTCCAAAGTCTCAATCTTGTCAATGTGAATCTGTTGGGAAGGGAGGTAACTGAAATCAATTAAAAGATAAAATTTCAAGTACCTGTTAACATTTAATTTAAATGCGAGTTTGTCGGTAGATCCATCAGTGTTGTTAGGAGTTACCAGCAAAGTAAAGTAAGTCTGAAATAAACAAGAAGTTAGCTTCCATGAAAAACAGTCAAGTTGTGATTGCCTGTGAAATAGTTGACAATATGTTAATATATAAGTTTCTTGTCTACTTTAATGTATACCAGACTCAGTAAACAATCTTACTTTGGCTCTGGCTGGCATGGGGTTTCCTATGTCACAAATAACAAAGCGAGTTTCATTGATGGGTACATGCCTGCATGTCAAAGGTACAGCCTACAAAAGATGAAAATGTACAACACATGAAACTAATAGTTGAACTTTGTTATCTTGAACATCGATATCTTGAAAGACCATGGATATCTCCAAAAGAGTTTCACGTTCCAACAACCTTTTCTTTACATATTTTTATCTTGATATCTTGAATCTATATTAAGTTTTTTTTCTCGGTCCCACTGACTTCCAGATAACAAGGTTTGAAGATTACAAATAACACTGTATGTATACTTTTAATTCTTTTCCTTCTGGATCATCAGGTCGTGTGTTCGAATCATGGCTGCAACTGACCTAAGTCGATAAAAATAGGTAGCAAATGTTCCTTTGCCAAGCGCTTGGCACTTTGAAGTTGCGGGTCTTTCTAATGAGACCTTAAAGGTGCTTAGACACAGATTTGAAGTTAATATTTTCTCAAATTTTCTGTATAATATCTTGACTTATATATTGGAATAGCATTTCACATGAAAATATAATTAAAAACTTATTTTATCTGGAAATTATTTGAACTACAAATTCCTGGACATGTTTGATTAACACATACTTGCACTTTCACAAATTTTATCTATATCCTTAATATTTAAGAAAAGAAGCGATTTTGTTGTGTATTAATGAAAAACATTACATCTATAATCCAGAAAATTCAGAGTAGAAATGTGCGAAAGCAAACTCCCTCACTAATATCGTCAGCCCGTGCTCAGTGTTGTGTACAGAGTTTAACAAATTGAATACACCCGTGAAACGTAAACTGTTTTTGTAAACAGGGCACGAGCTCTGTTATTGTTAATGTTTACGCTTCACCGGGTGTGTTCAATTGTTAAAGTCTGCACACACCACTGAGCACGGACTGACAATACTGTGAGTGGGGTTTGCTTTCAAACATTTCTACTCTGAATTTTCTGGATTATAGTTTTAATATTTTTCATTAATACACAACAAAACTGCCACTTTTCTTAAGTATTAAGAATAAAATTAAAATTTGTGAAAGTGCAAGGATGTGTCAATCAAATGCGTCCAGAAATTTGAAGTTTCAATAACTTCGAGATGAAATAAGATTTTTATTATATTTTAGTATGAAATGCTATAGCAACATATAAGTCATGAAATTATACAGAAAATTTGAGAAAATATTAACATCAAATCTGTGTCCGATCACCTTTAAAAACCAAGGCCCCATGTCACGGTAGGCGTTGGCACGATAAAGAATCCTCACTGCTCAATGGCCGAGTGCCGAGTAAAGGTCTAAATTTGAAACCCTTCACCGGTACATGGTGACATCTCTATATGAGTGAAAAATTCTCGAATGGGACGTCACACAACATACTGTACAATCAATCAATCAATCTTTTCCCTCTGTCTATGATATTAATACAGAATAATTCTTATACTGAATATTTTCCTTACAGCATTAATATTGGTGATGCCACTGTATAACATTCCATTAGGTAGTTCTATGTAGAGCATTGTCTCGTATGAGTCCTCGGCAAATGTCCCAGAATTCCTCACTGTAATGCTAATCTCTATCTCCTCATTAGAACTTCCGACTTCTATGGGTGGTGCAAACCTTAACAGAAAGTAAATATTTATACATGTACTCAAAACCAATAACTATACATGTGTGTGGTACAAGCTAACTAAAGGACTTCCCCAGTTTGAGAAAATTCTAGCAAATCGTCAAAATAATTATAGGAATCATTCCACTGAATTTGCGTTGCCTGTTTTTTTTGTACCATGCAGCCTTGTAGGTGAAAATTTCAGCTGCTGATTCATGTAAATGTATGGGCTGATAATACAGCTTGATCACTGAAACTTTTTCATGAAATGTATAAATTACCCATTACACACTTACGGTTCAACTCTCTCAGCTAGAACAGACAAATCAGGAATGCATAACTCATCTTTTCCACAGTTCTTGCTTATTTTCCCCTGTAACATTAATAAACAACAGATATAAAATTACATTTATTTGACATCTCATATGATAACATGACTTTTACTTTATCTTGACATTCAAAAATTACTCAAAGCTTAGATTTTTCCATTGCAGTCTACATTGATTTTTAGATTTTACAACGTATATTGGATATCCTATCGCCATGGTTGATACATTTATTTTAGATTTTACACAATGTCTATGGGATATCCTACCTCCACTGTGACTGTTGATGGGATGTACTTGTCCAGTATGGGAGGGATGGTTTTGCGGACAACCTGTCGTTTATTTCGGCCTGACACTTCATTCTCTCCAAATAGACGGTAAGAAAAGGAGACATCTATAGGAGTTAACTTATCTCTAATGTTGTTCTGTAAAATAAACATGATCATTTGTCAAGGTACATGTGTATGTATATTTCCTATCACAAAAAAAAAATATGCGTATAACAGGGCCTGGGAAGGGGCTGCGCCATATGCGCATACTGTTGATAAATGCCACAATGAAATAATGGTGCGCTGCGTCATGCAGCCCCACAAAAAGGGCACGCATGTTTTATTACTTTGTAAGTTAATCCATCACAGTTGGTGCTACATGTATCGGTATTCATCAAAGTTAGATGGAATCTGTGATGATCGGAATCATCATATTGACATCCATTGGCAAAGAAACAAAGTTTTCTTTCCATGTGGTTTGTAAGTGTGAAGTCGTTTTCAACGATTGACCACAGCTTTACGATAGTCACGCACATGGAAAATATACCTTACAATGAAAAACCTTATCAACAAATGCTACTCTTTGTGCCCTGTCCCTTGATCTCTAAATTGGCATTGTTAAAAAATGGTGCTTTTGGTTTAAAAATAATTCTTCTACATACTAGTTGGTTAGAATCAAGATGACAAATGATTGAAGTTCTTAGAAACAGAAAAGTCAATGTCATATGACTTGTCAATTCCTTTCACATTTTTTCTTTTTAATTTTTGTAAATTTTGTTGTCAGAGATATATGCATTAATTTATCCTATAGCATCATACAATGTTATTTTTAGAATGGTCCATATATATTTTCCCTTGGCCCCTTAAATTTCGAAATGGCCCCATCATTTTATGAACAGTGGGGCCATTGGCCCCATCTGTTGCTTGACCTTCCCAGGCACTGATATAATTCAATCTTTGATGCTTTGTTTACATGTGAAAAATAATTGAATGAGTTTACATAAAATGAAGGAACGTAGTTGCTAATTACAGTGATGTACTACACACTACAAGAAAATTACACAGAATTGCAAACGTATTCAGCCATTTTATTTCAACGTTACTATGAGCTTTAGAGCTGAACACGATTTGTAAAAGGAATTTGTTCGCCATATTCAATTATTTGCTCGCTATATCTGAGGGACCCTATATAAGCCACTCACTTAGTCACTGTTCAGTATAATCAATTGTCACCGGTGTAGACGGATGCAGGCTACACAGCACTCATTAACAAAAAAATAACTGTGTACTTCTTCTACAGCAGGATAGTAACTTGAAGATACCAAAGAAACTTACAACAGTTGCACAGGTCAGTGCAGAATACAAACACAAATACACAGGTAACTGCAATAAAAAAAATAAACAGAGGCAATGCAAGATAACTGGCATGAACACGTGTCGCCATTCCACGCCAATACCCGTGACAATAAAGCAGTCAGGTTTAACAAATGCGAAGGGTATATCCCGGTGCTGATATCATAGATAGTACATGTATAATCGAATATGGCGTATGCCTATTTAAGAATCGTGTTCAGCTTTAATGTTTGGTCTATATACTTTTCGCACCTACTGTACACTCTAAGACCACTATGTAGATCACTTATAATAAAATAGACACCTACTAGTACATAGACAATGAAGTCATGACAATAAACCTCCATCTTTGTCAGTGTTAGATTGCGTTCAGAAACCACTGGCTGCTGGGTCTGATACTGAAACATCCGCTTAGAAATGTTCTTCCTCGCATCCAGTGTCCAGAAAAAGTCAAATCCTGTCAAGAAATTTACATAATCTGATAACTGGCACAATAAAAATAGAGCATTTTTGGTTACCCTGTGAAAGTTGCATCAAGGAAGAATAAATCATTAAATATACTGTAAAATCACATATTCTCGTGGGGTAAAATTTTCGAGGTTTGAGGAAAAAATATTAACTCATGGGGAATTGATTTCATGGTTGGAGAATGTTTAGTAGTAATGCATATGAAATTTTACACTTCATGAAGGTCATAAATTCGTGGGTCTCATCATACCTTGAACACAATGAAAGTTAACCCCCCATGAAAATTCATGATTTTACAGTAGCAGAGTAATAGATAATCAGGGGTAATACAGTACAATCATTTTGGGTTTTTTTTAATTATTATGATTCCAATGCAGTTTGTCCTTATAGGTAATACCTGACTGTTTTCAAAATATTCAAAGCATTCAATTTTGCAATAACTGGGCACTCTGCAGAAAGTACATTGCTATCTGTTGCATAGACACTTTAGAACACAGAATTTGTCATTCAATATCTTTAAAATGAGGTAAGAAACCCAGTAAAAAAAATGCTTTGAGATATGTGGGACAACACAATGAATAAAAAATATACAAAATATGAAAAAAATTAAATGACAAAAAAATTTTTCCAGCTCAATGTCCTTCCACTTACAATGACTGTGAGCTTGGTGTAGTAAGGATATACTCCTACAAGCATTACCTAGAAGTTTAACCCCTTACTCCATCTCTGTACAGCATAGAATTTTTTGAAATCAGTTCAAGTCAAATTGTGATCACTCTCTAGCTAATCAAAGCACGTGTACTCCTATGGAACTTCTGTAGGATGACTTGAAGGAAATACATGTACATGTATTTATCGAGGAACTATCGAGCAACCAAGCTGATCACTTACTCCTAATCCATTATAAAATAACTTACCAAGCTGATCACTTACTCCTAATCCATTATAAAATAACTTACCAATCTAATCACTTACTCCTAATCCGTTTTAAGATAACTTACCAAGCTGATCGCTTACTCCCAATCCATTATCAAATAACTTACCAAGCTGATCACTTACTCCTAATCCATTATACTCCACACACGTCCTTACAATCAAACTGAAAAGTAGAGATTGTATATGCTATCAACACTGTTACATTGTCAACTATGTTTTGATAAATAGAAAAATAAACATGAGTCTTCTTGGGGAAATCTCAATACTTTGACACCTGACTTATTGAGGTGTTGCTTATTTATTTTACAATCACTACAATGTGTTAGGATAGTGTAGGATTCTGCCAATGCCACTGATAATTATTACATTTACTAACAACACTCAAAATTATTTATCCTAAAAGGCATCTTGATCTATCAACATTTTCAATGAATTCTAGGGATGTCAATGAATAGTCAACTATTCGACTATCACTTGAATGGACCGACAATCGAATAATGAAATCACATTCAAATAGAAGAGTGAAAACGAGATGGTATTCTCATTTCAAAGTCGAGAAACAGTTTTTCCTCAGAAACAGTCAAAAAAATAATTTACCTCAACAAAAACCGTTGACTTTTCATAGTACATGTACAAAGTAAGTATAAATGCTTCACTACAGCAAGAATTATTTATCAATTACTCTCTGTGTTGTTTTTGTGATAAAACTGGGCTTTGTTTGTAAAATTTTAATGAAAGTACAGTTAATTGGACTTGATCTTATACCATGTGTTCATTATACAGACTGTTATATTTTGTTGGTTTAAGAATGATTAAATGCCGAGAACACACCATAACCGTGACATGTTTTGACATCGAAAATTATTAAAACTCACTTTCATTGTAAGAACATTTTGATAGCCAGGGCAGTGAATAATTTAACAAGCAGTATGTAATAATATCAAAGGCACCTGAGGTGTGGAAAGTGCGTGTTTACACCCCCCCCCCCCCCCAACTCATTTATTTTAATAAGCTTTAAAATATATACCGGTAGTCCTGGCAATTTTTCAATCAGGGATTTATCAGCCTATTTTGGGAAATGCCATTTTTGGGGAATTGGGAAAAAATTATCGGCTTTTTGATGAAATTGGGAAAAATTAAAAATGTTGCTTAAATCATGTATTCAGGTGTAATTCATTTAACATTTCAGCATGAACTCTAATTTGGGCAACCAAACAGACAATATATATGATCCAACTTCATACAAGATCAATTATGAATAACAGACTAATAAAAGTAAAATTGACTTCAATGAGTATAAAGTGTTTATACAACTCAGGGTAGTACATGTGCGTATGAGATTCCAATTTAGGTCATTACAGAATCTGTTTCTGGAGAATATATAAATCTCCTGCAAGTATACATTTTCTCAAAGTCCTCTTTTAATATGTATTAATGCATTGAAAATATATTTTTCTATTTGAAATAATGCCTACAGACCTTACCATACACTCGTAGATCAATTGAGTAGGTAGAAATAACTTAATAAATCTATATAATTACACAATATCACCATTTTCAGAAAAACGGAGGAAATTCGGATTAAAAGTTGGCGATGTTTTTACAGTGTTTTTAAACATGTGTTATGACTGTAGCTTTCCTTAATGACTTAAATAGATGAATATTACAGACAATCTGACAATTTTCCTTGTGTTTTTCCAAGATAATTAAATACAAAAGCATTGTTCACCAATTGGGAAAAAATACTGCCAAATTGGGAAAAATTTAACTCATTTTCAATTGGGAATGGGGCCGAATTTCGGCCCCTGAGAAGGTACTGATAAATCCCTGCCAATGCTTATTAAAAGACTACATGCAAGTTTTTACAGACTCATTTATGAATGTGAATGAAGAGGAATTAGCGTCTCTAAACTTATTTCATATAAACACGCTATCCACATATTAGGTGCCTGTCAACATCTGTGTCAAACATAGGCATTTGATGTTGCTTTTTATATAAATTTAAGTAAATGGGTTTTTAAGTTATAGTCTTGCTAACATTGACAAACATGAAGTATGAAATCAAATTTATTTTCAGAAAATGTTCTGAATATTTGACTATTGTTCAAATAATGCAATCAAATAATCGACTAAGGGAAATAAATATTTGAATATCCCTAATTAATTCCATCAAGAACATTGAAAGACAAAGAAAATAGAAGATCATGGAAATTGAAATTCGAAACCTCTGATTGAGTTACCTCCCTTACATAATTAGAACACTTACCAAGGCACAGGGATTTTGTACGAGCCTTCTCCTATGTGACAATTCTTTTTCTTATCTTCCAGTTTAATGATATCTGGATCCAGACGCAAACTGGCTGCCACTCGGACTATAGGCCTAGATCTGTTTTATATGAAAGGTAAATTCCAGTTGGCCTTGTTCATTGATAACTGAACCCAAACTATGAGACTGTTACAACTACACATGTACATGTATTCAAAACTACCCATGATGAAATATTTTATTATAAGGCATCTGGTATTAGACTAAATTAAGGTTTTGGTAGCTAAGAGGTAGATAAACATTAATATCTCATAATCCATAATACTATAATGATTTAAAAATTCAGGAAAAGGTTTAATTCTTTTGCATTTTGGTGTTATTTTTCTCATACTGGTTGCAAAGGGGAAATAAATATAGTCTCAATACATAGAGGTAAAGCTAATGTTTAAATTGTTAATATTCAGATCTTACTTCACAAAAACAGCTGCATCAGCTTCATAGGCTCCAACCACTAAATCTGACAGGGAAAAAACACACTGACATACAGAACACAATTATATATAAAGATTATATATTAATGCTTATATATCAATGCAGAAGAGACTTTGTAAATTAACAAATGAATGTAATCTGTAAATATTTTATCTTTGACTAATTTTCCTCATTATACAGAAAAAGGCGAAGCTTTACATCAGAACAGTTTATGAAGTCTTACCAGGATAGCCATTTTTGTCCAGGTCGTATCCTCCCGAGATGGAGAACCCAAATGTTGTGAGGTAGTACCCAATGTCTTTGCCATGGAGAACCTGTGAGACCTCAGTGATAATTCCATCCATAGATCCAACATAGATGTACACAACCCCTCTCCTCTCTAGCCCTCCATACGGAGCACCAACAGCTAAATCTACAACATTATTATCATTTACACTTCATGTTCATTCTTTCATTTTATTGGGGGGGAGGGGGGTATCATCTAAAGGTATAAATACTTGCCAATGACAATTTTTGATATTCCATCATATATATACCTTCTTAAGTGATCTGATAAAACAAATTATATATGCTACTCAGAGTAAATGTGAAAAGTTAAAGTACTTAAAACTTAATTGAAGTCTTAGTTGAAAAAAAGAGCTGATAGTTTACCATTGAAGGAATCTCTGTTAATGTCTCCCAGTCCTGTAAGAGCACTGCCAAACCGAGACCTGGCCTCGTACCCATCTAAGATATCCTTCTTCTTCTGCCGGAATTTCCTCTGAAAGGTTGTTCAGTAACATGAGTATTTATAACATGCATGTAGGAGTTATACGTGTCACAACCAAGAATGACAAACCCATTTTGCTGAGATCTTTAAGTCTCTGTTAATTATGCTTTTTGGGCTCAATAAACTTATGACAATATTAATTCTCATCCTAATTTGGAAAAAAATGCAGTTCATGTGTGTTTTTCATTTTATATTCTTTAAAATATCTATATCTTTATCTATATATATATATATATATATATATATATATATATATATATATATATATATATATATATATATATATATATATAAGTGCATTAGCACTTCATGATAAATATGCCAGCGTGAAGTGTTGTAGTTCATGTACCTCATGAATTTTCAAAAATTAAATTCATTTCTTATTTTTACAGTATTTTTCTGATGAGTTTCCACAAGTTACGCCATTCAACTGTCATTTTTGAAGCAAAACAGTTTGCACTATAGTTTTGACGTCAAGTACGGTATTATGACGTAACAATGGAGATACTGATGCTCATCTCATGGTAGTTCATGAGAAAATGAACAATCTTCTAATTTACAAAGAATCTTAAGGAAAAATACATGGAAATGTAAATATATATATATATATATATATATATATATATATATATATATATATATATATATATATATCACATTTTTTATACTAATGTAGCTTATGGGCAATGTAATTTGTATTGTATTTTTTTTTTAATAAAGTTTTCATAAAGAAAAGATTTTTTTCTTGGGAAATTAAGAATTCAGCAATTGATTTTTATACTGTCAGCCCAGGTATGTTGTATGACTGGAATCATACATAAGTCATGATAAAACATCTGATATAATGTTATGATAATTGTTTTTACATCGTTAGGATAGTGGAAGTTTGATTAAAATAAAAGTTACTTTAAAACTTAGGTAATCAAAGATTACGAAGCTCACCTCAACAAATGTTATCTTTAAGTAAGGCAAATTTCACATATTTCTTTTTATTTAGTGTACATCCCAAGATCAATGTCCATGCAAGTTTGGTTTAAGTACAACTTATAGTTACTTGGAAATAGACCTGTTCAAAAAATGTTTATCCTGTTTACTAATCAAGAAAATTTTGGTCAGTTCCAACATCCAAAGTAAGTCTGGAAGTTTTCATCCTTAGATGCACCATCTATGCATGTTTAATCATAACAGGCCATAATGTTATATAGCTACTCCAAAAAAATTATCCTGGTCACTCATTTGGAAAATGTAGGTCAGATTCAGAATCCAAAGCAAGTCTGGGAGTGATCATCCCTAGCTACATCATCCATGCTAATTTGGTTAAAATATGGCTAAAATTCACTCATGTGGAAAATCTAGGTCGAATCCAGCATCCGAAGCAAGTGTGGTAGTGTCCATCCCTAGATGCATCATCCATGCAAGTTTGTTCAAGGTAGAGCTTATAGTTACTTGGGAATGTACCTGCTCCAAAAACTTTAACCTGGTCACTCATCTGGAAAATCTAGGTCAGATCCAGCATCCGAAGCAAATATGGTAGTGCCCATCCCTAGATTCGTCATCCATGCAAGTTTGGTCCAGGTAGGGCTTATAGTTACTTGGGAATGGACCTGCTCCAAAAACTTTAACCTGGTCACTCATCTGGAAAATCTAGGTCAGATCCAGCATCCGAAGCAAGTGTGGTAGTGTCCATCCCTAGATGCATCATCCATGCAAGTTTGGTCCAGGTAGGGCTTATAATTACTTGGGAATGGACCTGCTCCAAAAACTTTAACCTAGTCACTCATCTGGAAAATCTAGGTCGGATCCAGCATCCGAAGCAAGTGTGGTAGTGTCCATTTCTAGATGCATCATCCATGCAAGTTTGGTCCAGGTAGGGTTTATAGTTACTTGGGAATGGACCTGCTCCAAAAACATTAACCTGGTCACTCATTTTGAAAATCTAGGTCAGATCCAGCATCCGAAGCAAGTGTGGTAGTGTCCATCCCTAGATGCATCATCCAAGCAAGTTCGGTCCAGGTAGGGTTTATAGTTACTTGGGAATGGAACTGCTCCAAAAACTTTAACCTGGTCACTCATCTGGAAAATCTAGGTCAGATCCAGCTCCTAAGCAAGTATGATAGTGTCCATCCCTAGATGCATCATCCATGCAAGTTTGGTCCAGGTAGGGCTTATAGTTACTTGGGAATGGACTTGCTCCTAAAACTTTAACCGGGACGCCGACGCCAGGGGTATAGCATGAGCTCATCTCGACTTCGTCGAGGTGAGCTAAAAAACATTTGATGACATGCTTCTTGCTTAGAGCTTTAATAAGTAGAGCAACAGGAGTGACAGATGTTGTCATGTTTAATTTCCAATGTAAAAACAATGGAAATTGAGATAAATAGTATGTGCCAACAGTCCAACACCATAAGTAAGGGCCCTTCACAAAGATATTGCTAAATCAAAGCAAATATTTCATCAAACAAATTTTGTACAAAGGGGAAAAGAAAGCGCATGTATTTTACTGAAGCTTAAACTCAAAGCCCTGAGCTGATTTACTTACTGAATCAGAGCCCTCCACATTAAAACCTCCCTAATTATAAACACAGTCAGAGAAATACTAGTTAATTAACACAGTCTTTAGCATGTTCATCAAAATGGTTGAAATGTAGAGACATTGTTGAAAGGAGTTTTTCCCCTTGAATAATGCATTTTCTGCTTAAATAATTCTTTCATCTCATTTCTTTAATTTTTTTTTAATAATTTGACATATACTCGTAATAACAAAATAATTCAATAACTGCCTTCATCAAGTTTTAACAATTTGTTTTAAATAAAACTTGATATTTTTGGACTTTGTAGTAATTATACTGACCCTGGAGTCTTGATAGTAAATGTAAACTCTGCCAGTGTCATAGGAGAAGGAATCTTTGTCAGAATGGAGAGGGGCGCCCACAATAATATCATCAAGCCTACAAAATATTGATCCTGTTATCTCAACAATATCATAAAGCCTGCAAAATACTGATCCTGTTATCTCAATAATATCATCCAGCCTACAAAATACTGATCCTGTTATCTCAGTAATATCAACCAGCCTACAAAATACTAATCCTGTTATCTCAATGATATCATCTAGCCTACAAAATACTGATCCTGTTATCTCAATGATATCATCAAGCCTACAAAATACTGATCCTGTTATCTCAACAATATCATAAAGCCTACAAAATACTGATCCTGTTATCTCAATAATATCATCCAGCCTACAAAATACTGATCCTGTTATCTCAATAATATCAACCAGCCTACAATTTAATGATCCTGTTATCTCAATGATATCATCAAGCCTACAAAATTCTGGTTTTGTTATCTCAATAATATCATAAAGCCTACAAAATACTGATCCTGTTATCTCAATAATATCATCTAGCCTACAAAATACTGATCCTGTTATCTTAATGATATCATCAAGCCTACAAAATACTGGTCTTGTTATCTCAATAATATCATCAAGCCTACAAAATATTGATGCTGTTATCTCAATAATATCATCAAGCCTGCAAAATACTGAACTTGTTATCTCAATAATATCATCCAGCCTACAAAATACTGATCCTGTTATCTCAATAATATCATCAAGCCTACAAAATATCCTGTTATCACAATAATATCATCAAGCCTGCAAAATATTGATCCTGTTATGTCAATAATATCATTAAGCCTATAAAGTATTGATTCTCATCCTGTTTTGTGCAGTAATTAGCAATCAGATAATTTCTCAGAAAAGCAAGTTTTCTTATATCATTTTACAAAACACAGATGATGTGAACAGTTAGAAGGAATTCAATATTTTCTGAGATTAACCACTTTTGTTCTGAAGTCAAATACATACTTGTCTCCATTCAAATCTTCAACAGCTAACGCATATCCAAAGTATGCACCTATCTGCAGAGGGGGTAAAATTAAAGACATTATTTCCAATAAATCATAACAATACACAGCAGTTATTTTTAATGCAATTCTCTTTTCCGAATCTTTATATATGTATATACTCAGTTATGCTCATAATACTGTCATTTCAAAACCATTTCAACAGTTAGTTGGTAAATAATTAACAAATGTTTGTGAAAAGAGTCAACTAAATCATTGAATTTAACAAAGTATTACCTGTTTGCCAGTGATGTTCTTTATGGGTTGTAAATTCTGATTGTAGAGTTGAACCTTAAGAATAAACCGATGACTTTTATAATAAGGATCACAGAAGTAAATACAGACATACATGTATCCTTAGCTAAGGATTCATTTCTTATGTCTTCTTATAAATGAATATCATGTACCTACATTTACAAATGCTACACAAGCTGTGTTTTTGAAACACTGATGTCCCTGTATGGCAGCTAATGACTTAACAAAATAGATTAAGGTCATGAGGTCAAAGATGTTGGTACCCAAAGAAAGGTCTTGACATGTGAAACATGAGAGACCTGGCACCAACCATTCAGAAGTTATGCCCAAGATTTTTTTCCAAAAATAAGGTCAAACTTCAAGGTCAAGGTCAGGAGGTAAAAAATTGGTATCCAAAGAAAGATCTTATCGCAAGGAATGAACCTCTAAAATATGAAAGCCCTAGATCCAACTGTTCAAAAGTTATGGCCAACATTAAAGTTTGTTAAAGTTTTCGAAAGTAGGACAAACTCCAACATCATGAGGTAAAAAAATTGGTACAGTCAAAAAAAGGCCTTTTTACAAGGAATACAATAAATAAATAAAATATAAAACCTTACCACCAATCGCTCAAAAATTAAGGCCAAGGTTAAAGCTTTTGGACAAACAGATTAGTGCATTTTCACTTGATCAATATAGCCCCATGCAACTCCAGAACCCCTGACCCAGGGACCATGAATTTTACAATTTAGGCAGATGCATTATTGCTCATTATAACCATGCACTTTGTTCGTCTGCTAAGTACTCAAGAGCAGAGAAGATTTTCAAGGAATTAATTCATTTTCATTAAATGATCTACAGAGCCTACAGAGCACCCTGAATTTCACAATTGTAGAAGAAGCATCCTTGCTCATCATATCTATGAACTTAATTTTGTCTGCTAAATATACAGGGGGGAGAAAAAAAGATTTTTTTTTAATTTGTACATTCTTTCATTTCTATATGATCTTTAGAGCCCCACCATAACACCATAACCCCTGACCCTGGAGCCTTTAATTTCAGAATTCTGGTAGAGGGCTCAGTGCATATTACAACCATGCCAACAGTTTGACTGCTTGATGTTCAGGAATAAAGAAGACTTTAGAAGATTGCATAAATTTTTATGGTTTAAGCCCCAACCTTCAGGCCCCAGAGGGCAAGGACCATGTTATTCATAATTTTTGTTCACCTTCACCCATAGATGCTCTATGCAAAAGTTGGATGCAATTGGTTCAGTGGTTCCAGAGAAGCTGAAAATGTTCAAATGATAACGGACGACATGTTGCATGATGGCAGACGAAAAGAATTAGCAATAGGTGCCCAAGTGACTTTGGTGACCAAAAAATTGATAGAGAAATCATATCATACAAATATAACCCTTTCATGAGGTCTATTCATAGATATATAGACTTCACAGAAAAGGATATTGACTGAGCATGAAGTGCTTTTCTGTGAAGTCTATATATCTATGGATTGACTGTTTGAAAGGGCTACATTTGTTATATTATTTATTTTTTTGAAGAGATTGATAAAATAAAATTTCAAAATAAGGGGAACAAGGTGGTTTAGACTACACAGATGTGTTGTTTTTTCATACAACTTTGTTTGATGTCCTTTATACTGAGGGAATAATAAAGGGGAAGTATCAAATCAAGATTCTCCATAAAATCAATAATGTCACATTTATATTGAAAATCAAATGCAAAAAAAAAAAAAAAAGAAAAAAAAAAAGAAAAGAAAAGAAAAAAGAAAGCAATGATATATCTATGTATATATAGAATAAGGATGTCCTGACAGGAATGTGTTTTAGTGATTTAGTGGGGGGGGGGGGGGGAGAAAGGCAAAAAAGGGCTGCTTCCCTTGGAGAAAAACTCCATGGATCAACTCTTTTAATTACTTAAAAAGACAATTTTTTCTGAATTTTTTTTAATCTTTTAATTGGTGAAAAGGAAATTTTCCTTCAAAGTTGAAAGCACTTGAGACTGTGTCAGCATTATGTGTATGGATATGTCAAAGGAGGCAAACATTAATTATAAGTGCCACTCCCGGCTTTCAACAATTGAATTATGCATTCAAAATCTGAATGGTTTAAGAATTAATGTTCAGTTGAGAATACTAGTGAAACATGAGACTCTGCATAAAAGTACTGTGTATTACGTGTTAAAAAAATCCCACTTAAGCCTGCATGCGCTCCTTTTAAAAAACAATTGTAAATACTGACCACTCCTAACAGTCGTTCAGCCCTTGGAATACCAACTACGTAATCTGAAATGATATACATGTATATAAATATTTTGAAAGCATCAAGGACATACAAGATTTAGAATTTTTCAAAAATATCAAAATATTTTCAGAATGATTCATCCAGATTACACTGTATTATGAGTGAACATATTAGATGTCTGGAGTTGTACCTTCTACATTGTCATTATCAAAATGTCCAACTGCTGACGAGTAACCTAGAATGAAGAGAATATAGTTACCGTTAAAATTACAAAATCAATGTATGATTATTTTGCATATAAAAACTTGCACTTTAAATTTATGAATAAATTAAATGAGAGCAATGTTGTGTGTATAAAATTCACGATGTTTATAGAATGAAGCCTTCTCTGTAAAAATGTTAATTCATGTACATAGGAATGCACCTCCTTCAGTTTTACAGACACAAGCTAGAGTATAGTATAGTAAACTGACTTCATATAAATAAAAGTAAATTTGGACTTATACAAGTTTTGACTTGAACTACCTCTGTATTTATTGTCTTCTGAAGCCCCTTCCTCTCGTGTTGACAACTTGTTGTTATTTAGGTCTAACCAGTAGTTGTATACCTGACCTACAACACAACATACAAAATCTAAGAATTCCTTACAGTACAACTAATAAACAATCTGTTTATAATCACATTCTTAATTCTATTACATTACACATCAGTAATTAGTTTGGCTGATGAAACTACTTTCTAATTCTACACTAGCTTTTGTTGGCAATAGTTCCTAACTAAAAACATCTCATCAAGTAACAAAATTTTCAATGCCAAGGCAACAATGCCTATCTTTTGACAGAGCAATGTAATGAACATATGGTTCTAAAGTGTTTTTTAATAAGATGCACCATCTTCATACCTTGCCAGTAAAAAGCTCCAGGTGCCCCAATCAGAAGTCGGCTGCCATTCTGAAATCATTATTGATAAAAAAAATGTGAAGGCTGTAAAAAATAGCAAACTGATAATACCAATGGTTACATCAACAGTTTAAAAGAACACAAAAATTGTTCAGTGTATTTCTTTCTCAGTGTACATTAGGATCTTTGTGTGCTTGTTATAACAGTTTCTGTAAGAATTAAGGGAACCTTTCTGCAGTGTTCAAACTATATCTAGACATTCTAAATCTAACATCAATACGTGTTTATATACATACTGACATGCCATGAACTATTTATCGTGGTTATACCCATTACAACATTCATCAGTGCTGACTACATTGTGGAATTTCCATTGCTGCTACTAACAATATACATCTTATACTGCAACAATCTTAAAGAATGCACAGTGAATCCTAAATCTACTTAGCACAAATATAACATACTCACCAAAATTCATTCAGTCTGTACATTAAGATGTGTACATTAACTAGGAAAGCTGATTTTTTCCCCAGCTGTTTTTATTCACTCATTTATTATTTACATAGTGTATGTACTTGGAATTTTTTTCATCTCAAGACATTGAAACTCTCAGGTTTTCCAATAGAAATACTCAGTAATAAATTTAGTTGATTTAGAATGTGGCACTGTGTAATTTTCTCGCTTTAGTACATTATTGTACTAGAGATTTTCTATAGAATCCCAACACCATCCAGTGCTTTTTTTTTAATTAGAAAAATCATTTAACATTTTCTGAAATTCACATTGTTTCATACTAATTCTTTTAAATAATGGCTTATAATGTGGAGATGAAATCAAAGATAAATGCTCATGGGCCACAATGCTCATCTACGTCACTCTAATCTTCCTGACAAGAGTATCGATAAATGAACCTCCCCTAATGTAGCACAAAACAAATAGTTTACACCTTAATTTATAGAGTATTGATATGTTGATATCAAATTTACATATAACCATGCTGTCCTGGAGCTTATGTATAGATTCCCATGTAATTCTTCATATCTTTGTTCTGTGGGATTTGTGGATAATTTTATTTACGGTCATTTAATTGAGTCTTCACTACATGGTTGCTTGCCCCATGCAGTCATATCACTTTAAGGTACATTTATGAGGCTACTTGAAAATATTTAATTAAAAAAAATATAGCATCACTTTTATCAGGATATAGATATGGGTTGGTCATGTGATCAAATCCCATTATTTGAACAAATGTAAAATTTCTTGTACATATAATTATTCTTTTTATTAATGTAAAATTAAAATAACTTGAACAGCTATCGTGGCTATGGAGAAGAAACCAGAATGTGAAAAGTAAACAGTCTGGACAGATCTACCCAGGCTCTCATCCTCTGAGTTAAGAAACTCGTTTTTAGCCCTCCCATCTTGGAAGAAATGTTTTAATCAATTGTATGTAGAAACATGCTTAAGTTCTGATATAAATTGTGTTACAGATGAACAATATGTGGTCTTAGATCAGTCTAATCATTTTCACTATATCTTTTTCTTGTCAATAAATAGTAATATGTTAAATTAGCTTCAACATATAGCACATACAAATTCTAATCCTACCAAAAGCTTTGTTTCTGTACACTTTAAATGTTTCATGTGTCTTTGATAGCTAGCTTCCCACAGGTACAACATCATTAAGATACACATGTATATAACAAGTAGGCTTTACCCAAGTTTTAGCATTTTTCATCCACACAGATGAACCTGATATCTGACTATATAAAGACTGTGACAGAACAAGTGTTTGAGACTCACGTTTGAAAATACGGCAGACATCCCTGCCTGACAGAATCCGACTCTGTGATAGCCCCATAACATAACACTACTTATGCCATCTGTAAACATAAACCAGCACGTACAGTTGATCATTAATCACTAACTATCAGCCTGAATTCTTGTTTTGTTTCCCCTTCAAGACACACCAATTTGACCAATGACTATCTACACATGTAGGTAGAAAATTATCTAATTTTATCTAATAACTTGAACTATTAAGAGTTTCGTTATATAAACAAAACAATATTTTTGAAATCTGACAGCTAGTAAAAAGAAAACTTTCTCATCATCAAGTTTTTCTGGCATTGGTCAAAAAGGGGAAACAGATCATTGTAATTTAGGCACTAAATGGTACCTACAGGGAATGGTTTTCAAATTATTATTTAACAAACAACAAATAGATTTAAACAACAAAATGCCTGCTCTATATAGCTATATTACACATCCACATAATAAGAAAGTACTGCAAGTTTTACAATTTTAAATACAAATGTACTGTAATTTTATAAGGCTCACATGATTGAGCAAAATTATAAAAATTAAAACATAATCAAACACCTTGCAATGGAAATCTACAGGTATAAATTAATTTGTGAATATAAATATGGAATCAAATTCACTAAAAGTTTTAAAACTATATTTATAAATGAGAGGAAATATTGTACACAATTTTTTTTTCTTCAAAACTTGCATACTATTTAGTATGTTCTTAATGATGATTTTTTTAAGTACTTCACAAATTCATAACTATTAGAGCAGACGAATGTCAAATATTATTAACATCACCATAAATTATATATATGTATGATGAACTAATTTCTTGAGGAGATTAATATTTTGAGTATAATAATACAAATTTTACAACTTATATAAGTCATACTACATTTAGATGCATGCTTAAACGTTTTCCATGCAATATAATTAAAACTCATGCTTCCAATAAATAAACACCATGCATAAGATAACACCAAAATTATAAATGGCTTATTTGGAAGGAAGGTGATGGATTTTTTTCATTTTCGGACTGTACTTTTTCAAACTGATGTTGTGTTCTTTCAAACTGTTGTGCACAAATTGACAAATTCAAATTTTTGCGAAGTGATCGAGATATTTTTGGATAGTGACTTACAGATGCCATGGCTACTGAGAAGCCTGCTTGACAAAAGCCAGATTTATGGTATTGGTCCACTGTATCTCTTAGTAAATCAACATCTAAAAGGAACCAGCACAAATTATCAACAGCAAATTCACACATCAACCCCTGTATCATTCAATGGAAGAGATCCTCATATATTATATTTTATTACTGCAAACAGCAAGTGCACAATTTCTTTAAAAAAATAAACACACATACTAATGCTTTTTTGAGAAGAGTTTTATGTTACAGAAAAGAGGTTTTAATGACCAGTATGTCTTTAATTTTTCTCTTTTGTGGCTGATTAGTCTGTACTTATAAGGCTAGCTATCTCGTCACATTAAATTAAGGAAACTTTTTCTGGAAAATTATTTTTATAAAATAATCCTTTTAAAGAACATTTAATTCTTGTTCACTTATTTTTTCAAGTAAAGAAAAATGAATTTTAAAGATAAAAAATCTGGGGGAGGGGGGTCTACAAGGCTGATGCAAAATTTTAGACAATGCAATTTATAGGATATAGGACTGAACATTACAATAAGTATATTTTTTTACCTTAACCATGTCATTAACCTGCTGATTTTAGTCTCCTGAGATAACCTTGGCTTAATTAAAATTTATATAGTACATGGAGTTACCAGTCTAGTCATTGGGCATTATTAAATCATCAACATCCTCACATTTTATCATTAGACCCACCATATAAGAGTAACTGTTGCAGATTTTTCATTCTAATGCAGTAAAAATAACTTGTAATTATAATACACACTACAATAAAGCAGAAATGGTGTTTCAAAAAGTTTGTGGATTAAATATAATTATAGACTTGGAGACACAAAATTTACAGGTCAGGCATTCATATAAAATACCACTATAATAGAAGTACATTCATGTATTCCACTATTAGAACAGTGACATTACACAAATGACCGACACGAAACACTCGTGATTTCATCCAAACAGTCTGTCTGCTGGAATCAAATCAGTTATAATCAGCATGAATGTGTGAAAATCTGTTTAACTCACACGTACAATTTCAGAATTTCAATAAATCATGTAAGTGCAAACACTAGCTTGCACACATTTATAATCTTGTGCTTTTAACAAATTAGGGGTGTGGTACATACTGCTATAATAGAATGATGTATAATTTACAGAACATTTGTGCCAATTCTAAGGCCAAATAAAAAAATATGTGTGGTTCCGGTTACCCGACCGTCCCTATTTTATACCCCCGACCCCAAACTTTTTTCGGCAATTTTCATATTTTTTTCCAGAATTTTCTCTGATTTCCATAATTTTCTCCAATATTAGTTTTAGTTTCAGCAATGGCGGCCTCCTTGCAAAACATCATTTCAACACATAGTGCAAGTTTTTAATAGTGTTAAATCCTAAGCAAGGTAGCATGTAGGTGTCCCCTACCAATGTTGACTAGTATATTATCACATAACATCTAAATGCCACTTGCAAAGCAGTGATAGGTATTATTTAGAGAAATTAAGAAAATAATTTTGTAAAAAAAAAAAAAATCTCTACCTACCTACCCTAATTTTTTTGGAGGTGTAACCGGAACCACACATATTTTTTTGTTTGGCTTAATTTTTTTCTATCTGATTACACACTGGGTACAGCAGACTGTACACTCAGTGTACACTCTGACAAGTCCTAAATAATCATCAAAATTTACTGCTTCATTCTATTGTACAGATTTTCATTGAACTTAATTCATCACACAAACAAAATATAATAAAATGAGATACATTTCTTCTCAAATTAAGAACTTAACCCACAAACTTTTTTCTGTCACCTAAGAATATAGGACCCAACCTATATAGATACATACACTAGCTGTCAAAAGTATATACATTGTGTATATATATATATATATACCGACACAATTGTATCATCAATTAAAACAAATATATAGTCAGTATATTTAATTTGTATAAATATAAATATATGTATCTGTATTATTTGAAATTATTATCACAAAGTTAGATAGATATCACATTTAGTATTAAGCACAAATGAACATCACTCCAGAATTATTTTAATGGCACACAGCTGTTGATTCAGAGGCAAAAACCAACATGATTTCTGCAAATTATGTATTTATTTGCCACTTTATTAAAGATCACAATGACTCAAGTGAGAAGCCAGATTCACTGGAAATTAAAAGTATTGCATTGAAAGCCATTTTTGTAAGCTGATGAAGTGTTCTTCAGCATGTTCAGTGCATCGTCATTTTTGAGGTATCTGCAGGAAGGATGTTGGTTAATACTCTAAGAATAAACTCCCCGTTATCAGAGATGCATACATCATTATGCATCACGGCACTGCAATTCTAAATTTATATCATTTACCAGGGTCTTGAAATTTGTCTACAAAATCATGATGGTGAACTAGATATTTACACTACATGACGGATACTAGAATTAGTTTGGGGCTTTAACAACTGGTTTTGATCATTCACATTATTATTACATGTTACACTTAAACAGTAGTGAGAGAATTTTGCATTAATTTTCATGGTAAAAAGACAATTATTATTGACATAATACACAAGGAAAACTAGAGGGCACAATTTGGCTACCTTCATGACTACATGGCATTTGTCTCATGTCTTAATCATTAGTAATGACAGATTCCAATTAAGTTATCATTAGTTTTGACTTGTTTAAAGAATTTGTTTGAAATCCATGAAATCAATATGATAATACTGTAAAAGATGTTAGTTAAGTACAGGTGTACTTAATGTTGTTTGTTTGTTTTCCTCTTACTTCCTCTACAGGGAGAATACTCCTCAAAAGTGGTGCTGCCTGACCGCGCCAGGTAACACGTCCCCACCGGCTCTCGCTTGTTGAACTGGGTCGACAGGTACACATATCTCGGTGCGCATGCCTGAAAGTCAAACCAGACTGTTCATTAAATGTTATAAGGGAGGTTATTGGCAAATACTTTTTCAATCAAATATCTTTTAACAAATATTTTATTTGTATTGTTTCCCACAAATTACAGAAGTACTGTTAAAGCAGAAATATTAGTTGGGACTTTAATTTCGTTTATTTTGTTGTTAATTACATGTATTATCAACAAAATTAAATTCCACATGAAATTTTTTATATGCCTATTTACTGAATAGAGTTACTTTTGAAACAACGAAATTTAATGCCCACAAAACCTTTTTAGATGACAAATCACCGAAATTTTATCCCCATGAAAATTTGTGCTTCTACAGTATTATACGTTTTATTCCACAACCATGCAAGTAACAACTCATTAACAATTCAGTATAAAATTCTAACCATACAAGAGTTTTTATTACATTTTATTGGCCTTGAAGGGAAAATTGCAGATGCTATTCTTAATTTTTTTTCTGCATATTAGATGAACATTTTCCTCTCGTTTGATGACCTTTCTGTAAAGTCCTATAGCTATGATGATGCGTATGTTACAATTTTTTTCTTTAAATCAGAAGAATTTTTATTATCTGTTGATCAGAAATGAGTTTTGTTACTTCTACAAGTAGTTTTCCAGAACACTTTGTGTTTCATTGTTTACTTAGTCTAAGACTACCAGGTAACTTCTTTTCTCTGCTCCTGTACATGTATTGAGTGCTACCATATTTTGGGAAGGCATGATGATTTTTCCATTACTCAGTCCAAAACATGCAGGTAATGTCTGCTTATATTTGACATCTGTTAATATTCACTCAAATGGTGCACTTATTGTTTAACATAGCAATCAAAAACAAAAATTTAATCATTTATAGAAATACAAAGGCATAAGGAATATATTACAGTTAATTTGTTTAATATGGATACTACAGCAACAATTTAATTTAAAGATTGCATTTTTAAAGAATTACCCATTATTTCAAGTTTCCATTTCCATTTCACAGGCAAGAATTGGAATATTTTATATTTTAAGAGATTTCAATATTTTTCAATTTTAAAGAGCCACAAATTATTGCAAAAGTGGAGGGCAATTAGCAGGACTTCCTGTGCTTCAGTGATGTTCTTCACATTAAATAGAAACAGATTTACCTGTTAGTCAGTCTTTTTTTAAGGAAAAAATCTGAATAAAATAAGTTACTTTTATACATATTTTTAGTAGCTATATACTGTAATGAAACATTACATGCATATGCTATTATGTATGCATAGATACACATTTTGTTATTTATATGTAGTTGATATTTAGATGTACAGTGAAATACAAACTGTTCTGCTACTAATGTAATATCATTGAAATAAGATCTACAATGATTCATTTTTCCCCCAACATTATGATCATTATATATGTTTTGAATTCAATCCAGTGTAAAAAGTACGGTACTAACAATAAAGATGTCATTTGAGTAGGGACCTACCTAATTATAATATTTATCTAAGACCAGGGCACTTAAAAAACGAAATTTAAACTAATGGGTATGACTGAGTGATTCTGTAGGCCATAACTTTTGGCACCTGCAAATTCATATTCCTAAAAACTCTTAACAGTTTACATTTTGATCACATGACCTCGCAGACATAGAGCAACAAAGAACTGCCTATCTCTAAATGATTAATGCCGTATGTTATTTATAAATATTCTCTTACATCATGTACAACAGAGATTCCTATGGCACAATCCCACCTCTTGTACATGATTTAGAGAACTATTTCTCATTCTTTGATGAGTGCTACTTGAAGGCACACAGACCTTAAAGCTCACCTGAATATATACAATATTTTAGCTGCTAACTGATGAATTCTAAGATCAAGAAGATTCATAACAGTCTGTTAAACATACATTATAAAATCTGTAAACAATCTTTAAATCATATTTAAATTGTACTTTCCTTGACTTCCAGCAAGTTTCCAACCAAAATATATATAAATTATCAATGCTTCTACAATTTTCAGCAAGTTTAGTCTGTCATTCCATGATAATACCAGTCAGCCAGATTTTCTGAAGCAGGCCCTTTATACAAACAATTAACAGACAGATGTTTTTACATTTACCAGTATTTGTCCACTTTCCCCAGAGCTGAGGTTTTAACATTTACAAAGTATTTGTCCACTCTCCCCAGAGCTGAGGTTTTAACATTTACCAGTATTTGTCCACTCTCCCCAGAGCTGAGGTTTTAACAATATTACCAGTATTTGTCCACTCTCCCCAGAGCTGAGGTTTTAACATTTACCGGAATCTGTCCACTATCCCCAGAGCTGAGGTTTTAACATTTACCAGTATTAGTCCACTATCCCCTGAGCTGAGATTTTAACATTTACCAGTATTTGTCCACTCTCCCCTGAGCTGATCACTGTCGCACCAAACCACTGGTCATTTTTATCCTCTATTGGTTGGTAGATTCCAGTGATGTCTGGACGCCTTTCATTACCTAAAAACAGCACAGTAAAATATCACTAAATTTGTTAATTATACCAATTATTTAAATGCCTGTTTGTCCACAAAATGGACCAGTATAGGAGAATCATTCTGCAATAGGCATATGTTAGATACATTCATTCCCAATTCTATTGGTTTCATGGAGAGGAGTTTTGGAGTCAGTCTTATGAAACTCTACTCCAACATACTAGAGACATAATTCCAACCATGCAAATAAAGCAGAAGGCTAGTGTCATCCAGTAAGATTGTGACAAAGTGCTCTATATACTTGTAACAAGTGTTTGAATGAGAACTGGGGGAAAAACATGAGATTTAAATTTGACCTTTTTGTACAGACAGAAAAAACTACTGATAACCTAATGCCTTTGAAGAGAAAGGCAACTTTTATATCTACCCTCTTAAGTTCCGTTGAGTTTTAGATATATTACCATCTTTTATGAGGTGGTAAGTCATAAAGTTGGAAATGTGCATCTACCAGTATCTCATTTACAGGAAACCAAATGCTGGGTCAACTTCAAACCACTTAGCTTTTGAGCAATACTGACCACAGAGCCTCAATTGTTAGGCTTCAAAATATTATATGAAGGCATGTAAAAAAAGATTCCATCAGTCATTAGCATTGATCAAATTTTGACTGACATATCTCATACCAATTATTAAGCATTTATTTTTATACTAAACACTGCTAAATTTGACTACGGATTATTCCGTCTAGCTGATCAATACATGGGGCTCACAGCAGGTGTGGCCTGTCTACAGGGGATGCTTACTCCTCCTAGACACCTGATCTGGAATTTCCAGGGGTCTGTGTTTTACGCCCTATTCACAGATTTGTATTGTTTGTAGGAGTTTTGAGATCACTGTTCGTTATTTTCACCTATTTCACACAGTGATAAAGCTTGAGAACTAAATCTTAAATTACTAAATGCATAAAATATCTTGTAAAAAAAAAATAGCAGTGTAAACCATTTTTGCTGTAAACACTCTGGTGTTACAAGTAAATTTACTTAAATATGTGACTTACTAACCTCTGTTGTCAAAAGGAATGATCTGACACCATGGAGGAATGGTGTTAGTCTGATTGTGTGGGTCTATTCTACATCTCAGCACAGCTCCCCCTCTCACTATCTCTGGCTGTCCTGTCTGAGCTCGGGGAGCCCCCACCAACATCCTAAAAAAAACAAGAAAGCAGTTTTACTAAGATCTTGTTTTACTAAATACATCATCAAATTTATCATCCACTGGATTTCCGTTCCACATCCAAATCCACTATGGCGTATATCTGATTTCAATATTTCGATATCCTTAAAAAAAATCTTGCAATTTTCTTTCACACTATCCAGATATAGGTCAAATACAATCATAGGTGGGTCAAAGATATCACAATCTAAAAATTAGCATAATTTTATGAACTTTCCTCAGTTTTTGCAGACCATGATTTTCCTATTTTTTCTCCAAATGACATGGATCTTTATTGAGCTAAAAGTTACAATCATATCACACCCTTAAGTTTTATCAAATATACATTGATCTGTTTAACTTTTGTGCCTAAGAAAAACTTAACATGATATGTGTCTGTTACATTATAAATACTGTATACAGAGAATTTTGCCCTGTTTTATTTTTGGATCTTTCACCCTCTTTGTTAGTGGGTGAATTTAAAACTGGGCTCATTCAAAATGGACAGTATTGTCTCTTTTACTTTAACACATTTGTGTCTCATGGGGCTAAACTGTTTGTAGGTATGAAAGGGGGAAAAATCATAGGGCAAAAATAAACCTGTATACACTAGTTAGGAAAAAAATTAATTCCTCTCTCTAGTACACTGTATTACTAACCTTGTCCAAAAACAACTTGTTGCCACACAATATCTTATGTCAACAGGTTTATATTCACTGGAACTGCTCAAGACAGTTGACGAGACCTTTTTTTCTGGTTACAATGCTGGGTCACTTGTACCAGGATGACCATTATAAGTTTGGGTTTTTGGTACCTAGTCTTGGTGAGAGATTTTGGACACATTCTAGACCACTATTTAATATCATGATTATTATTTACTCTCCTTTGTTAGGTCTATTAGGACATCTAGGATAGGTTTTCACATTGACACATTTCAGCATTACTGTAATTGCGGTCCTTCCCTCCCTGGCAGGTTTATAAATGGATGGGGCTGGGGGGTCGTCTCTGGTGTGTGTTATATTACATGTAGCCGACACCAAGTGTAATACGATACACACTTGACATTCAATTACAGAAAAATCTCTTGTCACTGAAACGTTTACCAAACAGATGACAACGGTGACACTGAAAGCACTCTCACTCTCAGGACCAAGAGACTAGAGGCTATAGTTTGGGCAGTATTAATTGAGTGAATAATTATCCCTAACACGTTCTATCAAAATTAAAAACTTTGCTTTTAACTTGCACAGAGTAATTTCATTTCATTCAATTTGAATCTGGATTATAAGGCTTAATATATCATCACTGATATTATCGTACGTAAGTAACTGGTTAAAGTATATATACATCAATGACTGAAGGCTGATTAATATGTTAAGAAATTTGCTTATCTGCAATTGAAATATGCATGTTTTGATCCCCAAGGTGTGTAGGCAAAGGGGAGAGTTTACCAGCAGAAAAGAAGGGTACAAAAGCATATCAGCTAGAGTAATAAATCTACATTGAATCCATGCTCATTGCATGGATCTAGAGGGGGATGGGACAACCTCTGGGATTTCCAAAGTTCTGAAGCAAACAAACCCAACCCCCGCCCATACACAAAATAAGGTTTACTTCTTACTTAATTATATATTATATATTTAAATTAAATTGAAATTTTAACTTACATTTTTTTTTTAATTTATTTTGCTTGTAAAAAAAAAACAAACTCTGAATCGTATTTGGAGGGATGAATGTGGACCCCTCTCCCCTTCCGGAAAAAAATCCTGGATATGTGCAGAACAATCATAGACCAAGTACGATAGTTTCCAGGTCCATGACTTTATGTGCTTTTATTACTTAGTTTACCGTTATAGGTGCACTTGATGCCCCTCTCCCCCTTTCTCATCTGGTGCTCATCGAAGTCAGACCAGTTCAACGCCATCAATATTATTGATGAATAAGATGGACGACCACGTTCGTCTATGTCCTTTGGAGAATTGCACGTCGCTATCAAATGACACACTTACCCACATATAACGTGTATGTTTATATTGACTCAGAACACGTGCATAGCATGAAATATCGGTAAACACTGCATTTCGTTTACGAGTGTGGTTTCGGACACTATCCATCAAGATCGGACATAAAATGCTGATGTTACGAATGATTACAGTATTAATCAAAACCAGTGGATGAGTGCCCAGGTTATTGGCATGTCCGGTAATAAATCAATGTATACAGTCGTGTTTTGGTGAATATTTTGCCAGGACCTCGGAAATAACAAACTCAAACGTCAGGACAAATCTGACGTGGAATAAACTGATAAATGGAAGCTTCAACTTTTTTACAATCACATGTATGTTTTGGCTATTCCGGTGCCATAATAACGTTAATAACTGATAAATCGATAATATAAATTAATCATGTCTCTGGTTTTTGATGACAAAACTTTTCTTTTATTCAGTTATTTCACATGTTTCATTTGGCCCTTCTCTAACCAGATAGACATGATAGAAAGAAGGGTGCTTTGAACACTGTTGATCAGCTGTTGAATAGTTTATGCCATTGTCCCGGGGGATCCATCGTCGCAAACCACGGCCAAAATGTACGATCCTCTCCCATTCTGGAGAGAGCTATATGCAGACTCCGAACCGTGGCTTGAGACGATGCAGGGGATCTTTAACACCTATACACATTAAGACACTTAGCACATTTGTGCTGCACAATGCATAAGTAATGTGCAATGTGGCATTTAAAACAGGTCTACTGCTTCAATATTCAGTCAAATTCCTACATGTCCGAAGGCCCAGGTGCAGCGTTTATCCAATCAAGTTTATGTGTATCGTGGCGTCTTTTTTATGTTTATGGATCTACACATGTATGGCCGATACCAGGGGGTATGAAGCAGCGGTTAACACACGCCTGGTGTGTAATCACTCGCCCAGCAGGCCACTTCCTGTCAAGACATTACCGGTGAATCCTTTTCTTTCTTTCCCCTTATCAGCTGATGCCAAGATCTATCATTGTGTAATTCCTCCGCGATAACCCCCACTCCCCCTGTTTGTGTATGAATCAGAGCATGCGGGCACCCCACTGGTAGGGGCATGATCCCCTACTTATTACCTTACGAACCCTTCCCCCCGAGGGATCATTTAAGGTTCTTGTTTGAAAGATAATATTCCGTAAACTAACCACAAGAAGACGGACAATGTTCAAGATTAATGACCATAATAAAGTATATATCACCCCCAGTAAATGCCCTGCCTTGGGGTCTAAAAAGAATTCATGTGTGTCAGTGAACTACACTGTCCCTTAGAATAAGAAAATCCGTAACTTCGATTAATTCTTTTAAAAAAATCTGATTCGATTCACTTTGAGCTTTTCAAACACTACACTTCCACTCCATAGAGTTGTAGAAGTGCCTCTCAAGCTTATGTTGCCAGGAGGTCAAAACTTCAATTAGGGGGAAAACCTAGCGTTAAAGACAGGAAGTGTGCAGTCGGCTTAAAGGTGCCTACCCTTGCCTCTCTGGGAAGGTTGAATGCCAATCTATGATTGAACACCAGTACATCTATGTTACGTGTAGTGGGGTGTTATCGCACAATGAGGTAAACATCTGATATACAAGGGAGATAGATCCCATCAGAACCACACAAACACTATACTTCATCAGAAGGTTTAATTATAAAGTTGGACACCGAGAAAATGGTTTAGGATAAAGGTTCTATGGAGGAGAAAAGTTTGCCTTCCTCTTTCACCTGTTAGAATTCATCTTACCATGACTGGCCCTGGTCGATATGCTGAGCTACAGAGTATCCAAACATATCTCCGGCATTTCCTTTTTGTATAACTGGAGTCTTGATATCCATATTAAAGCCCAGAATAGTGGGAAAAACAAATATAAATGAAAAGAACATCACAAAAAACACTTGATTGCTCTTACATCCCAAAACCATCCTCTCTTTGAAGCACCGAGAACACAGAAAAAAAAATCTACAAGTTTTAGACACGGAAGAAACGAGAGTGAACTCAGAATCCATTTTTACAAATAAAACACAAAATAACGTAAAGTATCCCTTCCTGAATATCACTATTTATACATAGTTATTTTTTTTTCCTCTTCTATATGACTGGAAGTCTTTCTTCTCAAGATACATGTAAGTGTTCACGAACGATTCCACTTTTCCATCGAGGGGCGATCAAGACTCCGTGCATTGGCAGGTAGGGCAAGTTTACTGTGATGCGCACGCCATATATAGATAGCGCCCTGACGCATCTTCCCCCGATTCATCTTTTTGAAGCTTGTAAAACCGACTACCTGCGGGGGTATTATAACTGTGTCAGTATTAGTTTTAGGCTACAAAACAAAGAAAACGCCTTCGAATGGCCCCAAATAGGAATAAACTAAATTATCTGTTTATTAACGTATATTCGTTACATTAAAAGTTTAAACTTTATCAAGTATATATCTACAATAGATAAGGTTTAGCTTGATAAAGTCTAAACTTTTTAATGTAACATATTTAATTCATAAATTTACATCGAATTGCAACTAAAATATCTATTAGGTTAGTTGCAACAAATTCAATTAATAATCCAACGGATTTTCCACCCACTCACCCACCCCCTTAATGACATAGTTGTACTACTACTTAATTACTATTCAAACATATTTGTCTATCAAAATATGCAGGGTGTTTATTTTCAATAACTATCTACTCCCCTACCCACCCCCTCTTTAAATAAAAACATTTGTAGTTGGTGTAAAGTTAATGAGAAGTTTCTCATGTAAGTGCGAGGAAAATGCATTTAAAGTAGATATACAGTCATCAAGTACTTGGACAATATTCACACAAAGATGTTTGCAGATAATAAAATATCTCCCATTCATCAAAGGAAAGATAGAATTTGAAAAATATCGCAGCTTTTTTTACCACATAAAGTTTTTTTTTTTTTTTTTTTTAGCTTCTTTGTACCGCTCTTCTGTTGAAACCGGAGATCCCTTAACTGAAAAGTTAGTTTTATAAATATGTTGAGGCTGAAATCATTTGTTGTACAATGTCTCAGTTTTTTAAATATGTTTTGACCAATAGGAAAAAAGTATACATGTAATTATGTTTGAAAGGTATTCCAAACAAATTGAATCAATGTTATTTTTTTAAATAGTTTAACAGTTTTATTATTTGTTCACTCTTTTTTGCTAACTCAAATGAGAAAATGTTTGTGCTTTTTACATTATTGATATTCAAATAAAAACTTCATATTTCTATAAGTTTACTTTTAAGCAACTTTATTGCTGATTTTCTTGATTTGTATGTTTGATTGTTTTAATCTTTTGTGGAAACTTTTTCAGCCGCCGTATCTTTGTGTCTGGATATGCCTTCTTATTAGCTCACCTGATCCGAAGGCTCAGTTGAACTTTCCTGATCAAAATTTGTCCGTTGTCTGTCGTTGTCGTAGTCGTTGTTATTGTCGTCGATGGCGGGGTCGTCGTTACTTTTTCACATTTTCATCTTCTTCTCCAGAATCACTGGACCAATTTCAACCAAACTTGGCACAGAGTATTCTTGGGTAAAGGGGATTCAAATTTGTTCAAATGAAGGGTCACACCCTCTTCCAAAGATATGATCATTTTAAAATCTTCTCAAGAACCACTATAGGCCAGAAAATATGAAACTTATATGAAAGCTTCCTGACAAAGTTGAATTCAAGTTTGTACAAATCATGACCCCCGTGGCTAGGATATGGGTATACATAGGGAAAAATCTTTTAAAATCTTCTTCTTAAGAACAGCAAAGCCAAGGTCAGGCATACTTAAATAGAAACATCCCCAGGTAGTGTAAATTCAAGTTTGTGCAAATCATGACACCCCCTCCCCCGGGCCAGGGTGGGGATAAAATAGGCAATCAAAGTATTACATGGGGAAATAAAGGAAAAAATATTTTAAAATCTTTTTCCAAGGAACATCAAAGTCACAGAGGTGTAATGAAATATCATGATATTTAATTAGTAACGTACCATTTTATACGTTCTCGTATATTTCATGGCCGTAGGAACCGGGGGGCACGGGGGGGTCGTGCCCCCCCCCCCAATAATTTTGCCGATCTATAGTTTACTATAGAAAACATAGCTACTATATGCCTGTGCCCCCTCAATAAAAACGAACGTCTGATGACTTTTTTTTTTTTTTTTTTTTTTTTGCTTGTCAAGGAAATTTTGGTAGCTGATAGTGCTCCCTCAACTGAAAATGTATAGCTGTGCCCCCCAAACTGAAATTGCTTCCTACGGGCCTGTATTTTGAATAAGGTTTCTCCAGAAAACTGAATGTTATTAATTATTTTGGTTTGCGTGACACAATTTGTGTATGGGAGTTGTCGTTCTTTAGTTGCTCTCGTGGGAACTAATTTTTTTAGTAAACAATAAAGATTCAACCTTCTGTGTGATTTTTTTTTTTTTTTTTTTTTTTTTTTTGGTAAGACTGCAAGTCAGTTACTAAATAAGCCTTGATTACAGAATACCCTGTTTACACTTCCTGTAAAACAAGGGGGGGGGGGGGGTTAAACCAAATCAAAGAAAATAAAAATGCAATTATGTTTTTTGCATTCAAATATTATTCATGCTCTTGAGCTTTAAGTTCATCATCCTTAAGTTTGGTCGTGGTGGCATGTTAATTTGATTAAAATAACACGTTAATCTGTTCACATATTGATCGTCGTTGGGTTTAATTTATTACAAATCCCAAAGACCAATTGATTTTTTTTAAACATTATGTTATTGATAGGTAACCAAGAGGGAACGCCAATCAAAATGCAGTCTTCACTTGATAGAAAAGCCAGGATTACAATGAGTGAAGCATGCACCAGTAATTCCTTTTTAGTTCTTTAAAAGCCTATTTCATTATTAAATGATTACGAGTGCATCGGGTGAAAATTTCACCTTATAATGTCCGCCCTTTAAAGAAGTGTGTATTTACTGAAAAGTGTTGGATATATATATGGAAGTTTAGAGATGGATTTAAGCACCAGCTCCGCGTTATTTGTGACCATCCTGGTCCTGGGATACGCCTCTAACGGTAATATTTCCCCTAGTGAAGCAAGGATCCACTTTCTGATTAGAATTTCACTTTTTTATTCATTTTAAGGATAATATATGATTCTAAGAAAACTGTATGTACATAAAAGATATTTATAAATGACTGAACCCATCCTACCAAAATTAATAACACTGTAATAATAATAGGATTGTAATACATGCATTTAACTTTCAGCCTTGGCGATTGACTGCTGGGTCTGTAATTCAGACAGCGATCCTACAAATTGTGGGGAGGTCATCAACGATGTCGGATTACAGGACGCAAAAAGTACGGCGTCAAACTGCGCAGCGTGCGGCAAATACTTCAAAAGTCTAGGAACAGGTACCACACGTATTAATAGAGATGTTTAACGACCAACAATTTCAACATGTACACAAACAATTAAACATAAAACAGCAGTCAAGAAATGAATGGCATATAGTTATACATTCCCCCAAAAAGTTCTATCGCTAATATTTCATATACTATTACAATTTATAGAAAGTTTTCTGTCGATAGAGTAAGCAAACGAGCCCTGCAACGTTACGTAATCTAGCAATAATTCATGGCAGTGCACACACAATACACGTGCACAGACCACTTACACCTCTGACTGAAAGTGGTTCATATATAAGTGCCGCCTGGTATAGAGAAAATAACCACTGTACAGTTTTAATGCGTTTAAAGAGAAAGGTATTGATCGATTACAAATGTAATTAAACTTTTAAATGGAAATGGTCCAAGACAATATGGAACATTCATAATACTGTAGTGGATCAGATGTATATTTGAAAACATTTCAAAATCCTTTCATCTACACGAATTCAAAATAAGACTCACACACTTATACTCAGTCCTTTACAGCGTAATATTTATTGTATAACAAAATGGAAAAACTTCACACACACCCACCCCACCCCACCCCACCCCCCACCCCCCAAGAAGTTTTAAATTACAATGCAAATTAACTCCCAGAAAATTGTCTCAATGCAATTTAAACTTTCTTGATTTCTAATGGATTTTAGGTAGATTTTTCGTACGTTAATTACAATTTCATCATTTTTTAAACAGTTTTTACCTATGTGGAGCGGTCGTGTCTCTCTACAGAGACGGATACGTGTGATAACAAAATGGGGTACGGCTACTGTACCTGTTCTACCACCTACTGTAACGGACAGGAGCGGATCTCATTAACAACGCCCCTGGCTCTTCTAACAGCTGTTTGTGTTGTTCTTGTTAAATATTTATGAAACATCTCGACAAACATGCGAACAGGACTAGAAAACCAGTATTAAAACATTTGGGCTTGGAGGGCAGTTGAGGCTGATTTTTTTTTCTTTTTTTTTCTTTTACACCTAAATGATCGTTTATTTTTGAAAATTGAATTGTTTTATACATGTAAAATCTTGACTGTTTCAACAAAATTGCTTAAAGCTTAAAAGAAAAATTCAAACTTGTTGTCATTGTTTGAAGCAACGGAAACAATGTTCGTTAACAACGGAGGGTTTTCGTCGACATACTCCAGAGAGAGTAAGATACGCTATTGGTGCTTTGATGTTGTGTTTTATGCTATGTACAGTATTTCTTAAACATTTCGAGTGTGTTGAACTACAGTATATATATTTACATGTCTATATGTTTTTTTTTTCTGTGGAACAATTTTATTTGTTATCATTTTTTTCTATTAAATCATAAAATAATATGTGTTGTACATGTTATATATTTCTTGCAGTAAATTGTGATAAAAAAATCCATTCGGTGCTTTTTCTATGTTGGCGTTTGGAGTTAAAAATAGTACAATTTTTAAATAATATATATGAATTACTTAATATGAATCTTAATTACATGTATATAGAGGATTTTTTAATCATTGACATTGACACCTTAAGCAGGAACCCCGTAATTCTGGTTGCTTGTACTTTTATTTCCCAAAGCATTTCATTATATACTGTCTTCAAGAGGATTGATATCATTACATGTATAAATCAAACAAACAGCCCCTTTATAACATTATATTATATACAGTACTTGAGATATTATTTATCAGCTATTTTGTATGGATTATAATTTTAACAGTACTTAAATATGTACATAACTTACATTGTAATTATTGTTACTTGTACGTGTGGGATTTTTTTTCCTACGAAAGATTCTGTACTTTTCTATGTTTTTTGTCGAGCAGTACCACTGGTAGCCCTGGGGGACGGATCTGACCGATGACTTATTGATATAGATGTAAGAAAAGGAAGTATACATATATATATATCGTAAATTAACAAGCATTGTATTTAATCAACCGTAAAATTATTGGGGGGAGAAGAGGAAATCTTAAGTCTTTACATAATTCTTTTTAATATACGGAATTATCTAGATCAATTAAGATTAAAATTAAGCAAATGAAGTTAAAGAGCCAAAACTAAAGTATAGTTTATTTATGACAAAAGCTGTTTTATATGTAGGCAATACCATAAAGGATCCCCTTGGTGCCCCATTCTAGCGCCTTTCAGTGTATGAATATTATACCCCGAAATCAACAATACTTACACACATTTATGTATAGTATTTGTTGATTTTTTTTATGAGCAGGATATATCCTGAAATTTAAGGTAAGAATTATTCTTGAGATATTATATGCCACAATAGCTCTCCTGATGTCAATGTAATCAAGAAGCACACTTACAATTGTTGTCTCTTGCATGTAGCGATTCCCACGTGTTGTCATGCTTTTAATTTTAAATTAAAAACTATAGAGGTACTGTGAACACTAAGCTCATAAAATGATACCCCTGCTCCCATATGAGTATAATGGCAAGTCCATATTTTGCTATGGGAAAGTCCAAATATCTGTCCAATCAAAACATAAAATAGGAGGTCCACAATATGGCACTATGTAGGAAATATTCTGTGAAAGTCTCATTTAATTTCACTCAGTGATATGGGGGGGGGGGGGGGTGTAAGAGATGGGTACCCCAATATTATAGGGAAATGGCAGTATCCATGTTTTCCTATGGGAAAGCCCAAATAAATTTCTTATGAAAATGTAACAAGGAGGTTCACAGTGGTTCTTTGTATAATAGATTCTGTGAAAGTCTCATTAAATTTTATCCAGTGGTATAGGAAGAGTTGCGGATAAGATGTGGGTACCCTCAAGCGTAGCGGATGGACACCCCCATCGTTATATACCCTCGCTTTTCAAGCGGGAGGTATAATAAATCCTTGGTTTATAATCTGTAGTAATTTACTAGATAAACAATTACATATGCATAAAAAAGAAATCAACAAACCAAAAACCACTTGATATCATATGCTTAGCAGTCGTTTTATAGTGATACGTCACGTCAGTGGTTTTATCATCCTTAGTTTCCAGGAATTATATAAAATGATTTTTTTTTTCATATTAACACATCAGTTTATAAATCTAATACCTTAAACTTCCTGAAAGTAATGATGGAATAATATTACTCTATATGAAACTTTTCATATGCTGATTTCAAAGACGGAGTGAACATCATGAATTACGGTGCCACCCCCCACCCCCCCCTCTTATCTTCATACTTTCTCCTCCACAAATCGATTTTAAAGCAATATGAGCTACTACTCTCCTGTCAGGATTTCTTGTTGTTAAGTTGTAATTTTCAATTTCAATGACTGAAAAAATTGAGGTTTATAAACTTCTGTCAATTATATTTGTATTGGAAAAACTATTTAGAGGTTCTCTTTGAAGCAAATTAAAATTACCTTAATGTATAATTGAATTGCTGTTCAGTATTTTCCATACGTAAAAAAAAAAAAAAACAAACCAAACAAACAAAAAACCACGTAATGTTACTTCTTCACCGGACACTAAAAACTGAAAAATATTGATCCCTCGTGGATCGATTTTACAACAAACGAATGTCTGTGGACGCTAATTGTTGAATATGGTTACCCAAACTTTTCTTGATTGTAATATTGAGTGGAACAACAAATATGTGGGTGTCTCATCAAACAACGTAATTAAAATTAGATATTTGATCCGCTCACACACTGCACACACAAACAATCTAACCACAATGAGTGGTGAATTCAGATTGAACTTTGATTTGACCAATCAGAATCCTTCTTTTCTTAAGATTCAGAGAATAATCCAAAATTAAATTGTCATATTGTACGTGAAATAGAAAGAAAGTTAAATGAAATATAGTTAGGCTACATAGATTACTCTAGCTAGATACACATGTATACTATATGGCCAAATAATGTGAGAACTTGAGTAGTACACTGCTTATAGAAATATTTTGGTAATGAATAAAATCAGGATTCATGCGACACAAGATATTATTTTTACTATTATTATTATTTTTATTTTATCTTGTTTATTTATTTATTTATTCACTTTTTGGTCGCTGATTGTCAGCTTTGATCATTCAAGGTCTTTTGATTGATTCTTTGATTACCAATATGCTTGTGAAATGTCGGCAAGATGTCTCACTCCTCCATGGCACCTGATCCCACTTCTAAATTTTGAGGTCCGTGTTTTCTCTGCTCCAAATTTGTATTGTTTCATTGGACTTTCGAGATTGAATACTGTTCGTCATCTTCATACTTCATTGTCGTGATAATGAGAAAGTCACTTTATAAGATGAAAGCAGCATTTTTTAAACCTCAAAAATAGTATATTGGAGCCTGTTAATCCGAACACATCACCTCTCGGGCGACACTTGAGGGGTACAATTTAAATTTAGTTATACCAAGGTATTGAGTGGACGCTTCAATAATCCGGACAATTTGCTTGGGAACACAAGCGTCCGGATTAAAGTGGCTTAACTTTATAAGAAACGTTAAATTACGGATCACACCATTTTAAAAGTTTCTTTCAAGCATATGCTATACAATATAGAAACCAAATGTAGATACAATATGTACAGCTAGACAGCTACATGAAGTAATGGAATTGTCAGATCTTAAAATTATTAAAATGGGTTTCATCTTAAAGGTATGATGTCTCTTTTGCAGCATGTTTAAGTTTGGTGTAGTGTTAGTGACTGTGCTTATAAATGTCCACATTCCCACATCCGTCATTTGCTCTGATCTAAAGACAGTAGATGTGGACAATCTAATGCGTGAGTAAACGTTAATGACGTGTCAATAAAATAAAGTGGCAAAATCTTTTCGCATAAGACTTCTCTAATGATGTTAATGTATTTTGCTTGTAGTTTAATTAAATCTTTAATTACCTTGCCAAAATTTTATACTCCAGTTTTAAACGTTGCTGTTAAGGGGAGATTAATCAACAAACTCACGGAGGCGATAGAAAAAGCCCAGACATCTCGACAGGTGTTGGCAGAGGACGTGAAAGATTGTCTGGTACAGGCCTCAGCTAGTCACGTGCTATGTAGAGAGTGTGTACGGAGTCTATGTGAGAGAAGGTGAGGGACAAGCATAGCCTACATCCACATCCTACCGCATCATGTTTTATATTAGACCCTTTATACACCAATCAAAAATATTTTCTAGTCATTGAGAAAATTATTTCATATAAAGATGTGAAAATTGAGTTTATCTACCATTTTAACATTGAGTACCAGCTATTTACCTCTATGAAAAATGTTCACACTTGAAGAAGTATTGTTGAACAAAAATAATAGATTCCTCCGTTTACCTTATCATGACAAAGAGCACACGGCGGGTGTCACAGGTCGTCAGGGAATGCTTACTCCTTCATGGCACCTGATCACACCTCTGAGTTCTTAGAGATCTGTGTTTGCTCTGCTCCCAGTTTGTATTGTTTCAATGGACTTTTTAGCAGAATTACTTTTAGTTTTCCTCATAATTTATTTAATATAAATAAATGGGAGAAAATACATGCAAATAAAGTCTCTATCTTGGCCTAACAATAAGTTCAGAATGCCTAAATTGATTAAAAATTGAGTAATGCACTATAGATTTCCTTTCATTTTATTTTAGATCAAAGGGCAGATCACTCTAATTGCATTAACATTATCATGGAATTATAAGTCTTTAGTGTGCAGTGTATAGAGGGTCCTTAATTCGGATCTATATCTGTCCATTTCTTAAAGAAATTAGAGGACTTGAGTTATTAAATTTAGTGATTCCCATACAAGCCTTAAGTTCCTGGCAATGCCCATGATTTCGGGTTCCTAAATCATTTGGAAGAAATTTTAAAATTGATCAAATTATATACTATTTTAATTTATCGTTAATGATTTAAGTATACCTTTGAATTAATTGTGGAGATATCGAGGTTTTTTGCCAACAGGAGGCGTTATAAGTAATGGGCTGAGCAGCACCCCTCCCCAGTTTTGTTTTTGAAAAAAGCAAAGTGTGTGCTCTTGGTATCACCCGAAAACAAAAAAAAAAATGTTATTTTGGAACAAATTTTTAAATATACATGTAATGACACTTTAATTTATCTCACTGCAACTTTTACAGAAACTAATACGTAAATGTAAAAAAAAAATCTGAAATGTATAATAAATCAATATTAATATTTATCACTGATTCATACTTGAAAAGTAACCGTTTGTTTTTATATATACATAGTATTACGAAGTCTAATTAAATACTCAAAAGTTCAATAGATACAAAGTATGCTACCAAAATCTTCCTGCACGTACAATCTGATAACAGAAAAGGGCATCGTTCCCCTACGACCCATCTCAAATCCGCCTATATGTGGATATCAAGAAATACAAATCATGTATGTGTATTCTCTAACACAGGACTTTACAGTGTAATGGCAACATAACTGAAGTGGAGATTGTAATGAAAAAAGAGGAAGAAACCCCAATTCCGGAAGTGAAAATCGTGGAACCGGATGTAAAGTTGGCAGAGACAGTGATAGAAATGTCAAATACAGCTAAAGATGATCTTTTGCAAGAAGTACTTAAAGCTTTTACTAGTAATACATTGTAGTTTATAACTTGAACCACACTACCTTTGATGTCTGTTTTTCTGAACTTTTCAGGTATTGCCTTCACTTTTATATATTATCTTCTTAGGTTCCAGAAAGTTTGCGAAATGAAGGGCAATATATAGTGGAAGAGGCACAGACGGAATCTAAATTGGAGACCCTTAAACGGACACTAGGGGAGGGGTTTAACAAAGCAATGGATACTATTCCAAAATTGATCCCAAAAGTTAAAGACGCATTTATAAACATGGAAACCCAGCTATCAGATCCTCAAACCATTGATCGTTTGGCCAATGGGGCTGCTGAGCAGGTATATAGGTCAACATTATGTGTACTTACATGTACTTTTATATTTCATACTACTACATGTAGTAAGCCTGGAGTAAATCTGTTCCATACCAAATTCCCTGTTAAAAAACCCTGGTTTTACATGTCAAGGTATTTCAATACTTTTTGTCCCTCTAATTCTCATTGCCAAATCTAACCAAACAGGTTGCTATAGCAATGCAAGGAAAACAAGAAGTAGAAGAAAAGCTAAATCGAAACATGGATGTTCTACAACAGAAACTGCCGCGTGTTCTAGAGACCGTCAATAACCACTTCAGCAACATAATGTCATCTGTCAAGTCCTTCATGAGGTCCACTGTTCAGAAGGTGAACCAAATGCAAGGTAAAAAAAATATGGATGTTGTGAATTGTAAAATATTCAAATCAAAAATTAAAAAAAACATAAAAATTCAGGAAAATGATGAATCAATCATATCGAATTATCAACCTAATTAGATTGAGCAAATGATATAAAAATATTTTTATTAACCAGGAAATGAAGATTTCGGAAAGATTTTTAAATTTCCAAAGTCTGAAAATGATGCAAAGAAATGGTCCACATCTATTATATCTTTACACATTATGAGACCAGATGGAAAGGTGACGTCATGGAGAAAATCAAATCAAATGATCTCACCTCAAGTCTCCCTAAATCAGAATCAGGCGCCACAGTCCGGTCACATAAGTCAGATTCCTAGTATGTATATATTTGTACACTTTATACATGTACATGTAACATACTTGCTAATTACACACATTGTATATGTAATTAGGAATGTACAGCATGAATGTGTCATAACAAAGGGTCATTCAGAAAATACGTAAGAAATGTCCCTCTTTGTCATATTATTTCTGAGAAATTTAAGATTAACACATTATTATATTTAAAACCATTTATTTCATTGTGCAGTTTCATTTTATTTTTTCAAATTGAACCCATTTTACATTATTTCTAAATCAACATGTCACCATAATTCTCATCAAAATAGTCAAAAACATAACGTCATAACAATTTCTTAAAAATAAACCATTTCTTTATTTCATATACAGTCCGTGTCGCTTTGTCCATTTATTCAAGAAATTTCTATACCACTTTATACTTATATATAGTTTGCTTACAATTATTCAAATACCAAGATACATGTATATAATTCGTCAATGTCTTCATTTTTTTTACCACGTAACTGCTTTCAAGAGTTCCGCAACCGTGAAGCACACATCCCTTTCAAAGTCTCGTTAAGTCAACGAAGCTATATATAACAATGTAGAAATGATAGCTAATTTTAAATGCATTGCTAACAGTTACGCTACAAATCTGAAACGGTACAATGGGTTTGTTAGTAAAGAAATTTTACCTAAAAAGTTGGTAAAGAAAACTAAAGAAATTAAAGGCAAATACGTCAAAGTAGTAAGAATTTCCTGTAACAAAAATTACCACCTTATTGTAACATCGAAAATCACCCAGCGTTATTGTAACATCGTAAATCACCCAGCGTTATTGTAACATCGTAGATCACCCAGCGTTATTGTAACATCGTAAATCACCCAACGTTATTGTAACATCCTAAAACACCCAGCGTTATTGTAACATCGTAAATCACCCAGCGTTATTGTAACATCCTAAATCACCCACCGTTATCGTAATATATCCTAAATCACCCAGTGTTATTGTAACATCCTAAATCACCCAGCGTTATTGTAACATCCTAAATCACCCAGCGTTATTGTAATATCCTAAATCACCCAGCGTCATTGTAACATCCTAAATCACCCAGCGTTATCGTAACATCCTAAATCATCCAGCGTTATCGTAACATCCTAAATCACCCAGCGTTATTGTAACATCCTAAAACACCCAGCGTTATTGTAACATCCTAAATCACCCAGCGTTATCGTAATATATCCTAAATCACCCAGTGTTATTGTAACATCCTAAATCACCCAGCGTTATTGTAATATCCTAAATCACACAGCGTTATTGAAACATCCTAAATCACCCAGCGTTATTTTTGTTAAAAATAGGAAGGGATTCTTTAAAATAATCAGTACACTATTCATAATATTTGTCAAACCTTTTAACAGTCCTACAAACTGCTTTTTGTCCTTGTATAATTCTCATATGAATGTCGTGTGATTTTCAGGGCGGTTTCAGAGAGGTTCCAATGACGTCAGGTGTGACGACATAGCAAAGAATCCCCAAGAAGCTTGCGAATTGTATCACTTCCAATGCCAGTCATGTGCAAATGACACAATTCTTTTACAGCACAGTAAGATATTCATAATGATTTAATAAGAAACCAACAACTTATTTATGAGAAGAACTATTATTTCTGTCTATATTGGGGACGTGTATGCATAAAAATTCGCAAACACGTGCGATAAAATTGCATGTCAAGAAGGTACTCAGTATATCACTGTATGTTAAAAAATCAATTCCTTATGTAGAGGTCTAGAGAATTATACCAATAGCTTTCAACCATTTGGGAACTAGTATTTAATCACATTGTAGAATGTGGGAAAACGGCCCTTAAGAAAATGGTAGACATTAAACTTCTGGACATGAAGACGGCCATGTATGTAACTGTGTACACCAAGTACTTGAGACACGGCCTGGTGGTGGAGAAGGTAATTATAGCTTTCGATATTGATCAGACATATCACGTGCATCAAAATATGATATTAATTTACGTATTTTATTCGAAAATTAATAAATTTAGATCGTAAAAATGCCAAAATTTCCTAAAAATAGGATGATATATACTTACTGACATATAAAAAAGAGAGAAATAAAATAATTAGTTTTACCAACAGGGGAGTTCTAGTTTAATTCCCCACTTTGATTATTTCGTGGTTTTCAAATATACATGCAGAAAAAAAGATAGTACTATAACAATGTCCCTACGTTTCCTTTTTAACATTTTTAAAATAAATGGAGATCGTGTCATTTTTTCATTCTATAGGTTAAGTATGATGAAGACAGTTACGATTCTGCAAACAAAGTATATAGGTCTGCATTTATTACTGCAAAAATTGGCAAGAAAATCATCACATACGAAACTTCGGCTTTACCCGCGTTTACTGATTTGACTTCATCTGGTGGAGAAATCGGAGAGGAATTGTGGGAAATAATGAATCACGAAGGGGAATTTGAGCCAGGTCATTTTGTTAAATCCTTTGAAGATGATCTAGAAGGAGCCTATAATCTGAAACAAACTGCAAGATCTGGATGTGTTCAATCTGCCGTCAATTCAGTTGTGTTTACAGTCCTAGGAGTCATTTTCTACTTTGGCTTCATTGTATTGTGAAAAAAAAATATCTGGATGATATAAATAATAATCCGATCATCTGATCATAGCCAGCCAGCCAGCATGAAAACGGGTATTCTGACAAATTTCCTTCCGCACATCAAATTTTGTCAACTTAAAAAAATATTCAGGATTTAAATTTCAGCAATCGTTTTACATGGCATATTTTTATTTCCAGTCCTATAAGTTATAATTTATGTTTTAAAGATTTAGAACTTGATAAATATGTTATGTAAAAAAAAATTTGATGTTAATATAATGTTATGTACATACATGTCTCATTTATAAAAATGTTATGTAAATAATTTTTTATTTTAATATGTATTATGTACATATACATGTATGTCTCATTTACGTGGTACTCAAATTTACATACAAGTTACATATCATGGTTTATACTAAAGTTTAAGTCTTTCTGGCAAGTCGTTCTTGTTTGTTTCACTTCATAATAAACCTGCCATAATAATATATATAAAATATAAAACTGCACTAATCTGTTGTGCCCACTTAATCTTACAACCGTTACTTGTTTCACGCGTACGGTATTTACACGCATGATGTGTTCAGCCTTCCTTTGTTCACTTGAATTTTTTTTTTATGTGATGAATTTTATGATTTTGATTTTATCTGTCTCAAACTTATGTCGACCTATAATATTCCATACCATGCATTTTGGAAACTATATCGTATTGTGATTTATGATTTTTATCTTATTTATTAAACAACAACAAATATAATTTTCCTTCAATTTATGTTTTTCCAGGACTGTCAATGTCAGTAAAACCCCAATCACATTTCCAAACATAGGTAATCAGAGATAAGATTACAGAGCTCACCTCAACGAATGTTGTCTTTAAGTAATGCAAAGTCCCACACTAAACTAATAATCTAGTAGTATGCATCCTTAGATGCAACATTTATGCAATTTTGGTCTGATAGGGCTAGCAGTTTCTTGGGAAAAAGCTAAACTAGTCACTCATCCAGAAAATGTAGGTCAAATCCAGCATCCGAAGCAAGTTTGAAAGTGTTCATCCCTTGATGCATCAACCATGCAAATTTGGTTTAGATAGGCCTTAATAGTTTCTTGACAATGGACCTGCTCAAAAAACTTTAACCTGGTCACTCCACCGGAAAACGTATGTCAGATCCAGCATCCGAAGCAAGGCCAGTATTGTGCATCCTAAGATGTATCATCCATGCAAGTTTGGTCAACATAAGGCTTATAATAACTTGAAAATGAGATCTGCTCCAAAAACTTTAACCTGGTCACTCATCTGGAAAATGTAGGTCAGATCCAGCATCCGAAGCAAGTTCAGTAGTATGCATCCTTAGATGTATCATCCATGCAAGTTTGGTCAACATAAGACTTATAGTTACTCGGAAATGAGATCTGCTCCAAAACTTTAACCTGGTCACTCATCCGGAAAATGTAGGTCAGATCCAGCAACCGAAGCAAGCCTGGTAGTGTGCATCCTTAGATGTATCATCCATACAAGTTTGGTCAACATAGGACTTATAGTTACATGTACTTGGAAACGAGATCTGCTCCAAAAACTTTAGCCTGTTCCAAAAACTCCAACCTGCTCCAAAACATTAGCCTGGCCATTCTTTAGCTGAAATTGCAGCATCTGAAACCTTGACTGGTACAATGAAACACACCAGAGGCATCCCCCATGCACCTCCGATTAATCACAGGAGTTCGCGTACCCATCAATTTAACCGAAATTTTCAGTAAATAAAAAATAAATACGTAATACCTATAATAATAACATATATTATTATAGGTATTACGCATTTTTTTTATTTACTGAAAATTTCAGTTAAATTGATACGTACGCGAACTCCTGTGGATTAATATAGGGCATAGAAGTACTTGAAAAGAAATGTGCTCCAAAACTTTAACCTGGGACGCCGACACCGACGCCGAGGGTATTACATAAGCTCCCCAACTTCGTTGAGGTGAGCTAAAAACGACTAACGGCCGACGGTTTTTGAGGCAAATATAGGATTCTTCGGGCGACATGCAGTCAGCTGTTCATCGGCCGTTGTCTTGCCCGATTTTGACCTCTTTTTTCGTCGGCCGACCAATTTTGTGTCTATCGGGCCATGTTATAATTTTATCTGCGTCGGTTGCCGATTCCTTCAATTGAAGCAGTGATCGTCACGGTAGCTCAGTCGGTAGAGCGCTCGCTCCGAGATCGAACCATGGCCGCGACTCACTTAAGTCGATAAAAAATAGGTAGCAACTGTTCCCTTCGCCAAGCGTTCGTCGCTTTGAAGTGAAAGATGCAGGTCCTTCGGATGAGACCTTAAAAAACGAGGCCCCGTGTCACGATAGGCTTTGGCTCAATAAAGAACCCTAGCTCACTGCTCAATGGTCCCCGAGTGCCGAGTAAAGGTCTTAATTTGAAGCCCTTCGTCGGTATATGGTGACGTCTCTATATGAGTGAAAAATTCTCGAACGGGAAGTAAAATAACATACAATCAATCAATTGAAGCAGTCGCTGAATAGTCCGTCGACCAACCTTCGATAATCGTCCGACCATCGGCAGACAGTTAAGTCGGTCGGTCAACATTCAGAAATTGGGTTTTCATAAATGATGGCCGACGATGAAAATCAAACTACGGCTTAGCGAACGATGATCGCGCGACTATTGGCCGACTTAGAATTATTTAATTTTTTGAAAATTATCGGTGTTCCTAGGAATTAATGTGACTGCTCCGCGTCGCCTGATACCAGTGTTGGCCGATCATGTTTTTCAGCCGACGATACGAGAAAAATTTGGTTGCCCGACCATCGGCTTAAATGTGACCTACATGTAGGTATATGAAGGCAATACTATATGTGTCAATCCAAAATGCAATGGCGTTTGGTGATGAGTGACGTGTTAACTATGGTAAAAAGTAAAAAGGTAGAGGGAGGGTCTAAAAAAAAAATCAATGATTAACTGCAACTTCCTTTTGTACAGAACGATTACAGGCCCGTAGCAACGGTTTCAAAAGTGGGGGGGGGGGAGGAGAGGCACTCCCCCTCCCAAAATAAACATCGACCAAAAGTGGGGGGGGGGGGCAACTTCCCAAAATTACAAAATTATCTGAGAAGCACAAAAAAATCATTTACTGTCCAAATCCTGGATTTTGCCTGCGCTCAACCTTACAGCATCAAAAGTGAGGGTGACCAACCAGTATCTAACGGAAAATTTACTATAGCGAAATCTATACTCAGAAAAAAGTATGCAGCACATTTATCAATATATCTTGGTTTGTTCTGTAGAAATTGGGTTAACCCTGACCAAACGTAGCATTACGGTAATCTTCCTGTGGTATACATGTACATGTGCATTATTTACTGAATATTAATCATACATGTAATAATTTAGCAATATAAAAGTCTACAACGAAGAATATCATTTCTGAACAATTTAAAATCAATGCTGGTATGGGATTGTTGTTGTTAACTAGAAAACTGATTGTGGCCCCACCCTATCCCCAGAGTCATGATTTGAACAAGATTGAATCTACACTACCTGAGGATGTTTCCACATAAGTTTCATCTTTCTTGGCCCAGCAGTTCTGGAGAAGAAGAATTTTAAAGAGTTTTTCTACGTATTTCCATGTAAAACTTTGATCGTCCATTGTGGCCCCACCCTACCCCTGGGGGTCATGATCTGAGGATGTCTCCATATAAGATTCATCTTACATAGTTCAATGGTTCTTAAGAAGATTTTTAAAAGATACCATTAATTTTTCATTAATTCTTAATTATCTCCCCTTGGAAGAAGGCGTAGCCCTTCATTTGAACAAATTTGAATCACCATTACCTAAGGATACTTTGTAACAAGTTTGGTGGAAATTGGCCCAGCGGTTCTTGAGAAGAAATTGAAAATGTGAAAAGTTTACACATGACACATACTGCATGACGACGGATGAAAACAGGTAGCAATAGGTCACCTGAGTGACTCAGGTAACCTAAAAAAAAGATATCTTTATCTATATTTTGGTTTTAGAATTCATTAATATCATCTCATTGTCAAAATAAAGTTTGAACTTTATTTAAATCCACATTTCAGAGAATGTAAACATCACTCAGAATTGAACCTTAACTTCAAAACAAACCTCATTTGCAGACAGAGATGTTAATTAATCTCAACATGACAGATAAAGATATTGCTTTGGATTTTCTTCAAGAGGAAAGTTGATTAAGAAAATGGGAACATTCTCAGCAGTTATCTCTCTTTGCCCTGGCATTCATTCTTAAATAAAGTTAAGGAATCTACCCCACCACCCCAGTTCCAAGCTGGATGACATAGAGAACCAAATTTAGCATCAAAATATGCCTTTCTGCCTACTCAACCAACATTCCAAATTTGAACTTGATTGGTCAACCATAAAAAAAAAAAGAAAATTTGTGGATGGAAGAAATGACAGACAGACAGACACACAGAATGCTTACTATAGGGCCCCCATAAATTCTTGAAGGGCCCTAATTAAGTAATTTATCATAACTATTGAGGGATGATAACAATGTCCACAAAGCTGACAACTCTTATATTTATCTATATCTTTAATGAAGCTACAAAGCAGGTGACACATGCATTCCTTGGAACACTCTAGTTCTTGTTGAGATACAAACCACCCTATTTTAACATTAAACTAGAAGTACTGTGAGCATTGAGCTCACAAAATGATACCCCAACTCCCATATGAGTATAATGGCAAAGTCCATGTTTGCTACAGAAAAGCCTGTATCAGAGAAAGAATGGCAGTGCCCATGTTTTGCTATGGGAAAACCCAAATATGTCTGATCAAAAAAAAAAAAATGAAAAATAGGTGCACAATGGCACTATGTAATAAAGATTCTTTGAAAGTCTAATTAAATTTAATTAAGTGGTTTGGTGGTGGTGGTGGGGGGGGGGGGGGGGGGGGGGAGTTGTGACTAAGAGAAGGGTATCCCAAGTTTAATGGACATACAAAGAGATGGATGGATGGACACCCTCATGACTATATACTCCCACTTTTCAAGGGGTATAATAAAGGTTAATGCATTTTCAACACATTTTTGCATGGGGTATAATGTTTTATTTAGTTTATACTGGTTGTTCTGTATCAGATTTCCTTTGCTTTTGTTTCTTTTCATACAGGCTGGGCTCAAAAACCTGTAAAAATATAAAAAAATAATTAAAAAACTAAAAAATGACCATCAGAAAGGGACCCACTGTAAGGAAAGGGTAGCAGGGATGTGAATTTACTTAACTGAAACTAAAAAAAAGAAAAGGGATGCAAAACAACAAATGCAATAATGAAATTAAGAAATTTCTTAAATTGCAGAATATGATAAACATATCATACTGTAAAGAATGACAAGTGCAGTGGTAGATTTGGGGAATTAATTAGCGAATTATCAGTCTTGGTAAAACTCTTTACTTGCAATTAAACTCTTAATTACTATGTGTATTGTAAATTTATACTGTTGTCTTTTTAAAAAGTTTGCTCAACCACCCCCTCCCCACCCCCATCACCCCTTCCAACTGGAAATCCTGGATCAGCCCCTGAAGCATAATCAGACATTAAAAAAGGTTATTAAGAGAAAAAAAACAAAATTTCTGGATTTACAGATGGAGAGACAAAGTGTTTACTAAAGGAGATCAAACAAAATCCTTGCAGGACACTTAACAAAAATTTGATGGGCTCAAACATAGCAGATGTAGAAACAAAAAAAATAAACCAGAGAAGTTCATAAAACATTACTTTTTTGTATTTGCTTGAATTATTACACAAGTGACATATTCTACAAGGACACACTTAGATACCTCCTGAACTCTTTTCCTGATCTGTGAGACAGTATTTTTGACAGACTCCTCCTCAGTACTCATTTTTTTCTCTCCCTCTACCTTCAGCTCTGGTCCCTGTCTTTTCCCAAGCACAAAAGCATTCCTCTGTAATTCTGACTTGACAATATCACTGGGTACACTGTCTTCTTTTTCTGGCTTTATCTGAGTTTTGGTAATGTTTAGAGTTTGTCTTGGTATAAATTTTGGAGTTGATTTTAGTGTTGGAGTATTTTTTATGATTAATCCATTGACAGTTCTAACTTCGTTTTGTTTGTTAATGTTTGTATCACCCTGTACTCTCTGTGCTGTAGCCACCTCTGGATCACTTCTCACTATCTCTTGCTTCTTGTCGCAGCTGATACATGCCTGTTGAAAATCTGCTTTGTAGCTTTCTTGAATCGCTTTTGGCAGTGTAGCATGTGCAGATGGCACCCTAGCAAATTCATAGTTCCTCATTCTCTGTGAATCATGTTTAAATCTAGAACTATAGTCTTGCTTTGGGGGAGGTGGAAGAAGATACAGTTGTTCTGGTTTTGTAATCTGCTGATCAGATTCTGTTTGAAAATGCAACTGTGAAATTTGTGGACCAGCCTCATAATGGACTGGTAATACAGCACTTTCAGGAACCACTGGTTGTGTATGCTGGAACTCAGAAATATCTTTATGATCTCTCTCATCAGCTGAGGATGTATTTCTTTCAGAATTTTTCTTTACTGCTTCTTTTCCTTCAATTAAGAATAGATCATTTGTAATGAAATAGGTCAAGATAATGAACAGTGATCGATCTCCAAAAAAGAAAATAAAATGTAAATGTCCATTCTAAAAAAAAATGTAACAAAATATCTTTCTTTTCCATAAAAAACACTTAGTTGAACTCTATATTTATGTAGTGTGTAATGGAGAACCCCTTATAGCTACAGAACTGTAGCTATCCAGGACTTACAATCCTTTCCAAATTTTCCATCCTTGTAAAGCTACATTTCTGCAACTACAATGTATAACCTTTACAGAGAGGAGGGAACACCAGAAGAATCACAGACTAGACACATACCCCGTAATCTCGGATTTAACATTATTATAATTTACTTGTATCCAGTATATCAAACATGTCAACTTCTATGATTTCTCCATTACAAATTTATGACTCCGACAAAAGTTTGCTGCTGTGTTAGTTCCCTACCGGAAATCCTTATCCTGGATGCTACAGTCCTTCGTCTGTCTTGTAGTTTTTGTCTTGTTTCCTCAACACTCTCAAACTCAGGAGCATAACTAACATGTATCACACCTCCATAAAATGAAAAATCATCCAACTTCCTCTTGGCAAACCTGAAAATAAAATAAGACATTTCCAGAAATTCATTACATTCCTTTCCACCCTATTTTTGTTGGGCTAGCAGCAATAGGATCAATGAAATTATTTATGGCTGTTGATCTAGCATCTAAATGACTACACCTTGCTGCCTGGATTTTTTGAAACTTGACAAGATAAACATCTGTGTACTTGTCAGCAGATGGAAACTCATCCAAAACTCTGTATTCCTCTACAGCGCCATACACAGCAAACAACTTGATTAGTTCTTGGCTGGTTCCCAGAGCTGGTACCCCCTGTACAAGCAGATATGCTGATTCCTGATTCACTGTATACACCTAAAACATTAACATAGCTGACAGTCAATGGTGTGTTCACACATGTTGTTCAAAGGCATCAAACAATAAGTCCTCATTTTCTTTTCAAATCAATGCATGCACTGATCATCTGTTTGTGAACATACATGTATACTGTATAAAATTTTCTGATGTTTTTCATACTTAAACATTACATGTATATACATGTATAATGCTTTATTCTAATTTTTGAATTTTCAAGTGTGATTTAATATATTAGATGCTCATACCTAGAAAAGGCAACATTAGAAATATTGCATTCTTGCCCCCCCCCCCCTTTTGTATCATTATAGTTTTTGGTGATTGTGTGATAGTTGCAACAATCTACTGGTGTCTCATAATACTGCCGAACAAAAAGGTCATTAAAATTCTCTCTTTCACATTTCATCATATGGTATTCATAAAGCTAACAATTAGCTAACTTTTTAGTGGCAAATTACTTTTAAAGCTGGCCCTGTTTAATTTGTAGTCTATTTTTAAAACAGGAAGTCTTTATCTCCTAAACTGGGGAGTCTCATTTATTGTGGTATTGGAATATGTGAAAGCTTGGCGCTGTCATGAAGTACAATTTTTATTTTTTATTTCAATATGTAAATCTACTGTCAGAAAACTAAACAATAATAAAAACTTAATTAAAACCTTCAAAATTTAATAGAACTTTAAATCATTATGACTTTTACTAGGTTTATACATTCAATGGTCTAAAAATAAATAAAACAGAAATAAATATTGTACAGAACGCCTCTGTTGTTGGAAAAGTCATAATATGCACCTTTGTGGCCTTTGGCAATCTACCTTCTCTGTAAGCAGGTCTATTTTCAGCGACTGTTGCTTTGATGTGATGCGATGGTATTTTCATGGGCGCAGCCATTTTGGAGTTTTACTAAAACCTGAAACAGACAAATTAAGGGATGAAACGTTATAAAACAAAGTTGCTTAGATTTTTTAAATTATAGATAAAACGTTTGTCTTATACTATTGAAAATTAATAAATCATAAAGTTTCAGTACAATTATCTTCTGTACATAATAAACAACATGGTAGTTTTCTTACATCTATACGCTGTCCCGTTCTTTAGGCAGTTCCATCCAAAATGAAAGTAGCAGCTTCAACAACTTCCGGTTGAATCCTCTGAGGGGTTCGCTATGTTTTTGGTTGGACTGACGGGAGGTATTGCATCAGGGAAGAGCACAGTTGCTAAAATATTAAAAGAACTGGGTTGCACTGTCATAGATGCGGACGAAGTAGCCAGGGAAGGTATTTAGTGTATTAAAGTAGTGTATCTTGCTCAGGGGGAACAAATGAAATTGAAAGTTATACAGTATGATGAATACCCTTGTTATCTTGTTATTAATTAACTTGAAGATTGTATTTTTCTGTTCGAAGCTTTATACTTGGTGATAAATTTAATGTAACAGTCAAGCAAGTTTGATTGCCGATGGTTAAATAGCTAGGTTGTTAGAGGTTGGATTGACATGTAAAAATTAAGATCCAGGCTCCGGGGCCATAAAACTTAGATGAGCTCACTTTTGATCTCAGCCTTACTGTTACTTAAGGAATGTAGGGTAAGTTAACCATGCATTGGACAAATACCTTGCTTCGGACAACTTTTAGCTTGCATCAAACCTTCAAGTCGATCTCGGACCGTTTCTGTCGAGTAAAGCCAATTTAAGATTTTAATTTTTAATTAGATTCTGATTTTTATTATCATGTGGTGATAAAAACACATATCATGAAAGTGGTATTGGAAGTAACCAAACTTTTATGATTTTGCAATAATCTGTAGAGTTTTCTTTTTTTTCTTTTTTTTTTCATTATAGGACTTCAAGGGAGGTAGTCCAATTTCTTGGGTGAATTTTGTTATTGATCTATAATTTTATAGAAAATTAAAGAAAATTCATTTCAAACTTTATATTCATTTTCGTAGTCAGAGTTGTTTTTACGTAGTCAGAGTTGTTTTTACTAGTATGTTCATTTGACCATGCATTAGACACTTTCCAATGGCTGAATGCATGGGTAATTACTAAATCCTTTTTCTGATAGAGATAGTGTATAATACCCAATTGACAGCAGTTTTGCAGAAATAACAAAATACATATTGAACATATTCAGGGAAAATACAGGTTATCGATATATCACAACTAGAAGTGGGCTCTCTTTATTTTTTCTGTAATGATTTAAGCCGTAGATATCAGCCTGGATAGCTCAGTTGGTGGAGCACCTGACTAGTGATGCAGGGGTCCTGTATTCGATTCCAGGTCCAGCTGTACATTTTCTCCTTTCCTGTTACACTACAAACTAGAAGATGAAAACCCCAGAGCCAAAGCACAAGTTGCCATATTACAAGGAATTGCAGGGCCTATCTAAGGCGATGTGATGCAACTTAAAATCTCTCCACATTTGTGGATCGATTTAGTCAACCGACTTAGAATAGAGAGTAAATTTTTAAATGGAGCATAAAAATACTTACATGTCTCTATTTTTAAAGCATTTAGGGTGTTGTAAGGGCCACCGCAAATAAAGATAGGACATTCTTCTGGTTATATATACGGTTTGTCTGTTGCATGGTGAATATTGTCCAATCCATGGTGAATTCTGGCTGATTAAAAAAAATCGATTTTTTAAGGTAGTCCGATCCTCATGTTCTGAAAATCAGGAGTTGTGTAATTGAAAATGCTAACAAAAATCTACCTGGTCCATCTTGCATGAATGATGCATCTAGGGATGGACCCTACCAGCCTTGTTTCATATGCTAGATCTGACCTACACGTTCCAAATGAGTGAACAGGTTTAAGTTTTTGGAGCATGTCCATTCCCAAGTACCGGTAACTATAAAGCTTGCTTGTACAACTTGAAGGGATGGTGCATCTAGGGATGGACATCACATGACTTGCATTGGATGCTGTATCTGACCTACATTTTCCAGATGAGTCACCAGATTAAAGTTTTTGGAGCAAGTCCATTCCCATTTAAGCCCTACCTGAATCAACCTTGTGTTTTTTATGCATATAGGGGTGCACTCTACCAGCCTTGCTTCAGATGCTTGATCTGACCTACATTTTCCAGATGAGTGACCAGGGTAATGTTCTTAGAGTAACTATATGGCCTGTTATTATTAAACTTCCATGGATGATGCATCTGACACTGACTACCTGACTTGCTTTGGATGCTGGATCTGAAGTACATTCTCCAAATGAATGAACAGGTTAAAATTTTTAGAGCTGGTCCATTCGTAAGTAGGTATAATGCCTACAATATGTACTTAAAACAAACTTGTACGAATATTATCATATAAATCTCAGGATGCTCACTTACCAAAAAAAAAAATTGATGTGAGATTTGCTTACTTATAGACAACATTTATTGAATAGGTGAGCTTCATACCTGTTTTTCCTAAAATGTGACAGCAGGTATAATGTATCTCTCTAATTATTGAAAATTTTCTTTGATGTGTATGCTGCAAGGATTGATGTGTTCTGTCCTTGTATTTCAGTGGTACTACCAGGAACACCAGGATGGAAGAAAATTAAAACTCATTTTGGAAGTGATGTTTTCCAACCAAATGGAGAACTAAACCGTGAAAAACTTGGACAAGTGATATTCAATGATTCAAATAAAAGGAAAATTCTTAATTCCATAACTCATCCAGAAATTTACAAAGCTATTGCTTGGAAGGTTATAAAAAACTTTCTGGTTGGTAGGTACACAATACATGTACTATATAAAATATAAAAAAAAAATTGGTTGCTGTAAACTATCTTTGTCTTTGATTGGTAGATATAAAGAAATAAATATAAATTTGGTAGCTGTTAACTATCTTTGTTTCTGATTGGTAGGTATAAATATAAATTTGGGAGCTGTTAACTATCTTTGTTTCTGATTGGTTGGTATGAATATAAATTTGGTAGCTTTTAACTATCTTTGTTTCTGATTGGTAGATATAAATATAAATTTGGTAGCTGTTAACTAATTGTTTCTGATTGGTAGGTATAAAATATAAATTTGGTAGCTGTTAACTATCTTTGTTTATTTGGCCATTAGTTAAAGGTTAACTGTTCAGCTGTATTTTTATTTAAATTTTGGATTAGGTGAAATCTTTAAATTAAAATATAACTGTATATATATTTGTAAAATTACTTGAGAATTTGCATAGTTGTATATGATATGTAATTTCAGTGGGAAAAAGTAGTAACTTCTTAACATGCTAAAGAGGTCATTTTGTTACAGGAAAATATAATGCAAATTTTTCAGTTTTGTGATCACAACATTCAGTTAAATTGTTCATTTTTACACAGTTATGAAAAGGTATGAGTTTTTTTTTTCTATTTTTCAGGACAACATTTTATTGTTCTTGATCTTCCACTATTGTTTGAATCAAAGAAGATGGTTCCATTCATGAGTTACACAGTAGTAGTGAACTGGTAAGGTATATTAATTACCTTATTATTGTAGACAAGAGATAAAGTCTCATTATTTAGTTACCTAACTGTGGTAGACAAGTTATAATGTCTCATTATTTAGTTACTTAACTCTGGTAGACAACTGGTAAGGTCTCATTAGTTACCCAACTGTGGTAGACAAGTGGTAAGGTCTCATTAGTTACCTAACTTTGATAGACAACTGGTAAGGTCTCATTAATTACCTAACTGTGGTAGACAAGTGGTAAGGAGTCATTAGTTACCTAACTGTGGTAGACAACTGGTAAGGTTTCAATAAGTAACTGATTGTGGTAAACAACTGGTAAGGTCTAATTATTTAGTTATCTTACTGTGGTATACAAGTTGTAAGGTCTCATTAGTTACCTAATTGTGGTAGACAACTGGTAAGGTCTTATTTGTTACCTAACTGTGGTAGACAAGTGGTAAGGTCTCATTAGTTACCTTACAGTGGTTAGACAAATGGTAAGGTCTTATTAGTTACCTAACTTACCTAACTGTGGTAGACAAGTGATAAGGTCTCATTACTTACCTTACAGTGGTAGACAAATGGTAAGGTCTTATTAGTAATCTAACTTACCTAACTGTGGTAGACAAGTGGTAAGGTCTCATTAGTTACCTAACCATGGTAGACAACTGGTAAGGTCTTATTAGTTACATAACTGTGGTAAACAAGTGGTAAGGTGTCATTTGTTACCTAACAGTGGTAGACAACTGGTAAGGTCTTATTAGTTACATAACTGTGGTAGACAACTGGTAAGGTCTCATTATTTAGTTACCTTACTGTGGTATGCAAGGGGTAAGGTTTCATTAAGTACCTTATTGTGGTAGACAACTGGTAAGGTTCCATTATTTAGTTACATGTACATAGCTGTGATAGACCAGTGGAAAGGTCTTGTTATTTACCTAACTGTGGTAAACAATTGGTAAGAACTCATTATTTAGTCACCTAACTGTGGTGTGCAATTGGTAAGAACTCATTATTAAGTTACCTAACTCTGGTGTACAATTGGTAAGAACTCATTATTTACCTTCCTACCTGTGGTGTACAATTGGTAAAAACTCATTATTTAGTTACTTAACTGTGGTAGAAAAGTGGTAAGAACTCATTATTTAGTTACATAACTGTGGTAGAAAAGTGATAAGGTCTCATTAGTTACCTTATTAAAGTAGACAACTGGTAAGGTTTCATTAAGTACATAACTGTTGTGGAGCCACAACAGTTAGGTACATTAAGGTCTCATTAATTATCTAACTGTGATAGACAACTGGTAAGGTCTCATTGATTAGACAACTGCTAAGGTCTTATATTAGCTAACTGTAAAAGACAACTGGTAAGGGCCCATAAAGTACCCACTAAAAGTGTCATTAATTAGACAACTGTGGTAGGCAACTAATAAGGAACATGGAGAGATGGTATTGAGGAGGGGTGCATGCCACCATTTTTTTTTACCATAAACCCATTAAGGTTAAGCCCAATCTTTTACATAAAAATATAGTTCAAGCCATAACCTGAGAACCCTTTGACAGTAGGATTTCAAACTTGGAACATGGAAAGAAGACATTAAGACAAGATGCACTGCACCAAAATATTTGAACTTGACTGATTTCTCCATTCAAAGTCAAGTAAAGGGAAAAAAATAACCAGACCATAACTTGAGAACTCTTTGACTTTAAGACTTTTAACTTTGAGGGCTGCACACCACAGACATTTTTTTAACCTTGACCTGTTTTCTTCATTCAAGATCAGGTTAAGAAAAACAAGATGTGTTTATGACACACTATGTCCCCGGTGGTAACACAATTCTGAAGTGGAACATAGACTACAGTGCAATAGTTATGGCCAATGTTAAAATTTTTCAAATGTAGCTCAAAGGTCACAGTTGAGGTCACATGATCAAAAATTTCTGTACCAATGGAAAGGTCTTGTCATAATGAACACTCATGTCAAATATTAAAGCCTTACCTTGACAGCACAATAGTTATGGGCTAGGTTAAAGTTGACAACAGACAGACAGACAGACAGGACAAAAACAATATACCCCCAGGATCTTTTGATCGGGGGGCATAAAAATGTAGCCATAGAACTATTTTTAAAATTGTATACAGAAGCTTGAATCTGTTTACCACAGAGCATCCTTGGGTGAAGGGGAATCAAGTTTGTTCCAATGAAAGACCACATTTTCTTTCAAAGGAAGAAAATTATGAAGTAGTGAAAATTTTAGGGCATCATTTAAAAATCTGAAGAAGAACCACTGGACCAGAATGGTTAAAACTTATGTGAATGCTTGATTACAAAGTGTAGATTAAAGTTTGTTCAAATCATGATCTCTGGCACTAGGGCAAGGCCACAATGGGTGTTCAAATTTTTACCTTGGTATATATATAAAAAAAAAATCTTCAAGTAGTATAGATTCAAGTTTGTTCAATCATGACCCCTGGGGGTGGGGTTATGCCACAATTGGAGATCAAAGTTTTATATAGGAAAAATCAAAAAAAATTTCTCTTATGAACAGCAAAATCGTGTCAAAGCATATTGATATGCAAGCATTCTCAAATAGTTTAGATTCAAGTTTGTTTAGATCAGGGCCATCAAGAAAGGTTGAGACTTATGGTTCATAATTCTATGTATTTTTTTACAGTTCTGAAGAGCAACAACTGCAGAGGCTAATGAAGAGAAATAATTACTCAAGGGAAGCTGCTGAAATCAGAATTAAAGCTCAAATGCCTTTAAACGAAAAATGTAAGCTGTGCAGCCATATCATTGATAATACTCAGGATATACAAACTACATATTACCAGACTGTAAAACTTCATCAACAGTTGTCACAGAGTCGTCTGTACTGGAAAGTCCGCCTTCTGTTAGCTGTGTGTGCGGGAACTGTGATTGGCCTGACTATATATGTTGTGAAACTTGTATTTAGATAACAATAAAACTGCTTTAAATTCTTGATGTTCTGTATTTATTGTCAATATTTGAGGCTAATTTATGGAAGGTAGATTACGGTTCTGTATCACAAAGAAGGATTTCAAATCAAATTGTCACAATTTTTTGTACATCTAGCTTTTATGTACATCATTTATTAGGCATTAGAGAAAGTTTTGTTTCACAAAATAGATAAACATTTATCACCCTTGATGGCTCTGTATATGTAAGAACTAAAAAATCAATAGAAAAATCAACTGGAAGTAGAATCCAAAACAATAGTCAAAGTCAATAATTTAATTTTCTTTGTCATGGGTCCCTATATTGAATACTATTAACTTTTAAAGTTGGCGCCATAAAAAAAAATTGCCTGGCAACTCAAAATTTGCATTGGCGACTAAAGTTTTTTGATAAGGCGCCAGCTGGCGCCTAAATTTTAGAGGCCTGAATTACCTCAATTCAAAGAACACATAAACACATCAAATGAATAAGATATAAAATCCCCTATTATGGCATTGTCTTTCCTTCATCAACAAACTTGAATGTGCAATTATATACAATTATTGCTGGTTTTTGAGGTCAATACAATGATTTAGCCACCTCAGGAGTACAATATTCACTGAGGGCTAGGTGAATATTGTACTTTAAAGGTGTCTAAATCATCGTATTGATTAAAAAAAACAGCAATAATTGTTTTATTAGAATTCAATGATTAAATGACACAAACTCCTTAAACAATCTATGCCATCTTACTTGTTTACATTCACTGAAGTACTAGCCAAACATAATGAGAGAAACGGAGTTAAATAAACATAACCAGTTGTATTAATGTGGAATTTTTAGCTCTATTTTAGGTGCAATATAGAGAAAATAAATGTCAGGATATAGGATCGATTTAGAAAAAGGAGGGCATTGCAAGAAAAAAATTCACAACTCACCTAAAAAAAAATTGACTAGCCCCCCCCCCCAAAGGAGAATTCTCCCAACTCAAAATTTTATTTGATTGGAGGTTAAGGTCCACACACACTCGGGGGGACTTCCATTGATCGGTTTTATCCTTAGAATTTAAATTAAAAATTAAGCGTTCTAAAAAAAAAGGTGGCGAGTGGGACAGCCCCCCCCCCCCCCCCCCGCAACACCCCACCCATCACCCAAGACTCTAAGTGCAAGTGAAATAACTTTCTAAAACTATTTGTATCAATTTGAAATTTCCCAATCTATTTTTAGTCCAATGCGAGAAAAATAAATCCTTTTATTCACCTGAAAGGTCACTTGCAACATTGTTGGATGAAATATATGGAGATAACGAACGGTATTCAAGCTCAAAAGTCCATTAAACAATACAAAATAGGAGCAGAGCAAACACGGACCTCCAAAACATCAGAGGTGGGGGTGCCATGGAGGAGTGAGCATCCCTTGCCGTCTGGTCACACCCGCCGTGTGCTCCTTGTCATGATAGGGAAATAACGGAAAAATCCGTCGACAATTCCGAGTGTAAATAATGGCCTAATAATTAGTATTAAAAACTTCAGTCAGCATTTGACTCAATGATAAATTGTATTTGCTGACAAGGTCATTGTATCGACCATAGAACTTACGAAATGATGACTTTAAACGAGACTACTGATATTCTTGTTTCATCAACTTGTTTGTCAATAATTTACCTCGTTTAAGAAATTGTACATACGTAGAGCACGCTCTTGCGTATTGAATTAACCGAGAGATATAAACCCCATATGCAGGTGATGAAGGTACATTGCTGCATAAGTATTAAAGTCATCACGTTTATCATAAAGCTTGGTTGTTAGATTACCATTAACGTCTTTTTCAAGTAAAATATCCAAATATGAAACAGATGTGTCAGACTCTGTGGTATCTTTTATCTCAAGCTCAATGGAATATATCGTATCGACATAAGAATGGAAATAACCATTGTTAATTGACAATACGTCGTCGATATATCTAAATGTCGAGTTGAAGGCCACAGCAAGTGTTTTCTTCCTTTCATGTATAAGATTTTGGACAAATTCTGCTTCATATGAATACAAAAAAGGTCTGCTAATAACGGGGCGCAATTGGTACACATGCCATCAGCCCCCATGGATCCAGTACCCATGGATCTCAGCCAAGCAGAGCGATGGGAATTATTCAATCATATACATGTAATAAACATGATTAGTAAGAATACTTTTTGTATTATTTTATATATTAATTTATTTACAGGTATTTATTATTATTATTATTATTTTTTTTTTTTTTTTTTTTTTTTTTTTTTGCTCAGTTTTGCTAGAAGATAAGACTGGCCCTGCTTTTCTTCACCAGATTTCCCCCCTTTGTAATATGTATTGTAAACCCACCCTTCACGCCTGCATATTTATCATGAAGTGCTAATGAGCTTCATGAAATATGCAGGCGTGTTAAAGTTAAGGTTTATCATTTCTCTAAGACACTCTTTACGTTGAAAGTTTTTAAAGCAATATTAGATATTAAATCTGTCTATTGATGAAAACATCAATAAATTTCTAAGTTTGTGATGTATGTGAAAGTGTTAAATACATGTAATTAAAAAAATACCTACATACCTACCCTTCTTGAAAAAATGTTAATCGGAGTACATCAAACAAACTTTTTATCAATGATGGTCCAAAATAGCAGTGTATCTGAATTTTTGGGTTACTGAGAACAAAAGTGCTTTCTAACTAGAGAATTGGTGACTCTTTTAGAAAGACAAGTTAGAGGAATTAAGCATTCTATTCACCCCAGGTTGGAAAAATTGAGATTAAGCTACTGATATTTAATTGAAAATGTGTCATTTTCTGTGTATATGGTGGTCAGATTGTATAAACATGATAAAACTCAGCTGTAAAGCTTTACATTATCATGCCCTTCTATAATATAGTGGGGATATGTATCCATCTATCACAGTTTGTATTTAATTAATCAGATTATGTTTCAAAGGAATAGCAAAGATTTTTTTTCCAAATTCATTATGTATTGGTGAGAGGAATTTCACCTTGTCAAAACATCACTTTCTGACCTTGACTTTCTATTATAGATTCAGTTTCAAGTTCACTTTTTGCTATCCGTTTTCGTCCGTCATCGTGCGTTGTGCGTTAACGTTTGAACGTTTTTAGCTTCTTCTTTGACGAGCATGGTTGCCTCTTCCAAAATTGTGAATTTCATGGCCTCTGGATCAGGGGTTCTGGTGTAAGGGCAGGGCTCTATTGATATATATAGTGAAAATGCATTAATTCTTTGAAAATCTTCTTTTCTACTCCTGGATATTAAATAAACTAAGTACATAATTATGATGAACATGGCTGCCTCCTCAGAAATCATGAATTTTATGGCCCCAGGGTCAGGGGTTCTGATGTTAGGGCAGGGCTCTATTGGTTATATAGAGAAAATGCATAAATTCTTTCATAATCTTCTCTGCTCCTGGGTATTTTTTAAACAAAGGAAGTGCATGGTTATGATAAGGAAGAATGCCTCTTCCAAAATTGTGAAATTCATGGCCCCAGGGTCACGGGGTTCTGGTGAAGGGGGGGGGGCTCTATTGATTATATAGTAAAAATGCATAATTTCTATCAAAATATTTTTTTTACTACTGGGTATAAAGCAAAGAAACAAGTGCATAGTTATGATGAGCAAGGGTGCTTCTTCCAGAATTATGAGTTCATGGCCAGTGGGTCAGATGTTCTGGTGTAAGGATGGGGCTTTATTTATTTAATAATGTAGTGAAAATGCATTTCTTTGAAAATCTTCTTCTATGCTTCTGGGCATATTCGAGGCAAACAGAGTAAAAGTTTCAATATGCAAGGGTATTAGTATTTTTACCAGAATTTTGAACACCTGGACCATTTAGTCAAGTGTTCTGGTCCTGGCCAGGGCTCTATTAACTTGTATTCTGCTGAGCAAAGTTATCTCCCTTTGCCATTCACCTTTGATAATTGATTACTGTAAATGATGTATTTGAAAGGTTAATAGAATAAGAGAATTATGCATGAATATTTATTGTATAATACAAAAAGTAATTTCATCGTTTTAATGATCAGGTAGACTTGGAAATAATAAATGAATAAAAATGAGACAAAAATAACTTATCTTTGTAAATGTTCTTCAAAGGCCAAGAGAGGCCAATGTAAGAAGTAATAATATGGGGTTAAAAAATAGACATTTTGTTAATAGTGTGCATGGTAATAGTGATAAATGGGGGACAGATAGATACTAGACCAATTATTTTTTTAATGCTAATCCTACTATTTTTCTTGCTTTTGGGCAACAAAGCTTCATTTATCAGTTTATGGATCCTCTAAATTGTTGTATTGTACTCAGGTGACTGTTAAGGCCCTTGGGCCTCTTGTCTAAATTTGTGATCAGCATGGTTTAAAGAAGCTGCCATACTGATAATATTTTTATCAAACTTTGTACAAAGATGAAGTTATCAACTTTTTGTTGATTTTCTGCCTTGACCTTCTATGTGGCATTGAGCTCACCAAAAAGTTTCATGAACAAAATACATGACCTATTTTTGAGTGTAATGAGTGTACAATGTAACGATGTCCGAGAACCAAAAAAAAAAAAAATTCTGGTGCCCCCCCCCCCCCAATTCCTTTATGGTTTTTATCTTTTGATCTCGTAACTTTAAGGAAAACACCTATCTTGGCTTAGATTCGACTTGGCTGCATATTTCATTGGACTGACACCGTCAGTCCAAATATCCAGCCAAGTCGAATCTCAGTCGAGATTAGAGAAACCATTTTATTCTCTCTTTCTCTCTCTCTCTCTCTCTTTATTGTTTTTATTGTTTATCACCATATAGTCAACTTAAGATATTAAAACGTTACCCAATACATGTAGTTTCATGATCCTTTAAAATTACAATGCGAAGCTTGAAGCATAAAAACCAAGCTGGATGCGCAGTACTGATGAAAACCTACTTTGATCTCCTCTGAAGTAAATAATTAAACTGGCGAACTCTACTGTTGATTTGAGAAAAATTGATTTCAGAAATAAATAGTTAAAACAGCTTGGTTAGAGGTTTTGGAGAGAAGGAGAGAATTTTTTTTATCGATTTATTGAGTTTTTTTTTTCAGTGCGCTGAGATTGATGATGTTATATTTTCTAAGATGGAGGAAAAGCAACAGTTCCCAGATAATCTAAGGATGTCGTGAAATTAAAACCCAAAGAATGGTCGACTGACTGGATGTTCTGGAATAAAATTGGGACAGAGAAGTCACTCATTTCTAGTGTGGTAAGAAACCATTTCAATTTAAAATGGCAACAGCTTAATACATCGAATACTGATAGGCGAACAAAACTACATATAACTAAATTTGCCTTGATTTAATGCGCCAGAATTGAACTGGTATTCTCCTAAACAGATACACAAGAAGTCGTATTTAAGCAAAGGAAGGTAGGTGTGTTTCAGAAGTTTATTTGTGCTGTGAATGTGACAAGGTGTTCGCTGAGAAATGCAATCGATTGCTACGATATTGAGCATTTTTTTTATAAAAGTCTACAAAATCTGCAAATCGATTTACATTTTTTAAAGCATATTTCCAGGAACTTAAGTATATCACAAAGTTATTGTCTACAAAATCTGCAAATTGATTTACCTTATTTTGAAGGCATATTTCTAGGAACTTCAGGATATTACGAACATCTACACTTTATAGCCGAAACAGTCTGGTCTTTACCATTCATTATATTCGCGTATTGAGTCACAGGCCCTTGGGACACATCCCTTCCCCCCATTTTTTTGTTTTAAATATGGGATCGGCTCATACTTTGTTTCTATTCATGTTTTCTAATATACATTTCAATATATGTAATTATAATTATGTTATGATAATGTGACCTTTTCTACTCTATAAATGAGCTATTTGTTAAACCCGCGATCGAGGCCATGAACTTTTTACGTTTCTGTCGAAAAAGCAATTTTATTTATACTAGGAATAATATCTTTTTACTGTAATTGCGTAATTATTTTTTGAGGTTAGTATACATGCAATTCTAGTAAGAAATCGATAAATGACATGTGAAACATACTCAGTCATATATATAATAATACAGGTGTATTGGTAACTCCTATATATACACTGTACATTTACAGATAAAGGCATCCCTTTCTCTGTTCACATTATATCAGTTCGCACTTCAGTTTTATGAGGTGAATTTCGGCAATATCAAATTTAATCCAATGTAAACATTTTGTTCCTCTATTGTGGGTCCTGTCCAACCCCCAAGGATATGATTTGAAAAAAAAAGTTTATCTGCACTACCTGAGAAATGCGTATCTTTCAAAGGAAGAAGAGAGTTTGTTGAAAGGTATCGTCGCAAACCACGGCCAAAAATTACTATCATCTCCCATTCTGAGAGCTATATGCGGACTCCGAACTGTGGCTTGAGACGATGGTTGAAAGGGTTCAGCCGTGTCTTTCTACATTTTTATGCCCCCGTAATCGAAGATTCGGGAGCATATAGTTTTTGCCCTGTATGTCTGTTTGTCCGCAAAATCCTTAACCTTGCCTATACTTTTTTTTGATTGGTTAGAGCTATGGCTTTCATATTTCACATGTGTATTCTTCGTGACAAGACCTTTATTTGGATACCAACAACTTTGACCCTTTGACCTTGGAGTTTGACCTACTTTTGAAAAACCTTTACCTTGGTCATAACTTTTGAACGTTTAATGTTACAGTGTAGGACTTTCATATTTCACATGTGTATTCCTTGTGACATGACTTTCTTTTGATACCAACAATTTCGGCCTATTGACCTTGACCTTGATTTTTGACTTACTTTTGGAAAAACTTTAACATTCTCCATATCTTTTCAATGGTTGGTGCTATGGCTTTCATATTTTATTTATGCAAACTCAGGGTTGCGTGAGACGAGAAAAAAATATATATGAATTTTTCTTGGCTTCAGTGACTGACAAACGAAGGACAATGCTACATGTAGGTGGGTCTTGGAGGTGTCTGGAATGTCGTTAACTATAAACGTAAGATAGTGTTCATAACATTTCCTTTTCCAATGGTTCGTGTTAAATAATATAGACTTAAAAAATAAACACAGAGCCAGAACGACTATATGTTCTCTCTGCGTTTAGCAGCTGTTTCCTGTACACACGACTTCCAGCATTCTCTACATACTACGTGATTTAATATTCCGGACAGTCAGAGATTTCAGTCTAATCCAATATATTTGTTGTTCTCTGAGAATCAGATGCTTTTATTTTTGCTGAACTGCACTCCGTATTGTATGATAGTGCTCAGGCCTCTGTACTGAGATCAATACTACCAATCCATTACCAGGCGATCCGGAGGGCGTTCAATACACCATACAAACATTAAGGTAACATTCCTATGGGATTTCACACATTTAAAGCTTCCTAGGCGGATCCATATCAAAATTGTCTCATGAGACCTCCGTTCTAGAGATTGTTCAGAAACACTGATGATGTCTGATAGAATTTGACAATGCATGGTTTAAAGTCAAGAATACTTGAAGGATTTTTTATGACCCCGTAATGGAAGATTTGGGGGCATATAGTTTTGGCCCTGTCTGTCTGTCTGTCTGTCTATTTGTCTGTTTGTCCACAGAAACTTTAACCTTGCCCATAACTTTTGATTGTTTGGAGCTATAGCTTTCCTATTTCACACGTTTATTTCTTGTGACAAGACCTTTCCTTGAGTACCATCATATTTTACCTGTTAACCTTGGAGTTTGACTCAGTTTTGCAAAATTTTACCCAACATTAACCTTGGCCATAACTTTTGAACAATTAGTGCTAGGCTTTCATACTTCACATATGTAATCCTTGTGACAAGACCTTCCTTTGGATACCAAGAACTTTGACCCTTTGACCTTGGAGTTTGACCTTCTTTTGAAAAACTTTAACCTTGGTCATTACTTTTGAACAGTTGGTGCTAGGGCTCTCATATTTCACATATGTAATCCTTGTGACAAGACCTTATTTTGGATACCAACAACTTTGACCCTTGGCATTGACCTTGGAGGTCGGCCTACTTTTGAAAAACGTTAACCTCGGCCATTACTTTTGAACAGTTGGTGTTTGGGCTTTCTCTCTTCACATATGTAATCCTTGTGACAAGACCTTACTTAGGATACCAACGACTTTGACCTTTTGAACTTGGAGTCTGACCTACCTTTGAAAAACTTTAACCTTGGCTATAACTTTTGAATGGTTGGTGCTAGGGCTTTCATATTTCATATGTGTAATCCTTGTGAGAAGGCCTTTCCCTGGGCACCATTAATTTTGACATTGACCTTGATGTTTGACTCACTTTTGAAAAACTTTAACCTTTTCATATCTTTTTAATGGTTTCTGCTAGGGCTTTCATATTTCACAGGTAAATTCCTCGAGACAAGAGCTTACTGGGGTACCAACATATTTTATTTGCTTTGAGAAAGTTGAACCTTCGCTATAAGTTGCCATACGGTGGCATCAGTGTTTCACAAACACATCTTGTTTTTTTTTTTTAAACAAATAATTACTGTATAACTACACATATAAATTTAAAAAAATTAAAAGAAAATATTTTCCATGCTATAATGCATATCTTCGTAGATGACCTCTAAACTTTATTACGGTTATTTATTATGATTATCATCAAACTTCACACATTCATAAATAAGCAAAAGAAACCTTTTTTAAAAAAAACCAACAACAGTGTTCATACCTTGGGCCTTCAAAGTGCAAATGATTGAATATGAATGCTTCTCGCCAAAATATTGGGACTATTTCAACTCTTTGACGCCAGATACAGTATATCGTACCCATAAAGACAGGAATTCTTTATAAAACAAATATTTACATTTATAAATTTCTTTTTCCGAGATAAAACTACAAATTATAAAAAGAAAAGTTGATTTAAAGAATAACTGTCTTTTTTATATGAAGTAATCGAGCAATTGGCTTGCGTGATTAATAAAATTATCACGCAAGCCAAATCATCATAAAACAAAAAATGGGAGTTATTCCTTATGTTTACGCTCTTGATTCAGTAAATTCACGTGCTCCAAGCCAAGCCCCTCTCTCTCTCTCTCTCTCTCTCTCTCTCTCTCTCTCTCTGTGTGTGTATGTGTGTCCTCTGTCTCTCGCCCCTCACGTGATTTTTTTCAGCCACGCCTATTGATGAATCAGTAGCTTTATGTAGAAATCAAGTATTTTTATCATTTGTAAATTTATCTCGGACATAGAAATTTAAAAATGTAAATATTTTTGCATAAAGCTACTGGCTCATAGATAGGCGTGGTTTAAAAAAAGAATCACGTGCGGGGCGGGAGAGAGAGAGAGGGGTAGGCGGGGCTTGGAGCACGTGAATTTCCTGAAGCAAGATCATGTAAATATAAGGAATAACTGTCTAATTTTCGGTTTTTTTGATGATGATCAAGCAACTGGCTTCCGTGATAATTTTATACATAAACTCCTTCGGCGATTATGCAAATTATCATGCAGACCAATTGCTTGATCACATCATAAAACCAAAAAAAAAAAAAAAAAAAAAAAAAAAAAGACAGTTATTCCTTAAAAGAAGCCGGTAATTCACCATCTTACCTCGAGCTCTTTATATCTAAGTAACAAATGTAAACAAATGACACCCACTTTACATTGCATTTCATTGTTTGTGTAAAAAGATTTAAGCAGATATCAGATAAATACTTTATCATAAATACGATCTCTTCTTTGGATCACCATTATAATTAAATGTATACATATACGCACTACAAACAATTATACTCATGACATATTTATCTACATGTATATACATGGAAATTTCAATCGAGGTAGCACCAGGGTATTTGAGAGAGACTCTGTATTCATGTGCAGGTAAGTCAGTATAAAGTACTACTAATTATTTTACCGACTGTAAATCGGAAAATGTTCCTGTCTAGTATATAAAGCTAATGGAGGACCAAAAACGACAAAGAAGGTCTCATTTATAAATTAGGAATGCTAATCATTCCGTCTAAAGAAATTTATTGTTAATAAATATAGGATCTCGATCCCATGGTTTGTTGTTGGATATGATTTTTTATCCATTGGGTTGTGTGTTTTTCTTAAATAAAATAAAAACACACAACAAGTTGAATAAAAAAATCATATCTTACCACAAACCATGGGAGATTCTTTTTATCACATTTTACACATAGCTATTTTATGTTTTTTCACTGTTTTATAGATGTAAATCCACAATATTTAACTTGATCAAATTCACGCAAAAACCATAGAGCGTCACAACCTTCCCTGGATATGAAAACGATATCCTACATGCTGTATCCACTGTATAAAGGACTAAGCATGTGATAAAAAATAGTTCTACACCACGAGGAGAAAGACGAACTGTTATATACTTGTACATTGTAGGAGGAGTAATCTGCCGCATTTGAAAATCAGCTGAATTCAGCAAATATTATGACTATTTGAACAAGATGATGTATTGTTTGTTTCAGGTCGAAAATATGTAGCAGTGACATACGATGTATGTTGTAGGTGCTTTGTGTTTCTTTTGGAGTGTCCAGATCGTATACGGACAACTTCACGTACTATTGGGTGAGTAAATGTAACAGGTTGTTATTTCTGAGTAAGTAAATGTAACAGGTTGTTATTTCTGAGTAAGTAAATGTAATAGGTTGGTATTTCTGAGTAAGTAAATGTAACAGCTAGGTATTTCTGAGTAAGTATTTTAAATTTACTGAGTAAGTAAATGTAACACTGAGTAAGTAAATGTAACAGGTTGTTATTTCTGAGTGAGTATTAACTTACTGAGTAAGTAAATATAACACTGAGTAAGTAAATGCAACAGATTGTTATTTCTAAGTAAGTTAATGTAGCAGATTGTTATTTTTGAGTATAAGTATTAACTTATTGAGTAAATTAATGAAACAGACTGTTTTTACTGTATACCTGTAAGTTAATGTAACAGATTGTTATTTCTGAGTAAGTTAATGTAACAGCTTGGTATTTCTGACTAAGTTAATGTAACAGATTATTATATTTGAGAATAAGTATTAACTTATTGAGTAAGTTAATGTAACAGATTTTTTTTCTGTGTACATGCAAGTTAATGTAACAAATTGTTATTTCCGAGTAAGTTAATGTAACAGATTTTTTTTCTGTGTACATGTAAGTTAATGTAACAGATTGTTATTTCTGAGTAAGTTAATGTAACAGATTTTTTTCTGTGTACATGTAAGTTAATGTAACAAATTGTTATTAATGAGTAAGCTAATGTAACAGATTGTTTTTTTTTCTGTGTACATGTAAGTTAATGTAACAAATTGTTATTTCTGAGTAAGCTAATGTAACAGATTGTTTTTTCTGTGTACATGTAAGTTAATGTAACAGATTGTTTTCTCTGTGTACATGTAAGTTAATGTTACAGATTGATCACTACAGGTGACCAGGCGTCGCCTGAGAATTATAATATTCCAAGTGCCAAAATGGTCAAAAATGAGTTATGTATATCGTTGGAATCGACTTGCTGAGATCTATTTACATGTACCTATGAAATCCTTTTGTTCCTATGGACAAAAATAAAGAAGATATTAACAGTAATTGTTTTGATGGAAATTTTTAAATATTAGAGTATTTTATCTCCATAATGTCCAATCATAATTCTTACCATTGGTCACATGATCTTATAAATAGAAAACTTTGGGGGGGGGGGGGGTTCACTGTGAATGTTATTAAACTTATTCATATTAACAGTTTAATAATATCATAATAAATAAAGAAGTGTATTTCTTAATTCAATGTGAGGGTTGATTACTGAAGCATTGGATGACGGTCACCTGAGTATATATATGATGAGTTTCTAAAGCCATTACCATTATAGTACCATACGAACTCGACCTCTGGTCTCACAGAAATAGTTTTGAGAAAATTATAATCATTTTTATGCAACTTTTCTCCCAGAAGTCCAGACACGCTGTATAATAAATTTTCAATACGTGACCAACTTAGCCCCACTCTGGGGTCTGAGCGCTGGATACAGGTGACATAGACTTTGAATCTGTAAGAAAGGAGTTTAGAGCTCATTTTAATGACCAACGGCCCAAGTGCCAAATGCTAGGACCATGAGCCATGAATTTTATAGATTTGGTTAAAGTTTACATGTGTAACTTTGTCTTGTACTCTTGTACTTGATTATTGTGAAATGCATTTTCAATTTTCGACCAGTTTACATGTAGTTCCACCCTGGGGTCTGAGCTAGTGGCTATATTTATCAGAGGGCTAAGTGTTTATTATAATCATATATAAAAAAGTTTGCTTGTTGTTGCCAATCAAATGTTATATATTTTCAATGTATGACCAACTATGACACTATACGGCCTGAAAACATGGACCCAGTTAACTTGGTTTCCACAGTTTTGGTAAAAGATTGAGTAAGAATTATAATTAAGCAAAACATTTGCATGATGGATGTCAAATAGGGGAAAAAGAAAGGCTCTGAAGATTCTTCAAAAACCTCCTCCTTCGTCCATTCCCATTTGAACCAAGGATGTCAGATGAAAATTCACAATTTTGTTATTTAAATATGATTCAATATACATACATGAATATTATTTTTTATCCGTTGATGATATACTAATACACCAAAACTGGTTAAAATTGGTATAGCTGTTCTGGAGAAGAAACTGAAAATCTTTAAAAAATTTACAGTTTACGTTTGAGGAATACGGATCAATGGAAACAGCACCTGAATTGAATTTATTGTCAAAAAATAATTAATATTAATTGCATTAAAAACCTCTTTACTATTTTCACATCAATATTGATTAAACAAGTGAGACATTTGATCAGTTTACTTCAATAATAAATGTTCTCTTTCCATGCAAATTAACATTTTAATTCTAAATGAAATGCACAAAATATTGGATAGAGTGTTCTATCTCCATTTTCTATATCAATTTTTTCATATTTTTGCTCAAATTTACGAAATAATAGTTTTATTTTGCTGTAGATTAGCACATTTTGAAAATTTATGCCTTATCTGAATGTCCAAAAGGCTATGAATAAAAAGGTATTGATCCCTGAACTTTAAGCTCATAACAACTACAAATACCGTAAGTTTCCGTTATGTAACTTCTTAAAAAGTTCGTGCCTCCAAATTGGAAATTCCGCATGCGTTATTCCGTAATACCTGAACCTGTATACACATTTTACAGAAATTGAATGAAGACATTAATTACAAATGTAATTGCATTGATGTTGTATTCTTGTCTCGTCTAGGTTTCCCCCAGTGTAAATGGGCGAATGAGGAGTGTTCGAATGACGCAGGGTGCTGCAGTAAAAAATGTATTCAGAAGAATCCTGGGACAACTAAGCGTTGCAGCCAGAGCAGCCTTGGGGGACACTGTCTGTATCAATACCACTGTGAGAACTATCTTGAGTGTGGGGACAAGAAGAAGAAATGTTGTGCTAGGTACTGGGAGACATGTTCCAAGTCCGAACACTGCTGTGACCCTGAACATAGGTGTGTGCGCGCGGAGGGCTTTGTCTACAAAACATGTCTGTATCGATCTCCCAGTGGTGCAGAGGCTTTGAATTTGTCTCCTTTCTTGAGTATTCTAATTTTGCACTGTATCCTGGAACATTTGCATGTACAGTAATTCTAGTTCTTTCTGTGCAAGATTGTGACTAATTATACTTCAAACTGAGAGGATGATTTGAATTCCTCAGTTCCTGCTAAATCTTCTCCGGATCAATAAATTATTATACCCGAGCTAACGGCTTCTAATAGTCTGTTTTTTTTTTTATCATTGAATTACATTGATATCAACTATAACCAGACAATAGGTTATGAGTCTTAAGTTGATATTTTATATTCACATCATGTTTATTTACGTTGAGTTAAGACATTTTTTTTCCCAATGAAATGGTGTTGTTTGTCAACCTGTTTGACATTTTTATCCACACTATGTTTACATTTACACAATCTGTAATTCTTATTATCCCAGGTATTATTTGTAAAAAGAAAGCAGTTTTATAAATAATTTCATTCTTTACAATTTCATCGCTGCAGTCTTTTCTGAGGATATTCATGTATAGTCTAACCGATGGCTCTGACTGATAGCCCCACTAAGGGGGACGTATGCGTGTCAGCTTATAAAATATCACAGTCTTGTTTTCTCTCATAACACGAATGAAAAGGTTTTCATTATAAAATATTAATATTTATCAACCGTTTATATTGATGTACGGGAGAGAAATGGGAGTTGATACTAGTAAATTATTTCTGCATCTTTGGGAAAAAAAAATTAAAGCTTCGGCAGATATGTTTTCAACGTAAATCTAAATAGTGGAGTATTTATTTTTCCCTTAAGATATGAACTCTGTGTGAATGTATTTGCATTTCATTTGTCAAATCGATTTTTCTCTCTTTTTTTTTTTTGTGGCGTTCATTAAATATTCTGTAAACACATACGGTTATCGCGCCGTGGTTCCTGGTAGTTATACATATTTCTTATTACTGTATAAATTACAACGGAAAAGATTCTAATTATGTGACTTTTAATTTGATAGACAAAAATAAGGGCGAATTTTAGGGATGAAATTTAGAAGTTAAAGGGCTAATTAAGGGCTAGAATTAAGATTTTTAATTTGTAACTAAATTAAGGCAGTTTTAGACATTTAAATGGACTTTCCTGCAAATTTGACAATTGATAAAGAAACTCACAAAAATGCTTTGAGCACATGATGAAGAGGGTCATGACATAGTCAACTGCCTTTCACTGCATAATTAAAGCACATTTTGTATGAATGCATATTTAAAAATTTCTAGAAAAAAATAATGCAAAAAATTAGAATTTGCATCATAATTTGGGCCTTTTTCGGGATTTCCCCCATGAATTCAGTATCTTTAAAGGAATTTTAGCAAAACTAAAAATTAGAATATTAGGGCCGCTAGGTGGCAGTCTGAATCACACAGTACAGAGGCCTGTTCAGCAGAGCGAACGTTCGCGAGCGCTCGCAAACATTTCTGTTGGAAAGATAAGGAATTTTGGCGAGCGCTCGCGAACGTTCGCTCTGTTGAACAGGCCTCGGGTCACGATTATTTCCCTTTGCATATCTAAGATGGTGGAAAACAGTGGGAACTGGTCTGTGTTACACCATGTACATGGTGTGTGTGAATTTGAAATAAACAGGTGTTATGGCAGTTGTGTGTAGAGTACCCCCAAATATGTGCCCCCTTTCCCTAATAGTGCAAAAATATGTGTTTTAATACCAAATAGGCCTGAAGGAGCCAGGGAGGCATAGGAGGGAGGGTATCGTGCTCCCCAATAATTATGTCAGTATACCAGTATACTTTTCTAAAGAAAACAAAGCTAATTTAGATATGATTTTTTATCTAACGATTTGTGTGTAATTTTATCCCCTATAGCCTTGGCGATTGAGTTTTATAATCACGTTTTTACACACAGATATTTCATGTTTTACACTGCTTTACAATAACAACACAGGTTGTTCAGGTCAGAGCCCTCGAGAATAGGTTGAGACTAAAATAGGGGATCAGAGTTTAACAAGGGAGTACACAGGACGAAATCTTCAGATCACCTAAATCTTATTAATAAACAAATACACCTTAGATGTGTAGAGTAGATTTAAAAAAAAAATATGAGCCCTCATGGGGTTAGAGTTGAGCCGAGAGATCCAAATACATCATGCATGTGTACAGTCTTCAAAACAGAAGGACCACCATGTTGATCGTATTGATATTGAAGCATATCAATGTTGTTTTGATTTGACTATAAATAAATCGTAACTCTTTGGGTCCACAACAGGGGATCAAAATATTTATGAAATCAAAGAGTGAAATTGAAAAAAAAAATCTGCTCGACCAAAAGTGATTCAGGTGAGCATTTTGGTCAATGGGCCTCTTGTACTGTCAAGAATTTCTGTAATCCCCCCCCCCCTTACTCCCTCAAAACTGAAATTGGTAAAAGGAACATACTCAAAGACCAGATTGCCTTTAAGATTTTAATCTTATTAAAATAAAAAAAAAATACTGTAAAAATAACCAGATCACTTATAGCAGCAGAACTGTAGCTCTCTGAAAAAAAATATATTGACAGACTGGAGAGCTGCAGTGCCACCCATTGAAAAAAGTGTACATGTACATTTATTGCGCACAAAAAAGTGCGCTGTTTGTCGATTTATCGCCATCTCAAAATGTTACTTATACCGTGTGTTCCTAGCTTATTCTTTTATTATTCCCACAACAAAACATTCCTTATAACCGTTGTAAATAGCCCTCATGGGCCTGAAATTGAGACCACCGAAAATTATGCCCATTTTCACTGCCATTTTGGGGGGCAAGATAAATCGGTCTATGCGCTTCGTGCAGATATCAAATATGAGAGTAGTTGATAGAGGTCAAAGGAATTAATATTTTGAAATCAAGCTATTGTACAGATGAGGGAAGAATTTGGAGAAATTAATCCAAAATCGAGCGCAACTTTTTGTGCGCAATAAATATACAGTTTTTTTTTTATATGGGTGACGCTGTAGCTCTCTGGTCATCCCATGTCCAATTTTTTTTTTTCAGACCAGCGAGCTACAGATCTGCAGCTAGATCACTTATGGATACACATCTTCATATTTCAAGAGGGATAGCACTAGTATTTCAGGCAAGGAGTCGTAAATGTCAAAGGTGTAGAATGCACATCTGAGATCATCCCACCGCCACCCTCCAGTTATCACAACTTAAACCATTTTTTGCCTTCCAAATTTCTTCTGCCATTGAAAAACATTGTGATAGCGATCCAGGCCTATGTGTTTAATATTTAGGCAAATACATAAGTCTACAAGCTTTAGGATAGCTTTCAATCCTTTTAGCTCACCTGAGCTGAAAGCTCAAGCGAGCTTTTCGATCACATTTTGTTTGTCGTCCTTCTTTCTGTCCCGTCTGTAAACTTTACACATCTTTGACTTCTTCTCCAGAGCCACTGGGCCAATTTCAACCAAACTTGCTACATATCATCTTTAGGTAAAGGGGATTTAGTTTAGTTTCAATTGAAGGGCCAGGCCCACTTTGAAGGGGAGATAATTAAGAAGTAGCGAAAATTTGGCTGCACCTTTTAAAAAAGTCTTCTTCTCAAGAACCACTGGGCCAAAAAAAAAGTTGAAACTTATGTAAAACCTTAACTATATAGCAGAAATTCAAGTTTATTCAAATCATGAACCCCGGAAGTTGGATGGGGTTACAATGGAGGATCAAAGTTTTACATTGGAAAATATAGGAAAAACTTCAAAAATCTTCTTGAGAACAACAATGCCATATTTAGTCATATTGATATGGAAGCATCCTCGGGTAGCGTAGATTCAAATTTGTTCAGATCATGACCCCCGGTGGTTGGGTGGGGCCACAGTTGGGGATGAAACTTTTATATAAAAAATATATCGTTTAAAAATCTTCTCAAGAACAACAAAACCATGATAAGAGATATTGATATGGAAGCATCCTCAGGTAGTGTAGATTCAAGTTTTTTTTTTTTTTTTCAAAATCATGACCTCCTGGAATAGGGTGGGGCCACAATGGTTGTTCAAATTTTTGCATAGGAATATATAATAGAAAGAGTCTGCCGATGAAGGGCGGCCACATTGACTCAGATGAGCGTTGTGGCTCACGGGCCTCTTGATTAGTGGTAATGTCAGTGAATTTATCTTACAAACCAATCATTAAGATGTTGGATCCCATCTCTAGCCATCGAAATATAACTCAGTTATCGGCCGGGGTTGCAAATTGCAAATTAAACTTAATTTTTGTTGATTTTAATTTTTTAGGATGGGAGGAGACAAGATAAGTTCCAATTCTGTTTTTTTTTTTTTGTCTGATTTAATTAATTTTTTTTTACCTATCTACCGACCCAATATTTGGGGGGAAATTTAGTCCTAAAAACAACTAAAACAATTTAAAAAAGTGACCTTAAGTTGCATACAATCATCTGTAGCTCATTAATTGCAAAAAGGGAGATGTAGAACGTTGCACTAGCTACAACATGACCATAGTAATGACAAGTTTAGATCTTTATTACTAATCTATATCATTAGATCAAATGGTGACTGACGTTTTTCATACTAATTATTAGGCCATTATTTACACACTGGAATTTCTACGGATTTTACCGTTTACCCGATCATAACAAGGAGCACACGGCGGGATGCTTACTCCTCCATGGTACCTGATCCTGCCTCTGTTTTTGGAGGTCCTTGTTTGCTCTGCTCCCGATTTCTATTGTCCCCGATTTCTATTGTTTAAATGGTGTGTGATTATGGATGTTGCCCAGCACAGGCTCTTTTAGCCACGAAGTATATCGGAAGATAATTCTAAGTCAATCCGTCGGTTCCTTAAACTTAAATTTGCCAATAAAGAAATAGATGCTGTGAACATTAGTAACATCTTTAAACAAGAGGCCCAGGGGCCACATCGCTCACCTGAGCACAGTGGCTAGGAAAAAAGGAAAAATCAGTTTAGTATTGAAAAGCTTAAATGCATAAGTGGTCCCAACCTATCCCTAAAAGGGTGTGGGGGGTATGATTTGAACAAAATTAATTCTACACTAACTAAGGATGCTTACTTAATTTTTTGACTAACTGTGACTTTTTTCTCTCCATAAGTTTAAACTTTCATTGTGGCCCCACCCTACCCCTGGAGGTCATGATTTAAACAAACTTGAATCTACACTATCTGAGGATGCTTCCATATAAATATGACAAACAGTGGCTTTGCTGTTCTTGAGAGGATTTTTTCTATATATTCCTATGTAAAACTTTGATTGCTCATTGTGGCCCCACCCTACCCCCAGGGTCATGATTTGAACAAACTTGAATCTACATCACCTGAGGATGCTTCCACATAAATATGACCAATCATAGCTTTGCTGTTCTTGAGAAGAAGATTTTTAAAGATTTTTCCTATATACACCTATGTTAAACTTTGATCGTCCATTTTGGCCCCGCCCTACCCCTGGGGGTCGTGATTTGAATAAACTTGAATATACACCACCTGAGGATACTTCCATTTAAATATGACCTATCATAGCTTTGCTGTTCTTGAGGAGAAGTTTTTGAAGATTTTTCCTACATATTCCTATGTAAAACTTTGATCGTCCATTGTGGCCCCACCCTACCCCCAGGGTCACGATTTGAACAAATTTGAATCTACACCACCTGAGGATGCTACCAAATAAATATGACCAATCATAGCTTTACTGTTCTTTAGAAGAAGATTTTTGAAGATTTTTCCTATATACTCTATGAAAACTTTGATCGTTCATTGTGGCCCCACCCTAACCCCGGAGGGTCATGATTTGAACAAATTTGAATTTACACCACCTGCAGATGCTTCCATATAAATTTGACCAATCATGGCTTTGCTGTTCTTGAGAAGAAGATTTTTGAAGATTTTTCCTATATACTCCTATGTTAAACTTTTATCGCCCATTGTGGCCACACCCTACCCCTGGGGGTCATGATTTGAACAAACTTGAATCTACACCACCTGAGGATGCTTCCATATAAATATGACCAATCATAGCTTTGCTATTCTTGAGAAGAAGATTTTAGAAGATTTTTCCTATATATCCTTATGTAAAATTTTGATCGTCCATTGTGGCCCCATCCTGCCCCCGGGGGTCATGATTTGAACAAACTTGAATCTACACTACCTGACAATAATTCCACATGAGTTTTATCTTTCCTGGCCCATTGGTTCTTGAGAAGAAGATTTTATTTTTCAATAATGCCATTAATTTTTTGCTATTTCGTAATTATCTCCCCTTGGAGGAGGGCGTGGCCCTTCATTTGAACAAACTTGAATCCCCTTCACCCAAGGATACTTTGTGCCAAGTTTGATTGAAATTGTCCCAGTAGTTCTGGAGAAGATGATGAAAATGTGAAAAGTTTACGACAACAACGACGCCGACAGACAACGGACAAATTTCGATCAGAAAAGCTCACTTGAGCCTTCGGCTCAGGTGAGCTAAAAAAGTTCAATCTTGCATTCCAACATATTTCAAGTTGAAGTCTACACCCTACATTTCCTACAGATATTCCTAAACAGTTGCACTTTATCAGAATGGATCGTTTTAGAAATATATCTTAAAGAATCGTAAACGAAAGTAAAAGGCAATATGCAAACCATCTATCCTTCCGTCTAAATCGGAGGTGATAAACGTATTAGAAAAACTATATGAACAATCTGTTCCATTTTTCCAGCAGACAAGGCTTGTAACAATATTGTCTTTGTTTGTAAGGCTCATTATTTTAACCGTGTTTTAATTGAACTTTTAATTCTACGTCTGGAAATCCAGCTTATACTCACAGTTCACTTTCTCAATATGAAATTATTCAAAACCATATTTCAATGTTTAATATTTTAACATCCCAGTCATTGAAGGTGAGTTCGATCTACCGCATCTAAAATGGATTTTCATACTGGATTCCTAAACTTCATGAAAATTCTTACACAGAGATATATTGCTGGATCCAGCAAATGCTCTACCAAGCCCATATCTTTACTCGTTTACTCCTTACAAAAATATTAATTGCTGTATAGGAGAAACTTCAGACACACTGTGCTACAGACTATTCTAGAAGTGCTGTAAATCAGATGCTCAGGGACTCCAAAGAACTTTTAGAAAATTTAAAATCGCATTTTTTTTTTCAAAAGTCAGCAACATCAAACCGAACGACTTGTGTACACTTTTAACAACCATTCCTAACGATAATATTAAAACTAGGCTTTTTGATATCATAATCAACTGCTTCTTAAACAATAATGGAAGTCGGAAATTTTCGTATTTTGTGACTGGTCGTCAACAAAATGAGTTCGTTAAAAGTCACTCTGATTCTAGACACAAGTACTCTGAAGCTGATACTAAAAGGATGCTGGAATTCCCCATTAACAACATTTATGTAGTCTTCGGATACCAGGTCTTCCAACAAACTGTTGGACTTGCAATGGGCACTGATTGTGTTCCTTTGTCAGCCGACCTGTTTTTATACATGTATTCCTATAAAGCAGAATTTATTCAAAAACTTTTACACGAGAAGAAAACACTTGCTGTGGCCTTCAATTCGACATTCAGATATATCGACGACGTATTATCAATTAACAATAGTTACTACCACTCATATGTTGACTCAATATACCCAGTGAACTTGAAATAAGACTCCACAGAATCTGCCACATCTGTTTTCATAATTTGATGTTTTACTGACTATAGACGATAAGGGCCAACTAACAATTAAATTGCATGACAAACCAGATGACTTCAGATTTTCGATTGTCAACTTTCCTTATTTATGTAGTAATATCCCGCTATCACCTGCATGTGGTGTTTACATCTCCCAACTTATTCGATACTCAAGAACATGCTCCGAGTACGATCAACTTTTAAACCAAAACAGGCTACTGATAACTTGATGTTACAGGGATTTCAACAACCTCGTTTGATTGATTGATTGTATGTTGTTTAACGTCCCATTCGAGAATTTTCCATTCATATAGAGAAGTCACTATATACCGGTGAAGGGCTTCAAATTTTGACCTTTACTCGCCACTCAGGGCCATTGAGCAGCGAGGGATCTTTATCGTGCCAACGCCTGCCGTGACACGGGACCTCGGTTTTTAAGGTCTCATCCGAAGGATCCCGCAACTTTCACTTCAAAGTGCCGAGCGCATGGCGAAGGAACAGTTGCTACCCATTTTTTATCGACTTAGGTCAGTCGCGACCGAGATTCGAACTCATGACCTCCCGATCACGTAGCGAGCGCTCTACCGACTGAGCTACCGTGAACGGTTACCTCGTTTGAAGTCAGCATTTCATAAATTATATGGTCCTTATAATGACTTTGTTCGCAAATATAACCTATCATTAGGTAGTATTTTGGCTGATGTGTTTCATAACAATTGTTAGGCCTTTGTTCTTATACTGAATTTGACTGTGGAATGTTCTACCTGATGAATACATAGGGCACACAGTGGGTGTGACCGGTCAAGAGGGGATGTTCAATCCTCCTAGGCACCTGATCCCACCTCTGCACTTTCCAGGGGTCTGTCTTTTATGCCCTGTTCACAGATTTGTATTGTTTATAGATTTTTGAGGTTGATTCAATCACCATTCATTATCTTCAGCCTTTTCATTCGTATGCTAGAAACTGTCTCCCTGTGATACAGATTCTCTGCCTGGGACAGTAACACATATTCCCTGCGTGTGACAAAGATTCCCTGCCTGGAATACAGATTCTCTGCCTGGGACACAGATTCTCTGCCTTGGATACAAATTCTCTGCCTTGAACACAGATTTCCTGCCTCTGACACAGATTCCCTCCTCGGGATACAGATTCCCTGCCTGGGACACAGATTCCCTGGCTAGGACACAGATTCCCTGTCTGGAACATATATTCCCTGCCTGTGACATAGACACAGATTCCCTGTCTGGGACATGGATTCCCTGCCTGGGACACAGAGTCTCTGCTTCTGACACAAATTCCCTGGCAATGACATAGATTCCCTGCCTGAGATACAGAATCTCTGTCTGAGACACAGATTCCTTGGCTGTGACACACATTCCCTGGCTAGGACACAGATTCTCTGCCTGGGACACAGATTGCCTATCTGGGACTCAGATTCCCTGTCTGGGACACAGAATCCCTGCTTATGACACAGAATCCCTGCCTGTGACACAGATTCCCTGTCTGGGACACAAATTCCCTACCTGGGACATAGATTCCCTGGCAAAGACACAGATTCCCTGTCTGGGACATGGATTCCCTGCCTGGGACACAGATTCCCTGCTTGTGACACTGATTCCCTGCTTGTGACACAGATTTCCTGCCTGTGACACAGATTTCCTGCCTGTGACACAGATTCCCTGTCTGGGATGCAAATTCCCTGCCTGGGACATAGATTCCCTGGCTAAGACACAGATTCCCTGTCTGGGACATGGATTCCCTGCCTGTGACACAGATTCCCTGTCTGGGACACAGATTCCTTGCCTGGGACACACATTCTCTGCCTGGGACACACATTTTCTGCCTGGAACACTGATTCTCTGCCTGGGACACAGATTCCCTGTCTGGGACACAGTTCCCTGCCTGGGATACATATTCTCTGCCTGGGACACAGATTCATAGCCTGGGACACACATTCTCTGTCAGGGACACAGATTCCCTACCTGGGACACACATTCTCTGTCTGGGACAAAGATTCCCTGCCTGGGATACACATTTTCTGCCTGAGACATAGAATCCCTGCCTGCTGATTGGTCTTTATGTGGAAAGATACATTATTTTCAAACACATTCCAATGCCCTGCACTTTGTGAAGAACCCTGATGGCATGTCAGGTTCCCTCTCTTATAATTAACTGTTCCTATTTCTACAGGATCCCCTACAAATCTTACTGAATATATGTACACATATCTGCTTATATAACTCAACATACACTTAAGGTTATCAGTTCCTCACATTTTTGTTTTATATGCTTATTTTATCATAAATTTTATTTGCCAAAGTTTTCTGAAAATCATGTTTATAGGTTTGTAATGTGTTGCATGCATTTTTGTTTAAATTGTAAATCAAACAATATTTCTTTTTTTTAAGTATTTATTTGATAATTGATTGTCACCATCATGAAAATGAGTATTTCTTACAGAAATAGAAAGAGCTTAAATATAAAATACAATGTCAATAAAAAATACAAAATGTGATAACAAGAACATTAACAAATTACTTTGACCACTTCCTTCAAACACACATAAATCTATCATTCAAAGTAAGTAGATACATGTATCATTTTTCAAAGGTACATTTCTAGAATTCAGATGGAGTTTTATCTCCATCATTTAATACTTAAATGACATCAGTAAAGCTCCACATGACACCATAACAAGTAATATATTAAGCTAGGTCCCTCTTTTCTCTCTACTACCCTACATTGTAGAGATAAACATCTCAGACACTATATACAAACAATATTTCTGACTGTTCCTGTAGAGTGAAGATGGGTATAAATGAGTTCTCTAATACTTGGCTTGTTCCTGGGATAATTCCTCTAGGAATGCATCACGAAGCTGAAATGAAGATTTCAATGTTCCAAATCATGCAGCAAAAGCAGAAACATGTGTTAAAATTTTATATAAAGATACTTATACTGTACATATTGTGCATTTTCTCAGATAGCTGGAACATTCAGGTACAGCAGTTTTAATGTCAATTTTAGAAAAATGCTGGAAAACTTCTTTAAATTAATTCATGAAATTAAATTCTATTTTTTTTATGAGAGAAAAAGGGGGTGGGAGAGGGGGTTATACCCTTTACTTACTTCATGTTTATCAATAAAAAGATTTCCATATATAATTTTACAGAGTACATATGTGCATACACTTTGTACAAAAATTAAATATTTTCAAAATTTCAGAAAACAGTTTTCAAGAAGTCCTCACAAATTTCAAGGCTAATATATGAAATAAAGATGAGCTATATTATGTAAATATATCTGAAATGATACACAATAAAACTGAGAGCTACTTATGGACAGCAAGGAATATTTAAATGAGATGTAACTCCAGAATATCCTAATTTTCAGTGATGGTTGTTAAATATTTGTTCAACATTACCTTTGGACTCGGTAGACAAGGACCAAATGCTTCCAGTAAAAGGATTTCCGATTCCACGGCCTGCTTGAAATCACTCATACTTAATCGGCTGTCATGATCATGATCCTGTAATACAATTTTCAATTAAGATTACCTTTTGTTTAGATTTAATGAATAAAATCTTAACAGTTTTTGAATCACTATTTCAATGAACTGTCTCCTCACTCTCTCCGGGTGTATTTACATGTAGTATATAAATATCATGTATACAAAATGTACCAACCATCTTCTTTAGAATCAGCTCTACCAACTCCTTGATGTTTTCATCTTGGTCCTCCTCAGACGAATGCTACAATGAAAGAAACGGCAGTGGGAATACAGCAGTCAGATGGAAAACTGAATTATAACAACAGAAGGATTTTCATCTCCATTAATTTTTTTTTACACTTACTACATTCTAAATATAAATTTCAGTATGAAAAATAAAGGATTAAAAGATTAGCAAATTACATCCTAAGCAACCAAGGTCTATGCAGTACAATATTAATTCTATTACAAACTACAACAAAAAATTCCATTCCTTAAAAATCATCCCTTATAAGCTAAAGATGAAGATCTATATCAAAATCATGAACAAACTACAGACAACAAGCAATCCATGCTAAGTTTATTAAAGGTCAAGAGCAGACATTTATCAAGGCATTTCATTCACCATTTCTGAAGTACTGTAGATTCCTTATTTTACCTGAGTACTTAATATCACGAAATGACTCTTAAGACATCAAATCATGAGAATATTAAATCAAGAATGGATGGCTGATCAAGAGATTTTATATAGATTTCAGCACCATAAAAATAAAACTGAGTAATTTTATTTCATGAGTAGAGGTTCTTGCGAAATTATGTGATAATTAATTCCTTCCATATATTTAGGAATCTACAGTATAGCCCACAGAATATTGGGATTGGGACATTTCTCCAATAGAACAACTTGTTGAAAATGTTTGTGTAGTAGTAATTAACAACCTTTAGGATAGATGATGCAAACTTTCTTCGAAAATCATGAAAATAACAACTAAAGCCATGTTTATTTAAGTAAAATAAATAAGTTTAGCTGCATAGAATTTAATTTTTTTTTTTCAAAGTTTCACAATAAAGTTCTATTTAATGTTGCAAAGTTTTTAGATTTTAATAAGGGTGACAGCAAAAAGGTTAATTTTTTCAACAGCATACATAATTTACAATTTCTTAATATTTTAGAAGTTTTAAAAATAAATGCATCATTTACAGTCAAAATAGGTCTAAAAATACCATATATCGATCCAAGAACCCATTTTTTTGGTATTGTCTTTCCTTAAACTACTACAAAACTTTTTAATTAATTGCTTTTTTGAGTTTTCCAACATTTACTGCTTCCTTTTTCAGAGCTCAGTTTTTCCCCCATGAAAATTGGATAAAGTATGCATGATTTGAATATAGCCCAATTTTGGCTACAAAATAAACAAGAAAAAGCTCCATGTGTCAATGTATGTACAAAAAGTATGCATGAAATTTATAAATTAAATCATGTTGACAAGCTGTACAAAGGTTTACACTATTAACCCAAAATTTTAAGAAGTATTAACATAAAAACAAGATTTAGATAGAATTACGGACATTGAATAGCAGAGACAGTTTTTATAAGAGGTTTTGCTCTGATCTATTTACCAATGAAACAATTTGTGATATTTTGCACTCATCTGTTTTTGCTCTGAGAGGGTTTTTGATGAGATGTTCCATACTGTTTGCACTCGCCGCTTTGACAAATTTTGCACTAATTAAGACATTCTGTATCAGATGTTTTGCACTGCTCTATTTTGGGCTGGGATGTGATGTTTTGTAATGATTTTTTACACTGTTTCAGATCGATGCATTGCACTACTCTATTTTGCACTGGGAGAGATTATGATGAGATTTTTTTGCACTCATCTATTTTACACTGAAAAAAAATTGTAATGAGATGTTTTGTACTGACCTGCTATTTTTTTGCACTGAGATATTCTGTTTCATATGTTTTGCACTGGGACAGTTTGTTATGGTGTGTTTTGCAGTGATTTGCTTTTCACATAGAGAAAATTTGTAACAAGATGTTTTGCACTGACCTGTTTGAGAAAACAACTAGAATACTGTAGATAACCAGATTTTCACGACATTTTCTTAAATAAAAAGTTGTTTGGCATTTATAAGTGTGACAAAATTTTCACAAGGTTTGGTTATTGCAAGGTATTTATCTACAACATAATCTTATATAATAAAAATATATGCTAAAATAAAATTTTCTCGAGTATAAATTTTATGCGAAAATAAAGTTCTCGCAAATAAAAAGTTCTTTACAATAAATTGATTTTTTTTGGATCAAATAAAGTAAGAGGTCTTAATATAAGTTCATATAAGTAATTTTTCTGCTTGTCAGAATTTTGCAACTGCACAAAGGATCACTATAAACCAAATCTTTATTTTTTTATTTGTGATATTCATAGGGTATTAAATTAGAACAATGGGTTTAATGTTTTAAGATTAAACAATCCTACATGCCTTTTATACACATATGTGACATGAAGTACAGTACACACTACACAGCCTAAATAGAAATGTGTAAAAAAAATTCTTTGATATATCAAGTACATGTAATTGATACCATATTACTAACTGACTTAATTCATGCACATATATGTTTCTTGCATTGTGAGTTTCAAAGTAACATTGAAAGCAACTATACAGTACAGGTTTTATATTCCATGTTTCTAAAATATTATCCACTAGCTATTTGTATTTAATTAGCTGTATTTATTTCAGTATCCCCAAATTAGAACAAAAATGAGTTACTGCTCTTTCTAATCAATGTTATATGTAATATATACAACACAGAGAATCCATACCAGTCTTTTCAACTTAATGCTTCACCTACAATATGATTCAAAAACATTTATTTGTAAAAATCAACACTGAACTTGAGTATGATTATCTAGGAATGAATTGTGAAAGACAAATGTTAACAAATTATAACATTATGAAATATTAAGAACATTTGTATTTTGAATTCTTGTGTGATTTTTTTTCCCAAAGAAAAATGAAAGTGTTTACAAGGTATCATTTATCATTTCATTTGATCTCAGACTACACCTTTTTTATTCTTATCGTCATTTAACATGTTTAATATTCACTTATAAGTTTGTGAAAAGTAAAAACTCCTTAGTGAGATAAATGCTGATATACTATCTACCCAAATTAATTGGTACCATAAGGAAAAAAATCACTCATTCTGCAGGAATCCAACCAAATCATCCAAATTCTTTGATCCTTTCATTGCACAAATCTGGAATTTTCCCTTTTAATTTTAATATTAGTTTTCATTTATATATTACTTACTTTCAGAATGGAGGTTTTGAGAAGCTGAAACATTTCTTCTCTTGAAATCCATCCATCACCATTTAAATCATAGACAACGAAACAGTCTGGAAAAAGAAGGAAAAATTCTGTCATGATACACAGTTACAAGCTATGGGTTGTATATACTCCTGATTTTACACTTCTAGTATGCTACAAAGAAATCGAAGATTAATTATTCTCAATCACTAGACCTTAATTGTTCTTATATATTTTAATCTCTGTTTTATAAAGTGGGAGCAGGTACAACAAGACTTACATTTAATTTTGTCATCTTGAGCACCTTTCAGAAAGGTAGAAAGGCCAATCACCCATTCTTCATGGCTTAAATAGTTATCACTGTCTTGATCAAATGCCCTAAATACTGAACAGTTCATAATTAGAGTATTACTGAACAATTCATAGTCTGTTTAAATTCATAAAATAGTGTTAACATACAAGTATTTCAGTTTTTTTCATTATTAATGTTAAAATACTGAAACATAATAATTGGATATTTATTTATGATATAAATTTGATGAATTTTAAGTGTTCAAAAATCTGTACAGTTAACTAGAGTCTTCCACGTCAATTAATATCAATTTACACTGTTACAGACAGATTTTTTCATTTGCAAAATACAACAATGACATAACACACACAGAGTGATTCCTACCTCGGTCCATTAAGATATCATCAGTCATATTGAAACTGATGTGCAGAACGTCACGAAACTTAGTGCGATCCAGCTTATTATTTACACCACCAGTGATGCTGACAAACATCGTTATCAATTTTTCAATTTCATGTTTTTCGACTGCAAATGATAAAACAAACAAAACATAAGACGTAAACAAGCAAAATGTTTTCAATAAGATCAATCTATTAAAAAATCAAATCAAAGCAAACAGTGTTTCCCTTTCCCTTTTTTTAAGATTTAGAGATAATTCGAGCTACCCGTACGTCAGGTTAATAAACATGTTCATTATCTTCTGTAAATATTTTCCCGAACTTAAAAGATCAGTTATTATCTATGATACATACATTTGCATTCTTTTCTTTTTAACAGTTTTTCTGTCATTTTTGCGAGATCTTGACGCTTAATAACCGACATATTTTGATTTCAACAGCGAGCACTGAGCGTGGTGTTGTCAAGTAGATTCAACGCATGCGTAAAATAATCGAGTGCGATCCTATTGTTTAAAATGAATGAATAATTGAAAAATTTTTTTGGTCATGAGTGTAATGAAAATGCAAAGATATACACGATTTAATAAAAATATGCATTGATCATAATTTTATTGTTAGGTTTAAAATAACACATTGGCGTCTTAGCTCGAGTTTCCTCTGCTTACTCATTGCAGAAGCATGGCGGACGTAGATTCGCTACATGATTTAAGTTCAGATCAAAACGAAGACCAGAGCGCAGTGGATGCCGATGTTGAAGAAGACGAAGTGTCGGAGAGGGGGTAAATATTTGCTCTTTTAAGATGTTTTATGTCAATTGCTAAATAATAACACGGGAGAAAAATATAGCCATGGGTGGGACACATGCAAATACATGGGGTCAGTTTCTATTTTTTTCTGATTGAATTTGATCAGGGAGACCAAAAAACAGTAATATTAACATTGGTAATAAATGAATGCAGTTTTCTTTTACATATATTTATGCTTTAGGGATAAAGCTTTCAATACATTAATTCAGTCAATTATATTGAACAGAATCAACGTGTTGCAATCTGTAACTTCAAGTAAATGGTGACTGTATAATTTATTCTGAGCAGTCATAAAACATTGAATAATTCGGAGTTCAATGGAGTTGTTGACTATCTTATTAACGTTTACGTGTACGCGTGCAGTCTCCCCCATCATGCTGATGGGGAGTGCAGGCCCGTTTTCATGCCCAAATTATAGGTGCAACCCGAGTTGTTTTGATCCATTTACATGTTTAACCCATTTAAGTTCAGTAAAAGTTATCGATCAACATAGATTGATTCATAAATATATTGTTTTCACTTTTGGACTATATATATGTAAGGAAGTATGATCATTAATATACATACATGTATGCACACCCGTTTGCTATTTATAGACACTGCTGTATATTATCATTACATTATACACTTGCGTTACTTATATACCAGCTTGCTCTCATTTAAGCAGGACGAAACCATTCAGAATATGTAATGTTGAACTTGAATCAAAATTATAAGAGTAACTGAGTTTTTTTAATTTATATTTTGAAAAATATCTTCATATGTTTATAGACGTTTGTAACATGTATATTTTCATCATGTTTGCTTTGATACCCCATACTAAGGCAATACAGGAATGACACACAATTGTCTGAAAGCGTTTGAAGGTTTAAAATATTAACAGAAAAGTTACAAAGGATATAGGGAAAAATAGTTGTACACTGACAAAGAGAGATAACTCTTAAGAATGTGAAAGTCAGTTTCAAATACAATCTTAATTAATTTATCAATGATAAATTAAGACTTCTACATTTAAAACATTAACAACTGCTGTACAGATACATGTTATACATTGCTTAACAAGAAAAGGAATGTAAACACATACATTTTGTTCCAACTTGTAATTTACATATACAAGTACACCCTCACACACACACACACACATTGGTTTACTATGGATTAATTACTAATTAACCTCTCTATTAAATAAGGTGCAACTTCAAGTTTCAAAGAATTTTGCCAGATATTTAGATTCAGAGAACTTTGAAATTAATTAGATTTGAATTACCTGCTGCTGTTTATTTTGCTACATTGACAACACATGGAATGCATTCTATAGTTAAACAAGGACATACATTTTTAACGATAGAAGATATTCTGTCTATGTTAAGACTCGAGAAACTTTGAAGTAGAACTGAAATATTTGTTATTGACCTGATAACAGGCATACATTGTACGATTTGTACCACAAGTAAATCGGGGGGGGGGGGGGGGGGGGGGGGTCCCTTAAGGACATAAGCATCATATCTTGCCTACTGATAATTTTTAAAGATATTCTTACTGGTAATTCAAAATTATAGTACCATCAGATGTTCATAGACAAAAAATCAGCATGCATTACCAGGGGTTTTGAAAAGATATCAATTGATGAAAATTCTTCTATAATTCAAAGAAAAATATACAAAACTTACTAAACACAGAATTCTAAATGTATTTTCATCCAAATTTGTTTTAGAAGAAGTGAAAAGAACCATAATATATAGACATTAAAAGAGTAGCACACAGGTCCTGCAAGTGTTGGAACTCTTCAACTCCGGGGAAAGAGACAATAAAGTTCAAACTATGTTGCATATGTCCTTAAACTTCAACTTATTACAAACTGTGTAGGACTCAACAAAATCTGGGTGATAATCCTGCTGATAAGATTGCAGAATATTAACTGGCAAAATTGGAAATATGCAGCTTATGTCATTTTCATCTGATACGTCAGTCTAAATGTTTAATGACAGACAATGAAATGGGCGGGTACAATTTGACATGGACGTCTGAGAAAACATTGGATTGAAATTCTAGTTTGAAATTCATTTTCAATCCACCTGAGCTGTTTTCAAACCTAAAGTGTGAATCAATGTATGATCCAAAAGACAAACGAATTCAATTCCCAAATACATGTTGTTTGAAATTCATATTTAATATATGGTTTTTTTAGCCTATAATTTTATGGACACGTAAAAGTAATAGAAGGCAGAGATTATTTTTTCAGGGGATGGCCATTTGATTCTAGAAGGGGGGCGGAAGGGGTGCTGTCAAAAATTGTGAAGTCAGATTATGCCTTCACATGACAGAATATATTTATTTCTAGGATGACAAGAGCTTTTTTTTTTTTTAGTTTTGTTTTCACTGAAAAATGTTTGACAAAGAAAAACAGGGAGGGGTTGTCCAAACTATATTTATTTCCAAGATTTCCCCCCCCCTCCCCCCCCCCCCCCCCCCAACATACACATACCAAACAGAAAATTCTGGTTTTTATAAATTTCAAACTATTCCGAAATTGAAATTATTTGTCTTCTGGGTCGATGAGTAACACTTTGCGTTCTAGAGTAGCTGAGTGGATTGAATTTCAAAATGAATTTCAAACTACAATTTCAATCCAATGTTTTCTTGGAAGTCCGTGTCGAATTGTACCCGCCCATTTCATTTCATGGTGAAATTCAAGCAGAGCCCTTCAGTATGTTTTAACAGTAACATTGGTCATTTTAGTGAACATGAGTGTATTTTGGAGACAATGGACAGTGGCCATTGTGTGGACAAGTGGTCTGAACTATTGTGTACTTTTGACATTGGAAGAGTGATTATGATTTTTTTTCATCATCCTCAATTGTAAACATAACTAGCAGTAGAAATACATATTATATAATATTCATAGTAACTGAACTGTCAGTAAGGTTTTCAGAGAAGGGAAGTAACTCTTTCTTAAAATAGTCAGTATAAATAAAAGTAAACATTTAGATCTTATTAAAATCAATGTTATAAAACATGATTGTATTGTATATAATATGCTTCATACAACATACAACATGTACAGTAATTCAAGTTAACTAAAGTTTATACCAAAGATCACAATTATGGCTACACATGTACCAGTTCACTGCAACTTTTTTTTGGTGTCTAAATACAATTGATAGAGTGTGGACAATTGTATATCAGTTGTTATAAATAAGATTATAAGCTGTACGGAATAATGGAAAAACACTGTGTTGAAGCAATACTCTGGTTACTGTCTAAACACGCATGTACAGGTGGTATTGATTTCTTTAAATCGTTTAGATTAAATCCATTTAACCTGTTACATGCATGTTGACTTTATCATCAAACATTGATATTGAAGAGCTACAATAAATATTAATATTAATGCAGATGTAAGCGATCCTGTAACTAATTGCTTTTTTTTATAATCATTGAAACAGAGAAGACCCAGCATCTAGGAAGAAGCACAAAAAATTTCAAAAGAAAAGACGACATAAAGACATTGAGCGTTCTAGTGGGGACTCGGTGACAGAAGATGATGAGGTTAATAGACCAGACCCCCTCCCTGTGATCCCCAACGATAAAGAGCAGCAGCAGTCTGGTATGGAGGCTGATTATGAAAGTCAGGACACAGGTACCAAACAGACAGTGCAGGACAGCAAAAAGAAAGTGTCGGCTGGCGCAGAGGGTCCCATTCCCTCTAATGCCCCAGAGGTGAGGAAATAGTACAGTCAAACCTCATTATCTTGAACTTGATAAGACAGAGAAAAAACTTTGACATATCTGAAAATTTGAGATATCCATGTTCAGATACATAAAGAAAAGGTAGATGGTATTCCAACTCACTTCTATGTATACATGGTATATGAGGTATCAAAGTTCGAGATACTGATGTTAAACTGTGTACATGTATTTATAACACAAGATCCAAACAATTTACTATTTTTGGTAATTTCAACAATATACTGGAAACACATGTGTAGAATAACATGTAAAAAAAGGTCACAGATTTGTTTTCTTGTTTTAGTCTTCACTCTCAGGATTACAGAAAATTCAGAAAGCTGTCGAATTATTATCTATGTCCCACGGTGCACCTAAAAGTATGGAAGAAGCTACAAAGAAGAGATACAAATTCTGGGAGACTCAGCCAGTGCCTGAAATAAGTAATACTGATGTTTACAAAACTAAAACTTATCCTTGGAACTGAATACAGTTATTTTTTTAGGGCCAATTTGAGAGTCAAATCCCAGTCCCATTTAGAAATGTGCCTACATTTCCCAAAATGAAGTGGCAGTTTTCCCAAAGAAAAACTTGGTGATCTTGGCAACTTTGTTTTAAATTGTTTATTGCTTAGTTTTTCAGTAAAATTCAAGCAGATCTGATGTTCAGCCATGTTTGATTCATTTATAAATTACAGATATTTCATACCAGTTCTTGATATAAGTTATTTGATAATCCATACCATTATTATACCTCCCACAAAAAAAAGATTTGGGGTATATAAGAATCACCTTGTGTGTCTGTCCGTCCATCTGTCCTTGCTATCTTGTCCAGACAATAACTTTTGTTATGGAGAAATACTGGAAGCTCAAACTTAGTACAGAGATAGCATATGACCCGAGGGTGTGTCATGACTTTGAACCAAGGTCATTTTGGAAAGTTCAAGGTCACTGGCAAAAAAAAGTATATTTTTTGTCTGTGTCATAGTTTTGTAATGGAAAATCAATGGAAGGTCATACTTGGTGCAGGGATTGGTTATGACCCAAGGGTGTTTTCTGACCTTGACCCAAGGTCATTCTGGCAAGTTCAAGGTCAGAAAAGTATTAAATTCTTTTATTGGCTATAACATTGTTATAGAAAATCATTGGAAGTACATACTTGGAACAGAGATTGTTTATGACCTGATGGCATGACATGACGTTGACACAATGTCATTCAGGCAAGTTCAATGTCACTGGTATAAAAAGTGTAAAATTCATAACAGATTTATAAATTTCTAATGGAGAAATATTGCCTGTCTGTATTTCACTGAAAGATTATTAATAACCAGAGGATGTGTCTTTTTTTTAACCAAGGCTTTTTTTGGTAGGTTTAAAGTCACATTTACAAAATTTGAATGGGCTATTATTTTGTGAGTTCACTCAAGTACCTCTAGTAATTTTTGATTTGTTGTTAACATTTGGTTTTCTTGAAATTCCAAATTAAGCCTTATTATGCTGAAATTTCCATTTGGGCCCAAACCTTAAAATACAGTGAAGTACATGTACAGTGTATGTGCTATCTGTTTTATGCTATATTGAGTCAGCATCCACTCTGTATAACTCTTCGTCTCTTTTATAACAGATGAGAAGATCCAGGATATAAATCAACCTATTGAGGAGGATAAGCCGGTGGAGGAAATCAGGACAGAGCCCTACAGTCTTCCGTCAGGCTTTATCTGGGACACGCTCGATCTTCTAGACCCACTCATTGTAAGTTTCTAGTGTTATATAAGCAAGTAGGTTTGTGAAATCTGAATATTTGATGGGATTGTGATAGTAAAAATGGAAAGAACAAAACTAAATCACATTTGTTGTTCATTTTACAGTTAAAGGAACTGTACACTCTGTTGAATGAGAATTATGTAGAGGATGATGACAATATGTTCCGATTTGATTACAGTCCGGAGTTTTTACAATGGTAAGTTGTCATTCATGGATTGTATATTATTTCATACTTAAACTTATTTTTGCAGGAAATTAACCTTTAATTTATCATTAATTATTCTGGATGACACTTTGAAAGCTCCTTGAAATATATTTCAATTCATTTGTCTTCTTCCAATCTGCTGTTTTGCCGTATTTCTGCATGAAGTATTAGTAATGCTTTTATATTTCTATCTAAATATTGTATCATTACACCCCCTCCCCCATCACTACCACCACATTTGTAAACAAAGTTTTTTGTATGAACCAACTTGTCCATCTATCTACATGGAAAAATATTGAAAGTTCATTTATGACCTGAGGGTGTGTCTTGACCTTACCCAAGATCATTTTAGCAAGTTCCAGATCACTGTCAGAAAAAGTGAAAATTCATGTCCAGTTCACAACTTTCTAGTGGAGAATCATTGGAAGTTCGTGAAATAAAAAGATTGCCTTTCACTTGAAGATGTGCTGTGACCTTGACATTGAAAAAAAATTTGGTAAGTTCAAGGTCATATGCAGAAAGAAGAAAGCAAACATTAGATGCTTGTACATCTATCAAGGATTGCTTATTATCTGCCAGAGGGTGTGTCATTACTTTTATCCAAAGTCAGTCTGTTCCAGAACTTTGTAACAGAGAAACTTTGGAAACTTATTCTTGACTCAGATTGCTTATGACCCGGGATGTGTGACTGTCATGATGTTGACCCAAGGTCATTTTGGTAAGTTCAAGGTCACTGAAAGAAAAAAAAATCTTTGTCAAGAATAAACATTGGAAGCCAGTGGTGAGGAAATGATGGATTTTGACCTGAAGATGTGCCATGAATTTGACTTAGTTCATTTTAGACAACGTCAAGTCATTGGCAGAAAGGAGAAAAACTTCCAAATTTCAGTCAGGTCTATATCCTTGTAATGGAGAAAGTTTGGAAGATCATAGTTGACACAAGGATTTCTTATGGATTAAACTTGTCAGTAGGGGGTATCAAGTAGTGATCTAGCTCATAGCACCTACATGTGTATAATATGGTGAAGAAATTGCAGTACAGGTAATAAATCAAAGACATACTAATTCATTCTTTTACCGTTGAACCAGTCAAACTTCACCCAAATTTGAAAAAAAAAATATGTTTACTGATCCCTTGAACAAAAATTCTTTCTCAAGGTCAGGGTTGATCAGGGTTGACAAGTATCTCTGTCATTCCTTTAGTTGGTCCACTTTTACATCAGCTCTCCCTGAGTATGTGGGGGTAAAATACTTACATTGTAGAATTGGTTTATTTGTAGGGCTCTGCAGCCCCCTGGCTGGTGTAAAGACTGGCACTGTGGTGTTAGAGTGGCTAAAAGTGGCAAGCTTGTAGGCTTTATTAGTGCTGTACCAGCACTCATCAAAATGTATGACAAGTAAGTAGAGGGACTCACCAACAAAAGCTAAGAAGACTCTACTGTCAACAAAGTTTTTGAAAAGGACAAGTGCACTTAAGCAATGCTTAATGGGCCCTTTTCAGTGCCATATTACTTTAGAATATATTACCAAATTTTTCTCTTTTGGTAATAATTAAACACAAGTGGATATTTCTAATTAAAATCACGTTAAAACATCACCTAAATCAGCATGGATTTGAAACAAATGAAGTTTTTTAAATGCCTATAGATACCCCAAATCCAGAAAAGTCATACCGAACCTATTTTGAGTTTCGTATATTTAGATCAAGGGGAGGAGACATTTAAATCGGACACTTGAACAATCTGATGGTGGATCATTGACAGGCGCGTTTGAAGAATGATACTTCTTGTGCTATTTTATCTGAAAAAAAAATCGAATGAAGTTGTATAGATGCCTGTATCCATAGTGATCAAACTAAGAAATTTGCACACTTGCATTTGAATTAATACAATAAGTATTAACAATAGTTCCTTTAAATTTTAAAATGAAAAAAGTGTATTTAGGTGGCTTTCAATACCGGTACCATTGTCTTGCATGAATGTTAAAAATGTTTTATGCTTTTATTTATGATGACATTTTAACGACACTAAACTCTCCTAAACCTCCCGTGTTCCTAAAACCAAATACAAACTTCTCTATGTGGCACAACTTAGATATAATGATACAAAAGGTGGCTATCTTTTATAGTGAGCATCATTGAGGAATGTTTACCTGGGTAGAACCCACGTGACTACCGGTATTTTGAATAATTTATTCCACGGGTGGGTTCAACATAGGTCATACAGGTAAATAGCTCTCGCTTGCTATAGGAAAAACCGTGAACTTTTCATACATTTTTAATATTTTAAGTACAAGCCTAATCTTGTACAAATTTCCTACTTTCACACAAGTTCTATAAATATATAATGCGTTTTTTGTCAATCGCACAAGTTTGTACAACGTTAGGCTGACAGTAAACAAAAGCTTTGAAATGAATGACCGTCCTCGATTTACCATGATTTACCATAGAAAATCACGAATGTCGGCTTACCCCTACCACATTGTATGGCTTTGCTCTTTGTATATTCATGAATATCAGCTATAAAATTTGTTGAATCTTATGGTTTAGATATCAATTAATGATCTGAGATGAAAAATTATGCTTAATTTGATTCTTCATTTTTTCACATTTTATCGGGGCCCATAAGTGTACTCGTTCTTTAAAGGATCCGGTTTTCAGATTTGCTATAGATTTTTTTTTAAATACTTAAAAGAATATGTATTTGAGTATGCTTTCCTAAAGCTTAGAAAGAAAAAAAAAGAAATAAAACAGTTAAACACTTAAATTTACAAAATACTAAAGAATACCTTACACTTTTTAGTTTTATATTGTCTGACAGTAATATATATATCTTGTAGAAAGAAGCACATGGTAGAAATCAATTTTCTGTGTGTCCACAAAAAACTACGATCAAAACGAGTGGCGCCGGTGTTAATAAGGGAGATAACTCGCAGAGTAAACCTTAAAGGACTGTTTCAGGCAGTGTACACAGCAGGGGTTGTCCTCCCTAAACCAGTGGCGTGTTGTAGGTCAGTGATGTTAATGATCTCTGTTTAGGAGAGCAGATCCATGAGGATTGATACGTATATTCTGTCCATTGAAATCTTTTTTGATTTGGTCAATGTATAGTGAGAAAAAAAGTTTGAAGCAGATTCTTTGTATGAATTAAGACATTATTAGCTGTCAGTGTAACAGAGAATATGTAAACCACAAATATTCCATAAATAGATTTAATATGGCAGATAACTTTGATTAGTATAAATATATGTCAAGCTTAGGAACAAAATATGTATACTTTATGTTACCGGTAAATATTTTGCAAAAGCATCTAAAATGCACATTATATACCATACTTTGTATATGCTTAAACATGTTAAATAGGAAATGTATTCATCTCATAATATTTGAGAAGGGATTAGGTCATTCCATAACAGTATATTCTCTTTGTATTTCAGATACTGGCATAGATCTTTAAATCCAAGGAAGTTGATAGCTGTCAAATTTTCACATTTGACAAGAAACATGACAATGCAACGGACATTGAAGCTTTACAAGTTACCCGAGGTAAGTCGAGAGGGATGAAGGAAGATGGTCCCTGGCTTGTGTCACATCATATAAAATAAAACTCAGGCACTGGTATTTATCTACAGTAACTGAATGTAAAAATAAATGAAGTTTTACTCAGTATGCTTTTTTTTACTCTACTGACCCTTCTTTATCAAGAGAAAAATTGGTAAACAAAGGACCGGTATTAAATGCAGTTAAACATTATAATCTGAACTTAATGGGACCAAGAAAAAAACTTCCAGATATCCAAAGATTCAAGATATCCAATGTAAAATACTTAAAGAATAAGTGTTTGGGACTTCTAAATCACGTCGACATACATGTATCCATGGTATTCGAGATATCGGTATTTGAGGCATTGATGTTTAACTGTACATAAACAGTCATTGAACTTATGTGATATATGAATTGTAGTGTATTGTGATCACTACAGATATTAAATAAGTGCATCCACACAAGTTCTTGTAAAGTTCTCTGTACTTGGCAAGTACTACTAGTTGGTATTTGAAGAGTATTAATTGCTCAGAGAATGTTGAGATCAATTTTCTTTGATTTTGACAGAATCCAAAGACACCTGGTTTTCGAAAGTTCACTCCTGCAGATGTTCCCGAGTCATTTGAGTTATTAAAAAAGGTAAGCAGGGAACCTCACGGTAAGCTTAGTTGTGTTTGGAAAATATTGAAAAGATTCTTAGTAATCTGAAAAAATTCTACTAATGAAAGAAATCTGCGTATGAATTTCTGCTATTTAATGATTCCAGAAATAGAATCTTCCAGAGGATTGTTTGAAAAAATTTTGAAAATAAAGGTGATCCATGTACAAGTAATCCAAATGCAGAAGAGATCATCAATTTGGGAACTTTGGGTTAGGTTGTACACTATAGGTGTCAATAGGATTTGAATTACAACTAGAATTTGGATGTACATATATATAAGTAGATATCTGAGTACATTCATGGTGGAAACGGCCCCTTATTCTGTTAACCGTTTATAAACTTAGTAAATTTAATGCATGCACATATATTTTTTTTATACCAAACCTTGATACGTGGTTCATTTAACATGAAGAATTTTGCAGGTTTACAAGTAATGTCACAGAACTGAATATGAATTCAATTCTATTACTTTTTTTCAGTATCTAGACAAGTTTGACTTGTCTCCAACATTTTCAATTGAAGAATTCCGCCATTGGTTTATCCCTAGGCCTGGCATTGTTGATTCCTATGTTGTTGAGGTGAGTAAATTTGCTAATACTGTCATGTGATTACATGTATTTAATACCGTCTTAGCATTAGATTTTAGTGAACCATAGATTCAAGTGAGCATTTTCTGATCACCTATCATCTGTCTGTCCATGTGTCTGTTTGTCCGTTCTTCTGTTAAATGTTCTCATTTTAGACTTCTTCTCCAGAATTGTTGGACCAATTTCAACCAAACTTAACACAAAGCATCCTTGAGTGAAGGGGATTCAAATTATCGTAAAATCCCTTTTAATCGCCCCTGCCCCTATAAGCGCCCCCTAGGCCTTTTTCAATTGTCGGGCAATAAGGGCCCCATGTGATTACAAATACCTTAATAAAAATGAAAACCTGTAATACAAGAATGAGCATAATTTGAGTGGATTATCTTGTGGTAAAGGAAAATAAGACAATTATTTTAATAGTGGTTCTCTGAATTTAATTTTTTTCAAAAGATTTCTTGAAGTTAAAATACGACATGATGTACATTAAATATTATAACTGGAATACCAAAATAACTGCCCCCTATTCGCAATACTATAACTGGAATACCAAAATAACCAACCCCTATTCACAATTTTCCAAGCGCCTGGGGTGTTTAAAGTGATTTTATGGTAGTTCAAATAGAGGGCCATGCCCTCTTCAAAGTGGGAGTTAATCTAAAAAAGCAAAAATAGGGTGGACATCTTATTAATAAAAAATCTTTTTTTCAAGAACCGCTAGGCTAAAGATGAAGTTTATGTGGAAGCTTTCTGACATGGTGAAGATTCAAATTTGTTCAAATCATGGTCCCTGGTTGTAGGGTAGGGTCAGAAATGGGGGATCAAAATTTTGTTTGGGGAATATGTAGGGGAAAATCTGCATATTCATTGCACACATAAAGTTGTGCTCAGTGCTGGACTTATTTTTCTAAATTCTTACCTCAACTGCAAAAAAGCTCGATTTCAAAAAAATTCTTTAGACCTTTATCAACTGCTCTCATACTTGACATATGCACAAACCGTGTTGGACCAAACTATCTTTTCACCTAAATGGCAGTGAAATGTTTTCCATGGTCTCAATGTTAGGCCTAGGAGGGCTATTAGCAAGGGTTATGGGGAATGTTTTGTTGTGGAAATAATAAAAGAATATGTTTGGGACCTACAGTAAGTAATATTTCAGATGGTAGTTTCAATTTACAGAGAAAACAGCACCCTTTTTTGTGCGCAGTTTCAATATACAGAGAAAAAAAATCAAGAAACTTCATTTTTTTGGTGCACAGTTTCAATACACAGAGAAAAAAAATCAAGAAACGTCACACTTTTTTGTGCGCAATAAATAAACACTGTATTCAATGGGTGGCACTATAGCTATCTGTCGTCCATCCCAATTTTTAGCTCACTTGAGCCGAAGGCTCAAGTGAGCTTTTCTGATCACATTTTGTCTGTAGTCCGTCTGTCTGTCTGTCCGTCTGTAAACTTTTCACATTTTCGACTTCTTCTCCAGAACCACTGGGCCAATTTCAACCAAACTTGCCACAAAGTATCCTTGGGTAAAGGGGATTCAAATTTGTTCAAATGAAGGGCCACGCCTTCTTCCAAGGGGAGATAATTATGAATTCGTGAAAAATTAATGGCATCATTAAAAAATCTTATTCTCAAGCACCACTGTGCTTGAAAATATGAAACTTATGTGGAAGTATCCTCAGGTAGTGTAGATTCAAGTTTGTTCAAATCATGACCCCTAGGGGTCGGGTGGGGCCACAATGGGCGATCAAAGTTTTACGTAGGAATATATAGGAAAAATTTTTAAAAATCTTCTTCTCAAGAACAGTAAAGCCATGATTGGTCATATTGACATGGAAGCATCCTCAGGTAGTGTAGATTCAAATTTGTTCAAATCATGACCCTCGGGGGTCGGGTGGGGCCACAATGGGCGATCAAAGTTTTATATAGGAATATATAGGAAAAATCTTTAAGAAATCTTTTTTTCAATAACAGCAAGGCCATGATTGGTCATATTTACATGGAAGCATCCTCAGGTAGTGTAGATTCAAGTTTGTTCAAATCATGACCCCCAGGGTTCGGTTGGGGCCACAATGGGCAATCAAAGTTTTACATAGGAATGTATAGGAAAAATCTTTAAAAATCTTCTACTCAAGAACAACAAAGCCATGATTGGTCCATCGTCGCAAGCCACAGGTTTTGTGTCCATTCTATTTCCACAAACCCGTGGCTGCCTCCTACCAAATTCTCTCGTTCTTGTGACTGGATCATTGAATATTTATTAAGTGACGCCAGATTTACCTTGACCAATGAAATCACTCTGTAGCAATTTTTGGTACGCTTAAATGGCGACACCCATAATGAAATCATGTTTGCTATGCGTGGCAGATTTATTGAAAAAAAATGCGATAGATCCTGAAGAACAGAGGTGAGTAACGTATATTCTAAAATACTTACAAGTTTTTACATTAAAATACAGGGTTTCGAATGTAGACGTTGTGTGAGAACGCTGAATAGCGTTACTCGTTAAGAAAGGAAATTTGAACCGAAGTTGATGTACAGCTTGTGGTTGTGGTTACATCCAAATACAGGATAGACTGATCATTTTCATTGGTTCTGACTTGAAGCCTGAGATGTTACTCCATTGGTTGAATATATGTTATTAATATTCATGAGAACGAGAGAAATTTCTAGGAGACAGCCACGGGTTTGTGGAAATAGAATGGACACAAAACCCGTGGCTTGCGACGATGTGATTGGTCATATTTATATGGTAGCATCCTCATGTAGTGTAGATTCAAGTTTATTTAAATCGTGACCCCCGGGGGTCGGGTGGGGCCACAATGGTTGATCAAAGTTTTACATAGGAATATATAGGAAAAATCTTTAAAAATTCTTCTTCTCAAGAACAGCAAGGCCATGATTGGTCATATTTACACGGAAGCATCCTCAGGTGGTGTAGATTCAAGTTTGTTCAAATCATGACCCCCGGGGGTCGGGTGGGGCCACAATGGGCGATCAAAGTTTTACATAGGAATACATAGTAAAAATCTTTAAAAAAAACTATTTCTTAAGAACAGCAAGGCCATGATTGGTCATATTTATATGGAAGCATTCTTAGATAGTGTAGATTCAAGTTTGTTCAAACATGACCCCTGGGGGTTGGGTGGGGCCACAATGGGTGATCAAAGTTTTACATAGGAATACATAGGAAAAATCTTTAAAAGTCTTCTACTCAAGAACCAAAGCCATGATTGGTCATATTTAAATGGAAGCATCCTCAGGTAATGCCCCCCCCCCCCCCCCCAACCACTTTTATATTTAAACTTTCCAACCTTTAAGACTGAACTGATTTCTGCTTTTTCCTAGCCATAGTGCTCAGGTGAGCTATGTGGCCCCTGGGCCTCTTGTTTCAGACCAGCAAGCTACAGATTGATCCTGGCTTACAGCATTGTACTCTTATTCCTTAAATTTCCACAACTTTAACAGAAGAAATTAAAGAAAAAAAAGAAATTCACATTCACATGTTCATAATGTTCTTGCAATATTTAAGCAATAAGTTCTCACTGCAAAAAATTCCAGTGGACCTTTTCACAAAATATCTTACAACTAAGACAATTATGTTCCAATTCTCCATAAAGTATCTTAATGATAATAGGTAACAAAAAAATCTTCTATTTCTATTACATTAGAATAAATTGTTAAAAAATATTAATATATTTATCAAACAAAGAAATTACAGAGTTGTCAAATTTTAATCTTTCAGTATTAGGCAACAGAATAACTGACATTTTTAAATTGAAATTGTAATATATACATGTATGTTTAGTGCTGATAGTGACTACACTGTCTTTTTTATATGATATTGCTTGCAGAAGAATGGAACCATTACTGACTTTGTCAGTTTCTATACCCTCCCCTCCACCGTCATGCACCACCCCCAATACAAGATGCTGAAAGCTGCTTACTCCTTCTACAACGTCAGTATGGCCACTCCCTGGGTTGATCTCATGCAGGATGCACTCATTGTAGCAAGAAATGTGAGTTTAATTTCTTTCTTGAATTCAACTTTATGTTTACAGAGAATATCCTGGACAGTGAAAATTATCCCATTAGGACCCTCTATTCAGAAATTCAGAACTTAAATAAAAGTGGAATTAACTTGCATAACTGACCATTTCAAAGCCGATTTTACAATTGTAGATGGAGTTTGATGTATTTAATGCATTAGACCTGATGGAGAACAAAGAATTTCTGGAGAAGCTGAAGTTTGGAATTGGGGATGGAAATCTTCAGTACTACCTGTACAACTGGCGGTGTCCACAGATGCAGCCCCAACAGGTAATAATATCTTCAGTACTACCTGTACAACTGGCGATGTGCACAGATGCAGCCCAAACAGGTAATAATATCTTCAGTACTACCTGTACAACTGGCGGTGCCCACAGATGCAGCCCCAACAGGTAATAATATCTTCAGTACTACCTGTACAACTGGCAGTGCCCACAGATGCAGCCCCAACAAGTAATATCTCCACAATAAGGATTACATGTACACCACATTGAGAAGAGTTTACTAGACTCAGAAAGAGTAGTTTTACATGTATGATTAAAATCATTATTTTTATTTATTTAATTTGTTTCAGTATTATATATGTCTACTTTCTTTCCAGGTTGGTCTAGTACTTCACTGAGAGTTATATCCCCTAGATTTATTAATTTATGAAGATATTATGAACTTGTGTGTACATATGGCCTATTAAGGATGCCTTAAAATGTACATCTCCTAAAGACGAAAAACAATTTAACATTGGATGAGTGTGAATTGGGCGTGTGGTGTACCTAGGTAGCTGCTTTCAGAAAACAGTTTACCAAGATCAGAGTGAACAAACAGGAAATGGTATATTACCATATGTGCCAACTGAATACATGAATACCTGCTTCGTGTCAGGGTAGAAGACATTGCGCTGATCACTCATCATTCAGCTCTCTTCATTTATTGTATAACTTTCTGACTTCACGCATGGATTTTACATGATGGCAAAATATTTGGCTATCTGTGCATGAGTAGATATTATAATTGTTAATGAATAAAATTGTATGACTTTATCAATGTTTGTGTTATGTACTTGGAAATGTTATCTTACGGCTTAAAGGAAGGCCAGCATAATTGATGAATGTATATAGTAATAAGTTTATTAGTTTATTAAACTGCTGTAAGCTGAGATGTTATCTGAATGCAGCTGACCTTTAGTATCTCAACCATTGACATCTTGAATACCATGGATATTTAAAGTGAGCTGGAAGTACCTACTGTAAAATCACAAAATTTTGTGTGGTCTAATTTTTATGATTTGAGGAAAAACTATGGGTTTATGGGGATTTGATTTCATGGATGAGGAACGGAGTAGTTATGTATATGACATTTTACATTTTGTGGTGGGCATAAATTTGTGGGTCTGTTCATACCTCGAAAATAATTAAAATCACACCCTCACAAAAATTAATGTTTTCACAGTTATGTATTTTACCTTCAACATTTTGAGTCTGGTTATTTAGAAGTTTTTTCTCTTCATCCCATTCAAGTTAGAGATAATGAGAATTGACTGTACTTGAACAAAACTAGTTCCACTGGCCATAACAGTCGCTTGTGTATTGAGTGTTTCAATAACTTTTAAATGACATATGAAAGGGTGTTAATATTTGACAAGTGTATTACCTGTGTCAAAATGTTTCTGAACATTTGACCCCATGACCTTGACCAAGTTTGACCTAATTTTCAAACATTTTCAGTGTTGCTAACTTTTGAAGGAACAAAGATAGGACATTTATATTTGACACGTGCATTACGTGTAACAAAAATTTCTAAATGTACTATGATTTTGAACCCCATGGCCTTGACCTACTTTTCAGAAATTTTAACATTGCTGATAATTTTTGATTGAGAGATATGGCATTTACATTTGACATGTACATTACCCGTTTCAAGACCTTTCCAATTGTACACTCTGGTTTTTGATTTTTTTTCACAAACCTTTCGCATTGTATTGCGATATTTGACCTCATGACCTTGATCTTGAAGTTTGAGAAGCTATAATCTTTGCCATAACTGTTATTAATTCAATAATTCATGTCTTTTTTGTATGATGCACAGACAAGACAGGACACACAAACAAGGCAGTTACAATACTGTGGAATCATTTTAATTCGTGGAGGTCAATGTTCATGGGCAGGAAAAATTTTACTTGTTTGTGGAGACGTAATTTTGGGGGTTACTCGTTTATATGGTAGATTTAATAATAATGAATTAATATGTTTACAAAATAAATATTCATGGGGATGTAAATTTCTGGGTAAGGGTGACCCACAAACATTTGTCCCCAACTAAGAATGATGATTCCACAGTATGCCATAAATAGTGGCATCCCATCCACTAAGAAACCGAAAGCAGGGGGCCACAATTCTTTGATTTGCTTGTTCCTCTACAATATTTTGTTGTTGTGCAATGCAATACAGCGCCGTTTTGTAAGAGCTTGTGTTTACATAAATATTCTAATTTTAAGACCAAAACATACACATTACATACTACCAGAAAGCATGTACCCCAAAAATTTATACTTAATTTTATGTATGTCTTTGAATGTATCAAACTGACACCCTCTGCATCACAATACATTGTGTATCATTCTACATGTATATGTATTGCTACACCCCTACAATCACATTGCAGTGTGTGTAAATACATGTACAAACAAAGTAAAATCAAGCAGTTTTGTTCATTTTAATAATTTAACATACATGTAATGACATACATATTGGACTAAAGACAAGTGTAACTCTTGTCCTATCTCTTAACAATTATGCACATCCTGGAAAAGATCCTAAAGCTTCATGAACTTTTTTTTGCATTATACAAGTGACTTTAAAATTCAAAGACTTGGATTATCAACAACTCTCAAGATTGATTCACAAATTTGACTTCAAAAGCCATCCAAACACTTCTGGTGCAGAAGCCACATTTAATGATCTAAACAGTATGAGGCTTTCCAATATCCTAATATCATCCTTCCAAATTACCTTCAAGTTAGTAAATATAATCCTAGTACAGTAAAAATATTGTGTTCAGCATGTACTGATGTTGAATTTAATTAGAATTAAGGTACAATGATTTTCTAGACAATGTAAAAAAGAACTACCTTTATATGAAATAAGGATACAAAGCCATGAAATTTAATGCTATTTCAAAAACATAATAAATTATACCTTCAAATGACGTTGTTTCACAACCAAAGGGAAATGTTCATTATATCACATCAGCATCTGAAATGATATCTTCTAAGCCACCTTACTTGACATTACAGAAATTTCTTGATGTAATTTTGCAAGATAATATTCTGAATTTTTTCTTTTAAGATCTTTAGAATGTCTTAATGGAGTATCAATATGAAATTGTGCATTTTGTTGACACTGTTTTGTTTTTTTGCATCTTATTGGTGTTTAAAATAAACACTTGCTTAAAATACAAAATGGAATGATATTAAACTAGTAAATACTGATAAACATCATTCAATGTTAAAATCAATTTACAGTATCTAGGCAACATAAATTAAAATATCACAGACAAAAATAATATACATTGTAACAAATCGTTAAGGAACATGCACACTTAGGTGGTAAATCTGCCCTCAGGTCTTACTCTCTTCTACTAACTGAACCTCACTACTTTATACCAGGATTCCTTGATTTTGTGGCCCTGTATTTGATTGATTTATTTGTTAAGGAACAATATCTACTTCTGTTCATCACTGGAAATCAAACTGCTACTTTCTGACATGGCTTGTAAATATTGACAAAGCAATAATATATAGAGTCCTGAAAGGGATTCCAGTTAAATAACTGAAAGAAAGAAGTCCCAGCACAATTAAAATGAATAATACACATAAACAGAGCTACATTTTCCCTGCAAGAATTTCATTGCCATCATTCTAAAACAAAAATTACATGCAAAACTGATAATTATAAAAGGTAAAATTCTTTGATGAAGCTTCTTGGCCTGGGTTCAGATGAGTTAAATTATAAAAAACAGATAACAGAGGATGGGCAGATTTTAGCACTTAGTATGCATGTTCCTTTAAAACAAACATTTTCTTAAAAGAACAACTTTTTAAAAAGCAAATGGAATTCCATGGGTTAAAAACCTCCTTTTACTTAATGTTGACATCAGATCACTGGTCTCAAGCTTCTGTGCAGTATATAAATATTTTTTATTTTTACAAATTTCACCTGACAAAGTACACACTTAATTATTACAGGGATAAGAACCACAAAAATACCTCCATATAAACACAATGACAGGAGGTACGGAATTTAAACAGATCATTGCACAATTTCCTCATTTCTCCCAGAGACAGTTCATGATTGTTTTGAATAAGAATCTTTTCATCTTAAAAGTTTGAAAAATGATAATATCAGGGTATTTTTGACAACGGTGGGTTATCACAGATTGTATTCTGGATAATATCCCTGTTACAGATTTTCACCTGACCTCGATGACGAGAAAATCACCTCCTCTTACGTGGACCAGATAGCTCTGAATTGTCACTGTTCTCTTTCACTAAATGTTTCGTCACTCTCTCTGATCGCGAATGTAGTCTCTGGAACAGCTCTGAGAATTTATTTTGTGGAAAAAGTGTGATAATAACACCTTCCAGGAAAACGTAAACAAATCGTTTATTTAGTGTCTGATGTTGGAACATGTCAAACATACGACTGGTCCCCACACGAATTGTCTCTGTTCCCATTAAGTGACGAAAGTCATCTGCAAATTTTCAACAAATTTTTTCGATCATTAAAATGCCTGTATCAACTAAATGCTCTTATCTACATGTACAATGTTTATGATTACTTTCAAAGGTTTTTCCTCATAAATGATACATGTACTTGAAATGTGCTATAACTAAAACATTGAAATACAAAAAAATAAAAATAATAAAGTACATTAACAATGTAATGGCTCTTGGAGGTCAACATTAGGAAACAGATACTTACCTGAGACAGATCCTAACATTTTAGCTCTACACAGCACCCGAGTCCTCATTTTGGTATGATGATCACGAGGTGCTCGAGGCTCAGCAAGGCTTCCCCCAGGCCAGAAGGCATCCCTTTACAACATAATCACCAATATATTAGAAACTCACCCTTACACATTAGCAAATATTACACTTTCATGTAAATTAGTTGAATCTGATTCATTGAGAAACATTTGTTAAAAAAACACTATTAACCACTGAATGATGAAGCCATGCCCTCCAGCATAGCAACAGTCAACATTGCTTGACGACAGGTGATATTCCAAAAAATAGTGACTGTGCAGAATTTATGCGCGCACGGTTCAATGTATTTGTATAAAACATTCAGTATAATATAATAAATATTGCATGTAGTTGAGTGTAACATTGAAAATTTTCACCCCAAGAAAACCATTGTCAACCGAGGCTGCTATTTATATAAAATGCACATTTACTGACATAAGACATATGTGGAATCTTGTACTTGTTGGAAAAGTGTTACCCTTACCTGAACTTTCTGACATACTCTGCCATCTGCTCAGCAGACGTCAGAAACTCCACGTAATCTACAATCTTCTTATTGATGGAGTCTCCAAATGTCACTTTTATGAGTTGCTTAAGAACAGCAACTATACGACGACGCAGCCACGTATTCTTCTCCCGTAAGTCAAAGACTTCATCCATCAGTAACAACATGACTCGTAATGGTATGTTATCTGCATCCTAGTAAGGCACAAGTAAGAGAAAAACAGATCAAATAACTCGGTCCCTACATCAGAATCTTATTCTTTTAGGTATTGTCTTCACACGTTAAGTATACAAACAGAAGATTGAAAATAAGTAGAACTTTCAAAAGTAGTAAAATTAGTTAATAAACTTACAACATCTAGTCCATCAGAAACCTTTCCACTTCTCCTGTCCATGGAATCCTAAATAAAAGATTGAATACAGGAAATTACTCCTAGAAAGTGTTTCATCAATAACATGCTTAGCCTAGTTACAGATAGGTCAGATATGAACTGATTAAAAAAGGTACAGTCTATTACTAAATCACGCTAGTTAATATAGGTCAGAAATGGACTGATTAAGACAGGTATTACAAAATCATCATCTTGACAGCTTCTTAGTTCCATATGAAGAATATGCATGAAACGTAACTTAGAACTAATACAACTCCACAGATGCACTGAAACTGTTTTCACACAAATATGCAATTTCAAAAATTCATATAACCATTTTGTGCTTTTCGAACTTTTCAAGAAATAACTGGGAAAGACACATCTTCTGGTCATAACAAACCTTTGTATCAAGAGAAGACAGAAATGACCTAGAGGTAACCTTCACATCTAAATAAGGTGTGAACAAAAGGCCATAACACGTCCTCTAGACATGAGCAAACATATGCACATTTAAAGATCTATGACGATATTAAAGCATTTATTTACCAACTGAAAAAAAATCTTGCGATTCAGAACCTTGTAACCATGACCTTATTGAAATGATCTTGGTTCAAATAATTTTACATTTTTTGAAATCTGGCCTTGACTAAATGACCTTCGATCTAACCCTCATACCAAGTTTAACCTATATATTTCCATAATTAAGTTGAGACATGAACACTATCCAGATGGATGGACAGAAAGAGTCATTGATTCAGACAGACAAGTTGAACTTACTCGGATCTTTTTTTATGAAGGGTTAAAAAACTAATGTTTATCAAAATCCCCATCTTGAGTCTTTGATATGGTCTCTTTTTAAAATTTCAGTTCCTTTGAACAACTTACGCCTTTAAAGATGAGAGAATCCTGTGACACAGCTCTGCCTACAGATTTCACTGAGGTTTTGATTGGATTTACTAGAGTGTCCATCTAAAACAAAAAGAAAATGATGCATGATATTAATACACTGTTAAAGATTAAAACCAATGATTTACATATTCACATATAAAATTTTTATATACATCAATGTTCAAGAAAAAAAAACAATTATTGAAATTAAATTTTTCTGCTGCATCAGAGAATAGCTAGATTATATATGATATTTTCTTTAGTTTTACAAGCATCATCATATTACAATGAAAAAAAATTCTTACTTGTTGTAAATTGAAATTCTTGTTATAAATTAGCTGTTCATCTTGAAATTCAAATGGAAAAAAAACCCCAAACAAACAAAAGGGCCTTAACACTAAGTAAACCTGATCTTTTTGAGAAATAATTACAGTCAAACCTTGTTATCTCAAACTCAATGGGACCAAGAAAAAACTTCAAGATATCCAAGGATTCGAGATATCAAGGGTAATATACATAAAGAATAAGTGGTTGGGACTTTCAAATCCCTTCATATCCATGGTAATCGAGATACTGGTGTTTGATATACTGAAGTTTAACTGTCTGTGTATAATAAACCCCTTATATGTAGTAGCAATCAACTTATATTGAATTTCATGTTCTCAGCAATTTCAATTTAGTGTATTGAAGTGAAGATTACAAATACTAGTTTTCCTTGCAAATGTTTATACATTTTTTCCCAAACTTTGACTGTAATTTGAACAGACTTGAATATTTACTACATAGTGATGTTTGTGTATTAAACTATTAATATGACTTAACTGTATCTCTTCTGATTTAAAAACCTCTATCCAACTCTGACCCCCTATTGTGGCCTCATCCTAGCCCAAGGCCCTATTTATGGAGGTCATTGAATTTACACTGTCTATATTAAATTAAAACTAGATTTTCACACAAGTTTTGTCTTTTCTTGTTCAGTGGTTATTGAAAAGAAGAATTTTAAATGACCTTTATAAAGTTCATGTATATGTAAAGTTTACAGATGACAAACTTTCTATCAGAGCCTTAGGTTCTGATAAAAATACTTAAGACAAATTAATCTGGACTCTTCTGCAAATTCAATAATTATACAGATACCTTTCTAGCCAGTTCACTTTTGTGTTTTTCCCACAGCCCTGGGGCAACAAACTTTAGAACCAGCTCCTTCATTCCCGGGTACTTGGCCCAAATCTCAGGTTTCATCAAAGTCTGTTGATAGAAAGCATTTTAATAAATGTATTTACAAGTCACCAAGTTAAACAAACAGTCATGTAGAGAATTGACCAACACAATATCCTGACTAAGAAAACAAATGAAAAGAAAGAACCAGCTTTCCCCAAAATTTCTTTGAAATTCATAAACAGTAACTAAAACCGCTTGTGAATGCAGTGACAACCATAGATGTATAAATAGATAACCTTCAACCAACTTTACTTAGACTGGAAAGAAATCTGCAAGTGATAAATCATCAAAAATTCAAATCTTTGTTACAAGAAGTTCCCACAATAAGACATTTTTTTGTTGATTTGTTCATTCAAAGGTGGATTTCAACTTCCTCTGCTTAAAATTCTGCTTATTCAGTCAAATGGCCATAACAAAAAAAAAGAAAAAGAAGTGTAAAGTTCAATAACTCTACATATAAGTACCTGTAAGTAAGTGTCCAGTGACTTTTTCCGTTTTTCTAAGAAATCTTTGTTCATGTTTTTGAGAACAGTTTTACCAGGTAAAGGTGGCCCTTGAAATTCTGGATACTGAAAAAAAATTTAATTGTTAGACATGCTTAGTTTTATCAGGTAAGTATCTTAACAAGCTTGAAACCATGGATAATACACTTCAGCTATTATTCTTAACATAAGAAGGCATTCTTTTTGTAAATACGATAGATCAATCTAAATAGTAGTTCTCTACATAAGTTGGTTCCTCCCAAAATGGCATCTACTGATATTTTTGTACCATCTTAAAACCTTGATATCTTAATCTTTTATTTTACAAACTTTTGATAATTAAACAAGAAACAATCTCTTCATTATGTTCATAGACCATAATCTGTTGAATATTGATAAAGATATAAAGAATCTAAATCTGTTCCAATGTCATATGATAATAATTTTTTTTAAATTACTAGATCTTTTTACCCCATACTTTGTTAACCCTATGTGCTATGTGTTCCCACCTTTTCTTGGATTAACATATGAAGATCGTGGAAGTCGCTATATCTCCTGTATGTCTCCGACACATCCTCCTCATCGCCGGAGGTCTTCGTCGCACGGATGGCAAATACAGCGTAAGTCTTTGCTGAATTCTTGTCTGATTCCTTCATGATTCCTAGTGAGAGATAAATGAGATTAAAACAAAGCATCGGCCATCTAGTCTACAGAGAAAAAATGCATGCAAAGAAAAGAGATTGAACAAATGATTCCTTTATAAAATTTAATTGTTAGATTTTTTATAACTTCAGTTGATAAAGTTTATATATCAGTTATTCCAAGTTTTCCTTTTCTAATCAGTCAAAAACTATAGAATAAAGAATAATTTGCAGGAATTTTTCATCTATCCTTTTTTAGTTGCAGTACTTGCCAAACAATGTGCAATTAAATTTTTAAACAATCTGTTTTCATGTATTCTGTTTGTTTTATTGAAATAGGACAAAACCTGTTAGTAGCAGAAGTTTTGTACTTTGAAGAAAATAGCTTACAACAAGAGGCCCATTGGCCACATCACTCACCTGAGCACTTTGGCTAGGAAAAAAGCAGAAATCAGTTCAGTATTGAAAAGTTTAATTAATCATAAAAGAGGTCGAGGGGGGGGGGGGTGATTTCTACACTACCTGAGGATGCTTCCAAATTTTTTTGACTAATCATGGCTTACGGAGATTTTTCAAGAATTTTTCCTATATGTTTGAGCTTCTATTGTGGCCTTGCCCTAATCCCCCCTCCCTAGGACAATAATTGAACACATTTAAATCTACAATACCTGAAGATGCTTCTGAATTAATATGACTTATCATGGCCTTGCTGTTATTGAGAAGACAATTTTTATTGATATACATGTACATTTATCCTTTATATTCCTTTGTATAATTTAATCCCCTGTTGTGGCCCCTCTCTACTCCTGAGCGGTCATGATTTGAACAAATCTGAATCTACAATACCTGAGGATGCTTCTATATTAATATGACTAATCATGGCTTTGCTGTTCTTGAGAAGAAGATTTTTAAAGATTTTTTCTATGTATTCCTATGTAAACCTTTGATCATCCATTGTGGCCCCACCCTACCTTCAGGGATCATGATTTGAACAAACTTGAATCTACACTACTGAGGATGCTTCCATATAAATATGACTCATCACAACTTTGCTGTTCTTGAGAAGAAGATTTTTAAAGATTTTTCCTATATATTTCTATGTAAACTTTGATCATCCATTGTGGCCCTGCCCTACCCTCGGGGTCATGATTTGAACAAACTTGAATCTACACTACCTGAGGATGCTTCCATATAAATATGACCAATCAGGGCTTAGCTGTTCCTGAGTAGAAGATTTTTAAAGATTTTTCCTATATATCTCTATGTAAAATTTTGATCGTCCATT